AAATCATTGAGGAGTACTTTAGTACAACGCATGGGAAGAAGGTTAAGTTTAGAGGAGTAAATTTAACTCAAGATAGGTGCAAAAGGAATCCAGGCTATGGATTTGTGACTTTTAAGTTCCCAGAAGATGCTGAGTTGTTCTTGCAAAATCAAAAGCAAGTATGTCCTAAGATAGGAGATAAGGCAAAAGCAGAGTATGCTATGGAGAGTTTAGAATTCCTAGAACGAGGTATTAAGAAGAAACCTTCAAGAACTGAACGCCTGGCCAAAAAGAGCAGCCAATAAATTGAGTTAAGTTAAGATTGAGTTGGGTTTAGTTAAGATTAGATTGGGTTGAGTTAAGATTAGATTGGGTTGAGTTAAGATAAGATAAGATAAGTATTAGTTTAGTATTATGTTAAGTTAAGATTAGTACTAAGTTGATATTGGGTTGAGTTAGTATTTAGATTATTATGCTAAGTTGAGATAAGTCTTAGTTTGGTATTAAGTTAAGTTAAGATAAGTCTTAACTGAATACTAACTGAATTAGATATCTTAACTTAATACTAACTTAATCTAATCTTAAGTAGATGTTTTAAGTTGAAATGAATGGGAGATGAGTAATTTATTGGTTGCTTAGTTCGTCTTGGAGGGCTTTGAGTTCTCGATTGGCTTGTAGAATGCTTTGTTCAATAGAGGCTTTGGCTCGTCTGGTCTCATCAACACATTCTTCCATGTGCTTTAAGCGATAAGAATCTTCTTCTGAATCAAAAGTCTTACGTTTAAACTCAGTTACTTCATCTTCACCCTTCTTAATCTCTTCTTCATACTTACTCTTAACCGTATTTAACCAATCAAGAGTCTTTAGCTTACGTTCTAGTCTTATGTCAGCCATTAAAAAGAAGAGCAGTCCATGAACTTATTTACTTCCCATTAATAACTCAACTACTCCCATAACTAAACTAACAACCATCTTAATAGATTAAGTTAAGTTAAGTATTTGATTGAGTTGGGTTGAGTTAAGTTGAGGTTGAGTTGGGTTGAGTTAAGCAACCCAATACTAATCCAATCTAAAGCATAGAATCACATAATAATAACATAATAATAACACAATAACATAGTATAATAACATGACATAAACCAGACTTAACTTGAATAGTAACTCAACCAAATACAAACACAATCAAATACAAACGTAATCAAATACTTATCTTATCTTAACTCAACTCAATCAAATACTAACTTAATATAAACCTAAAAGAGAATAAAAAGTAACAATTTAGTTATAGGTGAGATACCTTGGCGTAGATGAGAACTTAGCATAACCTTTGATAACTTTATCTACGGCTTGCAAGAAGTCCTTCTCTGTAGCTACTTTCCGACGTTCCCGAATGGCAAACATACCGGCTTCCGTACACACACTCCTTAACTCGGCTCCAGTTGCACTCGGACATAAACGGGCAATCAACTCATACCTAATGTTCTTCTCCACACTCATTGGCTTCGTATGAATTTTCAGAATAGCCGCTCGTCCTGATAAGTCCGGTAAAGAAAACTCTACCTTCCGATCGAGTCGACCCGGACGTAGTAAGGCCGGATCAAGCGTATCTGGTCGATTAGTCGCCATTAAAACCTTAACATTCCCTCGCGAATCAAATCCATCCAACTGATTAATCAACTCTAACATTGTCCGTTGGACTTCATTAGATCCACCATCAAAACGCGTACTCCCAAAAGCATCTACCTCATCAAAGAAGATAATGCAGGCCTTCTTTGATTTGGCCAGTTCAAATATCTCCCGTACCATTCGTGCTCCTTCACCCACATACTTCTGGACTAGCTCAGAACCAATCACCCGAATAAAAGCAGCATCCGCTCGATTGGCTACCGCTCGGGCACAAAGAGTCTTACCCGTTCCCGGTGGCCCATAAAGAAGGACTCCTTTAGGCGGATCAATTCCCAATTTAATGAACCTTTCGGGGGCCATTAAAGGTAACTCCACTACTTCCTTAATCTTCTCGATCTGCTCAACACATCCGCCTATATCCGAGTAAGTCACATCTGGCTTCTCTTCAATTTGCATCAGAGTAATAGCATTATCTATCTTAGGAGGTAATGGCAACATAATTTGGTACTTAACTCGATCTACACCCACCCGCATGCCTTCAGCCAAATCTGACCGGGCTAGACCTTTATTACGATTAACAATAAACTTAGCTATTTGCTTAACACTAATCATATACCTATCATTGGCTTCAACGGGACTTTCCATGACTTTGCAGCAACGAGCTACTTGTAAAGTCTTTTCGGTCTTACTGCGCTGGTTGTCACTGTAGAGGTTCCAAAGCATAGGTGGGGCTAGTCCGGTCTCGGCTTCTCTTAGGCCTAATTTAGCGCAAACACGTTCATATAGGCCTTTTACTTCCTTTTCAATGGCAGTAATTCCATCGGCATAGAAACTCTTGCCATAGTTCATAATTAATTGTATCTCATGTTCAGACAAAGAACTATCTAGAGGTGTTTGTTCTGGGGCTTCCTGTCGCATAAACAAAAGAAAGAAAAATAGATTAATAGGGGCTCATCGCCAAATCAGCGTTGGCTATCAATACTTCTCCTGGCCCCGTGCTATCTATATATAGAGCAGCATTTGACCAGGGATGGAGAAAAAAAGAGGACAGGGGGAAGATAATGTGGTCGTCCTTGCGGAAAGATTAAGAAAACAGGTAGTTTATGGTTGTGGTGAAAGTAGTTGTATTGGTATCTTTTGTAAGATTTCGGATGTTGAGTCATTTGCTGGGGAGATAGTGCATATTTTGTTGGAATATGGTAGTTATTTTACCTGTCGGTCTTTGTACTTGGTGCATGGCCGGAATATGCACCAGCTGGCTAATGAGGCTAGTCGGAGTTTGAACCAGCTATCTATTTATCCCAATCGGAGTGTGTGCCATTTAGGGGGTGGGTTGGACTTGGGCCGGGGAGTGGCTGGGAAAGGGAGTAGTGAGGAGAGTGGAGTGGGGAAGAGTATGCATTTTGATTATGCCTGGAAGGTTTTGGAGTATTTGCATCATGACTTGAGTACGGGAGTGAGTGGGCTTAGTGCATGGGGTGGATTTAGTGCAGGGGGGACTCCTAATTGGGCTAGTTGTATTAGGAGTGGTGGAATGGGTGGTCGTAGTGATGAAGAGACGGGTCGAATAATGGCGGTGGGATTGGCCCGGATTGTGCACCAGAAGAAGAGTAAGGCCACTTCTATTATGTTGCAAGGTGTCTTTTACAATGAGCTGAATAAGCAGAAGGTGGCTTATTCTGGTGCGGCTGCCGTGCGGGTAATTAAGTTGTTTAATGCGGTTAAGGAATCGGTGAAGTTCGAGAAGAAGTACTTTATTAGGTTTCTGGAAATGATTGAGGAAATGTGCCAGCGTGAATCGGTGGTAGATCGAGTGTGCCAGGATAGGTGTAATCGGATGGCAGGTGGGTTGAGTTATAATCGGCCGAATGATTGTGGATTTGCTGAGGAGGAAGAGTTTGTGGTGCCAAGTGGGGGATGGAATGGTGGGAATTTTGGTTTGGGCGAACGGGAGATAGAAGTATGTATTGGTTGTGGCGGGTCTTTGGGTGAATGTGAATTGCCCCAATGTGATAGTCTGTGCTTTTTGGCTGCGAAAATGTGTGTGAATGAGTTGATTGATTTGATTCGTAGTTTGATTATTGTGATTGATAATACGAGTGTGATTAATATGCGAGAAGGTACTTTATTGATTGCGATTCTGAAGTGTTTGAAAGCGTTATACGAATTTGCGGTTAAGTCGGGGACGGTGCACCATTCGGTCTTTATTAACCGGCGGTTTTCAAGGATGCTGAATTATAAAGTAGAGATAAGATACCATAAAGAGGGTGGACCTAGTATTTTGGACTATCCTTTTATTCTGGACATTGCGGCTAAATCGGACTTGATTCAGATAGAGAATACGGATCGGATGAAGAACGAGTTGCAAGATGCGTTTTTCCGGTCTTTATTTGAAGGGAAGATTCCGCCCTATCTGAATTTTGAAGTGCGTCGTGAGACTTTAGTGGAGGATAGTGTGGCTCTCTTGGAGAACTTGAAGCCGGGTATGGTTTGGAAGCAGCTGAAGATTAAGTTCTTAGGTGAAGATGGAGTGGACTCAGGTGGGATTAAGAAGGAGTTCTTCCAGATTCTCAGCCAGCGCACGCTTGAGCACTGGGATATCTTTGAGGAGCGGAATGGGTTTCTGTGGATTCGTAGTATGCCCGGGGAGGAAATGGCTAAGAAGGAAAGAGAGTACTTTTTACTGGGATGTATCTTAGGGTTGGCGGCTTATAATGGCGCGGTGCTTTCGTTCTACTTCCCGCACGTCTTTTACAAGAAGATGCTTGGCCAGGAGACTATTGTGGAAGATATCAAGCAAATAGATCCGGTGCTTTATAATAGCTTGGTGGCCATGCGGGGTATGTCTAGTGAGGAGTTGAGTGCTTTGTCTTTGGTCTTCTCGGGAGGAGCTAACAAGGAAGATCGGGTTGTCACTAAAGATAACATTGAAGACTTTATTCTGGCTTACAAACGCGAAGCAATTGATAGTTCGACTGATTTTGCGATTGAATGTATTAGGAAAGGTCTTTGGTCTATCTGTGGTAATACCTTTGTGAGTTCTTTGTTGCCGTGTGAGCTGAGTATTTTGATTGGTGGTATGGAGTGCCAGAATTTGGAAGAGATAGAGAAGTACACTATTTACAATGGATACAAGCGGGACTCGTGTATTGTGCAGTACTTTTGGGAGATCTTTAGGGAGTATGATAAGTCAATGCAGAAGAAGTTCTTGCGCTTTGTGACGGGTAGTGATCGGGCTCCTTCCGGGGGATTGGGGCGAATGGCGATCATTTTCATGCGCAATGGCGGGGACACGGAGCGACTGCCTTCTTCACAGACTTGTTTTAACACTCTGCTGATTCCAGAGTATGCAACTAAGGATAAGCTTAAGGAAAAACTGAATATGGCCATTGGTTACACAGAAGGCTTCTTCTTGCTTTAACAGTGGTTGTCTATATAAATAAACAGTATGGCCAGTTGATTATGTTGTAGCACTATTCCCAAACCGAATGTCTTTATTGATTGAAGTGGAGTGGAGTTAGATTAAGATTAGGGCGTGGGATTAAGTTGTTGAGGTAGATTGAGTTATTGAGGTAGATTGAGGTGGTATTTGTATGGCTTAGGAGGCATGGGATTCTGGGGTGTCCTGTAATGGTTCGGGGTCTACAGTAACGAAGCCGTTAGTGTAACTTTCGGATAGGTTGGATGCGGAATCCATGCTGGGGGCGGTGTCATTAGGTGTGGGCGATGCCTTAGGAGACGAGGTGGAATCGGCTGTTCTAACAGAAGTAACTGAGATACTGGTAAGCTGGTTGCGGATATAGTTAGGTGGGAAGATCGTGGTTTCAATGCTAGTTAGTGTTTGTCGGCCAAAGATGTTGGTGATGGGGATGTGGCTAATATCGAGGGAGGGCGGGGCGAATAGGTCAAGTTGGATCCAGAGGTCGGTGTTTAGGGATACGTTGCGGAGAGCAGTTTTGATAGCCATGTGCTTAGCATTATGTGATAGTTTGACTAAGTCTGTGTGAAAGGGGTGGAAGAGCTTATTGCCTTCGGCATAGAATACCTCGATGGGTACCATAGTGTTTGCATAGGGGACAATGAAACTAGTACCGTATTCATGGATGGTTGTAATACCGACTAATTCGGTTGGAGTAGCACAATGAGCTAGCTGATTGGGGAATTTTATGTCATAGATCGAAGTGACTAGTTCGGCTAGGAAGGCATTTTGGGTGGATGTGTTAGAAACAGCACGACAGCATGCAACCTGGCCAGCCTTGCCACTATGCGTAGTTTGTATGGTGCGGACTGGCGGGGATGAAGTGATGAGATTAGCGGGCCGGGTATTGAAGAGAGTGCCTAGCTGTTGCGGCTTAAGAGTGTAGCTGAGGTGCCAACAAATACGCTGGAGGTACGTGGTGTCGACATTGCCAGTGGCATACACTTTGATTGGGAGATTGGTCAATGTGATAATTGTATTGTTATTGGCCAGACTGAGGGCTTTCTGCGTAGCTTCTATATCCTGAGCGCCGTACGGGATTCGTTGGAGATAGACACGGAATCGGTCTAACGCTGACATTCGCTGGAGCTTAACTTCGTCAGAGAGTATACAGTGCTGACTGTCATTTAATAGCGAGGCTGGCATGGAAAGGAAGTCCTCTAGAACATTCTTAATCAGTACTTCAAGAACTAGCGGGGTGCCGGTAAACTTAAACTCCAGATAGGCTGTTCGGAGAATTATATCAAAGTCAACGTCGGATGCATGCATTTGAGCGTAGAGAGCGAGTTTGGTCTTTTTGATAAAGGCTGTGATGTACCCGGACAGATAGATATACCACTCGGGCTTGTTTGATTGCGCCTGCAGACCAATAATGATAGTGATTTGGAGGTGGGTGGGGTTGTCCTGGGGCGGAATAACACAAACCGGAATGTTGCTGTAATTTAGCTGGAGGAGCTGGTTGTTGTAGAACAAGTGCTGTACTGGTGTACGGGGTATGTTTTTGACAATTATGCCGGGCGGGCAAGTCTGATCATGGAAGTAGAGACTGGTAAAGTTTATGCTAGTGTAGGTAAAGAGGTCGTCGGGTGTAATAAAGGCTTTGAGGCTCTCTATGTCCTGACTAACGGTAGGGTCATACGGGATAACTTGGTATGCGATAAACCAATGTGGTATCATGACAACACCGCTAGTTGATTGGGTTGATTGAGTGCTTGGTGCGTTATTAGATGTTTCGGTCTCGGTTTTGTCTGAGCCGGCGCTAGGATCCGGTTTTGGGGCAGATTCAGTAGGCAGAGCCGAGTCTGGGTCGGTCTGGTTGCTCTTTTGGGTCGGGGTTGGAGGGTTTTGATTGGCAGATCCTAGATCGGTGTCAATAGTTTGCAGCTGATGTTTGAGAGTGGTTTCTAAAAAGAGCTGCCAATTAGATCGGTCCTGGGCGACCGCGAGGAAGTGCTGGAGCATGATCTGGTAGTTGGGTTGGCTGGTTAGCTCGTTTGGGTTGAGGTTTCGGACCTGTTCGGCTTTGTTGCGGAGATTCTTCAAGTACTGGACGAAACTAGTATTTTCGGTCTTGGCTTGTTTAATCTTGAGATAAGTGCCCTCAATGTTGTTTTCTGTTAATGCCTGGTATAGTGTCTTCATTTGGTGCTCAAACAGGCTTAATACTGTTGCAATGGTCTGGCTACTTAGAGAGACTAGTTCAAGTCTAACCACAATACTAGCAATGTCGTCAGTAAACTCAAAACAGTCAAAAGAAATGTCGTGGATAATGCCGTGGCTGAGTAAGATGTACCCAAGGTTCTTGGTTGGCTGCAAGCAGGCGAGTTTGTAGAGCTCTAGGAAGTCTTTGAGTTCTAAGGATGTAAGATAAAAGGGCAGATAGATATGAATGCTAAGTGCTGCAAACCCTGCATACTCGCCTACTGAAGAATAAACGATTAAAGAGTTCCGCGTAGCTTTACTGGCAACTTCTAGGCGGATTTCTGTCTGGTCTTTCTTGAAATGACTTTCCTCAATTACTGGGCTATCCGCAAAGGGCCAAGGCTCGATATTCCCTAAAGCTATCTGGCCAAAATACTTCTGGATGTAGTAGATGACATTGTCTGCTAGGGCTGGTCCCTGAATAGTCAGCCGCATATTGGCGGGATGATAATAGTGGCGCCAGAAACTCGAGATTTCGTTGGTGGTGACATCTCGCAAAGTATTAGCTGATCCCTGAAATGCCCGCTGGAGATAGAAGAATTGGTCGGCAACAAGGTGCTTAGCAAGAGCTTGTAACCGGGCACGGGGCTCGACTCGCACGTATTCAAACAGCTTTTCTAGGTCCTGGCACCTTTGGCCAAGAGAATTGGCATCTGTTGATAGAGTTTGGAACAATTCGACAAAGAGGTATAGAGACTCTTCCAAGTGCTTCTCAGGAATAGTATATCGGTAAACAGTCTTGCCTAGTTGGGTTTGAGATGAAAACGTTCCGTGGTGGTGTGCAACAAACCTTCGAATGTGCTCTCGCTGTATATTTGGATCAGGCAAAGCTACAATTGTCTTCTCCAGTAAATGAGACAGCCCGGGCCGACTAACTGGATCATGAATGCTGCCCACATTTACTGAAAGAACAACTGAACAGTCGGCAAAGTTACTATTCTCGCCGACAAGCGCAAACATTCCGTTGGAGAGGGCGCTTCTGTAGTACCGAGTTGGCGGCTCTGCCATTGTTGGGCCGGGCACTATATGTGCCTTGGTGGGTCTGTGGTAGTTAACATCTGTAGACGGGCTGTTTGTAGATGACTCGTCTGTAGAAGCAGGTGCATTGGGGTTATGGTAAACGTATAGCAATAAGCCCCCAATCATTGCTAGCAATACTAGAATACGAAGGAAGAAGCCGATTAGACTGCCTCCAAAGATGCCCTTGAATACTCGCGAACACATGAATAGAGTAAAAGAAATGAAATTTAGATAGAGTAGACAAAATTTTGATTATCAAAATCACAATTTAATTTGTACTCTTGGCTATAACCATCTATAATTGGTAATAAAGAACTATTGGGTTAGTATTGAGTTGATAAGCATTGGATTGACCTGAGGAAAGGCCTGTGGCTTTGGCGTAAGTGATAACAATGTGGTTGCGGCATATCTACAATTTTCTTTTGAATTGAGATGTTATGGCATCGCATAAGTAGGAAAGATCGTGACTTCATGAGTATAACGGCGGTAAAGGATTGGCTGGTGCTTAGCAGAATATGGAGCATTTCTTGTTTGGTTCTTGGTTTGACCTTACCGGCCATTAGCACGACAAGTAACGCACTGGGCTCAGAAAAGAAGATTGTAACCAACTCTGTGGTAGCTGCCTTTCTTCAATGCTTCAGCATACACCAGATAACTACCAGTAATGGGATAGACCACCTGTCTCAAAGCCAACTAGCACGCAAAGCCGTGATCCATTCTCCAAGTCTCAAAGGCGCCGTTAATACTAACCCAATAGCACTAGAGTTTGCCAATAACGTGGTTTTGTACTGGCGCTATGACCCGACCCAGCCTCGTTCTAGAAACCATTTGGCCTCTCTTACTCAAATTCAGTATATCGCGTGCACTCGGGCAATCTTTACTGATGTCATGATCCTGGCCGATGACACCGCTGCACTTGAAGCATTCTTCCATACTCTTAATATAATGTGCTGCACCGAAGACATTATCGTTGGTGTTTGTCAAATGAGCATAACAACACTCCAACTTGCCCCTCTCCTGCAGTTTGGTGAAAGTGGGTATAACTACTTGGAAAAGCATAGCTACTGTCAGAACCTGTTCTTCTTTTCGGACGAGCACACGCCAAATGGAAATATCCTCTGTATCAAGCAACTTATATTCCGTCGGATTTCAAAACTAGAAGTCTATTGTGACCATTTGGAAGTCGTTGATTTTCTGGGCCGACTTCGCTGGAACTCTATTGCTTCAGTTACCTTGCATCATATTCAGTCGGTACGCCAGGTTAACTGCTCCTTTGGCCAGGCAGGTCCCTTTAAGGAGTTGTCTTTCATTGTTAATTGTGAATCGTCGCCACTATCCAGCCTTGTCTTTACGAACCTTTATGAAGAAGCTAGCTACCTTACACCAAAGACTCATCTTACAATCAGCCCGATAGTTATTACTAAACTTGCAAAGCAATCATCCCCCATAAACTCCAAAATTCTACTCAGCAGTATTTCCTTTCCCCGTCTATCCCGTATCGAACGCCCCCAAGGAATAGCTATACCTACTGAGCATCCAATTCTGTTCCAAGCCAATACTGCTTATATAGGCCATGCTTTTGGATGGATGTCTGTTGAAAAGAAGCAATGGCTGGTGAATGAATACTATCCCCGCATTCTTGCCAATATGGAAATTGTCGCCACTGTCGTTAAGATTAATGAATGTCCCAGCCCCTTGGTGAGCACTGCCCAGAAAGACTTAGAGAACCTTCTGCTCTATTTTAAGCCTAAACACGATGTGAAATCTCCTGACGCAATACCAGTTTCTAGTGGTCTAGCCACGTCGAACTCTCTTGTTTTTTCCCTCGTTGATGTCTCAGTACGGGCACTTGGCGTCCTTGATGAGTTCGCAACCCATTATTTCCAGATTTTCCCAACCAGGCCCACGCCTTATGACCTAGTCCACATCTATGGATCAAAGAAATCCTCTAGTACTAATATTGATGCTTTCCAAACAATTCTTGGCCTTGTTGGCTCTATCTCTGCTAAAACTCTCCATATTCAAAACATTCGAACAAAGTATCCTAGCCAGACAATTGCCTATATCAATATTCTGCACTTGTTAGATAACGCCCATGATGTAGACAACTGCCACTACGAATACATTATTCTTTCCAATGTCTCCTGTGATATAATCATGCTTATTCTGGCTAAGTACATCTTTATTGCCCCGACCGAGGTTATTATCCTCCACCACCCTTTAACCGACTTCTTCTTCCTTAATGCCCTTTATATTAACAATGAGCTCACTAAAACTACTACGCTGGCCCACTTATCCATCACTATCCATCCAATTAATGAAGACTTCCTAAAACTTCCGAGCGACAACTACTCTAACTCCCGCTTCTTATCTTTCCTATCCCGAATAGTTATAAACAAAGCGTCCTGCCACCCTAATCTTCTAGCACAAATACAGCAATGTCCTTATTTAAATACTATGCGGCTGGTGTCAGATACTGATTGTCTGTCCCTAAGCTCTGATTTCGATGGGTATCTCTCCTTTCCCAAAACAGAGCCCAAGCCGTACTTGATACTTTTTAAGTGTGATATCAAATACATCCTAACCCAATACTCTTCTACTCCCCAGTCTAACTTTTACCAGAAACTCTTTACCACCTACCCATACTCAATCAAAACCCTGGTTCTAGACTTCAACCAGCAATCTTTCTGTGTAGAGTACATAGACCAACTTATTACTTGGGTTGTCACTAACTTCCCCACAATCTCTTTTCTCTACATCACTAACATCAGAATTAATATGCACACCTATCCTCCAGTGGCTTTCCATCTCTTCAGCCGGGCTATGCAACGCTACAACATCCTAGTATGTTGCTACTATATCACTGATACTTCTATTCGCATTCCCCTGCCCAAACTGCATCTATAGACAGGCATTCCCGCCCCTAACTTTGGATCAAATTCAAAGTCCGCATACAATTTACTACAAACCCTATGCTATTCAGCTCTATAACCCTCTCTAATAGTCTATTATTAGCATATCTTAGCCCGTTACATAGCCGTTGACCGCCAAATCTTTTCATGCATCCCGCTCGTAAGAGAAGCCAAAGACACGCCAAACTTTCCAAAGAAGCCAACCCCGTTATTGAATTCGATCCAGAAGAGCGTGAAAACTATCTGAAAGCCCAGAGCAAGCGGCGGATCACAGCTCGCAGGAAACGAAAGCTTCAAGAGGAAGAAGAGAAGCGCGAATCACAACGCCAGAAGAACCGAGAGCACAAACAAAGACAGAAAGACCAAGCCGAGCTAGCCCAAAGAGTTCGAGAAGCCGCTATCAAGAAAGAAGAGACCCAAACTCAAATCGGCAACTCAATTGTCACCATAAAAGAGCTATAAACCCAATTTAGTTGGAATTTCGGCCCTGTTAATTCACTACCCAAATTGATACTTCTTTTGTTATCTACCGTTGGCAATAAACCACCATATTTGACTATTTCATCATTGTATATCAACTTATGATATCTTTAAATAAATCTACACTGTAATCATATCAACTTATGATATCTTTAAATAAATCTACACTGTAATCATATCAACTTATGATATCTTTAAATAAATCTACACATAATCATATCAACCCCTGACTGATAGAGTTGGTTCGTATTTATTTAAACAACCATGCTAAGCTAAGATGTGATATAGTGGGGTGTGATGGAGTTATATAGCGACCTAAAACTAGTTAGTATGTGTCTCGTTATTTGTCTTGTTATTATAAAGAGTTAATATTGGGTTAGTTGGCTGGTGAGATGCAAATATCGTTGGAGTTCACCTGGTTGTTGAGGAGACAAAGAACACGTTCGCCCGGAGATAGACAAAGCATCTTCATCCCAACCATAAGTACAAAATGGCGGAATAGGGAGTAGTTGCGGATAGATAAAGTATGTTTGCCTTTCTTTTCACTAGCACGTACATCCAGGCCTCCTAAATACCACCGGTGCTCTTCAGTGACTTCTCGTTCTCGTTGTAGCATAGCACGAATCCGTGCGACACTTTCGGCCCCAGCTGCAAACATATACCTTTCAGATAGGCCTGCCAAATGAGCCCAACTGGACCATAAACTGTACTGATTATCGGCCACTCGTTTTTCTAACCCAATACGCACTATCTGAATATTGTGCTCGGTGTAAAGAACTAGTACTGGATCAGAACCGGCTATACTAGGCAAGTATGCTAAGGGATCCTTTTTGCCATGGATTGCTAGCGCCCGAACAATCTCATCTCTAGCGAAGAACTTCTCTCTAATCGCCATTTTTAGTGGCTTCATCTTGTTTTCCTTGGCCGAGCGGCTAAGCAACTGGTATATGGCCTTGCTAATGGTGCTTTCTTTAGCAACTTCTGGATCACTAACCGGCAGATCATCCTCTGACCCACGACTAATTCGTAGTTTTTGACGCGGTATCAGTCGGTTCTTTTGCACCTTCCATGGACCGTACACACGCATTCGCCGGTATTCACCACTCATCTGCCAGCACACTTCATTACGTCGATTAATCCTAAACTTAACTCGAAGCTTTGAACTCTCCAAATGAACTTCCTGAGTTTCCACTTGCACTCGCGCTCCAGTACAATCTCGAACTATGAACTTCCGCTGTTTCGCCCGTTTATACCCAACTCCGTCTTCATTAACCCAAAGACCACGACCGACTGGCTGGCAACCCTGAGTCCATACGCGGCACCATCCAAACGGCCCACAAGCAGGCACACTTGCCAGTTGTGGCACCACGAAATTCTTCTGATTAACTAGCAACCGCGCAGATAGTTTCATGACCAAGCAACTGCCCCCACGGCGTATACGAACTTCCGAAATCCTAACCTCACACACCTCCTTTTCACCATGATGTTGTACGGTCACTTTCACTCGTTTCTGTTCATCCAAGCCGTACGGCTGCCCGTTAACTATCACGTATGCCTCGGCGTTAGTTACAGCGGCCGGCAATTTAACCGCAATCTCTATCTGCTGTCCATTAAAGACCTGCTCACCTGGTCTAATCCTTCGCGAGTAATAAGACAACTTAGCCGCCACCCCCCGCTTAACCTCAGCCTTCCCAATTACTCGCCGACAAACAACTCTGGCCTCTGGTGCACAAACTAGTTCCTCGACCTTTTCTCTTAAGTGTGCATCTACTACCCCCAAGTATTGCATCCAGCCCGGAATCAGCACTAATTCGTGCACCTCAGGCAAGACTATACCTAAACTTGTACCAATAGCTAAGGTTTGGGCTAAAACTTCAACCCGAATTGTAGCCAACTTACATTGAGATATCGCCCGCCGATAAAGATCTAAAGCCCACTCACCAACTCCTGGCACTTTACCCGCAACTACCATAGCCCACCGACCCGCCTCAACCAACAGCAATACTTGTTTCTTTGGCTCAACCCCCAACTCCATTAAAGTCTCACTTGCTGCCAAGTTCAAAATAACCCGCACACCGTACTCAACACCACAACTTATCCTTGTAGCTAACAAAGCTGTCACGTACCCAGCACTTTGTTTCTCACTCTCTAACAGCCGCGGCAAATAGCAGTACAAACACAAAACTCGCCGCAACTCTTCAATGTAAGACAAACTCTCGCCAACCGTATACACATCTATAATTTCTCGTCCAGCCCCCACCCGACAGGTCAGCAGTATTTCCGTGTACAGTCCACCTCGACTCTCTTCAGGCACAAGTCCCAGCACCGCCAAGGCCTGTTCATAAGCCCCAGCTATACTCAAGAACAATGCCTCTTCTAAAGCCCCAGCCCCACCACTCACCCAATCACGACCAAGTGCCCATATCCGGCCAAACCCAAACCCAGCCTCTGTTCTTTCTCTAACTCGTCTATCAACTATGTCTTCTACCTCTTCTACACTTAAAACCCCATTTACTGGCACAGGCTGTACTCCAGGCAACCAGTACTGGCCTATACCACTATACAATCGCTCAACCGCCGTCCGTACACTCAATCCACCAGCCAACTCCACCACAATTCCAGCCGCCCATTCAGCCAAAACCCCATCAGCATACATCCCAACTGCGTACTTCTCACTCAACCCGTCGACCAACTCTATCCTATCTATGACCACCGGCACTCTTAACCAGCCCATTATTCAAACAAAGAAAAGAATAGGTTAGTATCCCAGCCCTACTCACCACCTACCATCTCCATACCACACAATACCAACCCATACCAACCCCATACTCAACCACCACCACATACCCAATACTAACCCCATACCCAACACTAACCCAATCTCATCTTATCTTAATATTATATTAGTATTGGGTTGTTATTGGGTTGATATGGGTTGATATGGGTTGGTATGGGTTGGTATGGGTTGGTATTATCTTAGTGCTATCTTAATATTATCTTAATATTATCTTAGTACTATCTTAATATTATATTGGTACTATCTCAACTTAACTTAACTTATCACAAATCAAATCAAATCAACAAGTAACTTAACTCAACCCAATTTAATCTTATCTTAACTTAATATTGTCTTATCTCAAATCAAATCAACAAGTAACTCAATAAGTAACTTAACTCAACTCAACCCAATACTAAACCAAATCAATACAATACAACCCAACAAGTAACTCAATAAGTAACTCAATCTAACTTACTCTAATACCAACTCAATCTAACTTACTCTAATACTAAACTCAAACCCAACTTAATATAATATTAACCTCTTCGACATTTATTAGCAGTCCTCAATACTGATTTCTCCGGCCGTAATCTTCCGTGTAATCTCCTTAGGCGACTCTCCATCCACCAAGCAACCAACCGATAAACAACTTCCTAAAACCTCCTTAACTACTCCAGAAAGGTGTTTAGCCAAAGACTTAGATCTTTGCTTCTTAGCTATCTCAATAACAGCAGCTAATGAGACTGATCCGTTATGTTGAACATTCTTAACCTTCTTTCGGTCTCTAGGGGGTTCTTGTAAAGCCTTAAGAACTAAAGCACTAGTGCCTGGTTCTGGAGTGATAGTCATTTGTCTGTTTTGAATCGTTAAAAGTACTCCGATCTTGTATCCTTTGTACTCTTTAGTCTCTTTAGAAATGTTCTCACCTACTTGTTTAGCATTAAAACCTAATGGACCTACTTTTTGGGCTAAAGAAGCTCCTCCTGCTGGCTCTCCTCCTACAACTCTTAGTCTAACTTGCTTAATTTCATCATTTCCCTTTGTATTCATACTAGGGTGAAAAAAAAGAGAAAATAAGTCTAGTTGCTATTTAGATAGTAGTATTGGGTTAGTTTAGTTTAGTTTAGTTTAAGATTTGTCTAGCTATGATTGGGTTGAGTTGGTATGGTTTGAGTTGAGTTGAGTTGGTATTTAGATAGTATTCAGTTGAGTTGGTATTAGATTAAATTAGTATAGTATTAGATTAAGTTGGTATTTAGATCGTATTTAGATCGCATTTAGATCGTATTTAGATCTTATTTAGATAGTAGTGAAGACGTCTAAACTATTCTAGTAAAGTATGATTTTGAAGTGGTAGTTATAGTATTGAGTTGAGTTGGTGTTGAGTTGAGTTGGTCTTGGGGTGGAGTAATGAAGATGTAGATGTAGATGGGAATAAAGTTGATGTTTTAATACAGACAGTTTAAGTGGTATCTTTGGTTGTATATCTATTTCTACCCTAACTCAACCCAACCCAATCTTAACTCAATCTAAACTCAACTCTATCATAGCTAGACAAATATTAAACTAAACTAAACCCAAACTAAATTCGATTTTGTTTTACTTTAGAATTAGATTTAGAATTAGATTTAGATTGGGTTAGTATTTATAAATATTTAAACTTGAACTATTCATCTAATAGACAACTAAGATCTAAATTGAATTCTTATCTCTGATAAAGCTTTATCACTCAACATAGTATAACACCAACATCTTAATCTACAAATTGAGTTAGTGTGATGTTAGGGTAGTGAATGTAAGTAAAGATCGTTTCTCCCATATTGAATTCAAATAAAGACAGTTAAACCAAAGCATTCTTTCCCACCACCCGAGCCCATCACAATATTACTATAACCCCAACTCAATAGTTACATCAAGTTACAGTAAGTTATATCAAGAAGCGAATAGGTTCTTCTACACTAACCCAACTAGTGTAACTCAATTAACTTACCATTACAGCACAATCCAAACCATATCATATTTATATCAACACAACACAACACAAACCTTATCATATTTATATCAAGTGTCACTACAATAAACCAACTTATTACTATCATAACTTAACTTACTACTATCATAACTTAACTCAACTTACTACTATCATATTCTAACTTAACCCAACTTACTACTAACCTAACTCAACTTGCTACTATCATAATCCAACCTAACCTAACTTAACCTAACTTAACCCAACTCAACTCAACTCAACTCAAACTCTATCTCTAACTATATCTATATCTCTAACTACCCTACTTATATTTTTATTTTGCTGCCTGCCATGGAGAAGATTCTCGAAACTTCAGAAGACTTTGATGTGGATCTCTTTGACCGCGTAATTCAACAGTTTTACAAAGGAATTGGTGGCGACCAAAGACGGGCAGAAGAGGTTTTACTAGCATTTAGGGATCATCCAGATAGTTGGGCTAGAGTAGGCGTAATCTTAAGTGAAAGTAAATCACTAAATGCCAAGTTGTTTGCTTTACAAGTCTTAGAGAAGATGGTTAAAATTCGATGGCCATTACTAGTTGAAAAGCAACAAGAAAGTGTTCGAGAGTACGTAGTAGAAGGAATGCTAGAACATGCATCAGCCGGAGTACCTGAAGCTCTTCTAGTAGCTAAAGGTCTTAATCAAGTACTTAAGGAGATAATAAAGAGGGAATGGCCTGAGAAATGGCCTGGACTTATTAGTGACTTGCTAAAAGCGAGTCGAGGTGACTGTGTGGTTTGTAAACATACTTTTGACCTAATTGAGTCCTTAGCTGATGAAGTCTTTAACTTTCCTAAGAGTATGACTAAAGTCCGAGCTGAATCATTAAGACAACAACTAGTGATTGAATTCCCTGAGATTTTTGATCTGCTTCTTTCCGTACTAGAAACAGTTTCAAGAGGAGAGATAGTTGTACCGGATGATTTAGTTATTTCTGGCTTACGTTTACTAAGAAGAGCTGTACCTGTGCTAAGTAGTACTTGTGTTTTACATGAAAGAACAGTCCAGGCAGTAGTACGTTATGTAGACACAAGATTTACAGTTGAAGCAATTAGGACATTAAGAGAGATTTTGATTAGAGATACGGATGAATCTGATCGATCTTTATTCTTAGAAGCTTTGCGTCGGGGTTTCTTAGAGGTAGCTGCGTTTGTAGAGAAGTGTTTTGGTAGTTTTAGTGAGAAGCATGGTAGTTCTTTAAGAGCTCAGTATAACAAAATGGCCGTTGGAGATACAGATGTAATTAAGGAAGTAGTTTTATTCTATACGGCTGTTTATAATCAGGCTAAGCATTTAGAAAGTATGGGTTGTAATACAGTTGCTCCACTTTATCCTTTACTTGATATTTCTGAGATTAAAGATAGTGAACTCTTTCGTTTGTGTTCTGAGTTCTGGACTGGACTAGTTAGAGACCTTTTCCTTGAGTTTCCTTTTGTTCCTCCTCCAGTTAAGCAACCGGCTGGTTTACGTCGGACTAAGTATGCTGATGTACTGGCCCGCCTGGTTCGTATTTACTTACGGCAAATGGCTCGACCACAAGAAGTCCTTATTCGAGAGAATGAAGAGGGTGAAATGGTTCTGGAACGTTTATCAGAAACAGATCAGATTGTGCATTGTAATGCTATGAAAGAAACTCTCTTTAATATTTCGGGGATGCTTAGTACGAGTCTTTCTTCTTTCTTCTTAGCAGAAGGTCAAGCTATTCCCCCGGGTAAGTTCTCACGGGATAAAGTTAATCGGTTCTGTTGGACTTCTTGTGCTATTATTGGGACGATGCCTTTAACGGCGGAAAGGGAGTATGTTCTGGGTCTTTTAAAGATCTTATTAGATTTATGTTCTCGGCCGGAAAATGATGATGGAGATAGGGCTGTAGTTGTTTCTTGTGTTTTGTACTTAGTTATTCATGCCCCGAAAGTCCTGAAAAGTTCCTGGGGGATGTTAAGTATTGTAGTCTTTAAGACAATTGAGTTTATGAAGGATGAGTATGTTGGGGCTAAAGATATGGCTTGTGACTCATTCCGGACTTTATTTATGGCATGTGGTCCTGAGTGTTCTGTTTTACATGATAAGGAGAAAGAGCCTTTGATTGAAAAAGTACTGCGGGATTTACCTTATGAGACGGCTAAGTTAGCACCTTATCAGTTAGAAACGGTTTATGAAGGGATGTGTTATGGAGTTGAACATCGGGCTGGAACTTTACTGGGGTATGCTCTATCGGATGTTTGTGCTGGTGCTAATGAGACTTTAGAAGGTTTACAAAGAGCTATTGCTGGGGTAAGAAGGATGCGAGTTGTTTGTCGATCGGTGGCTCCTTCTAGTGAGTTTAAGTCGGCTCGGGAACAAGCTATGCACCGGATGGTTCCTGATATTCAAGAGGTTTATGAACGAGTGAGTAATGGGCCTGGGCACTTACAGAAGGCTAGGAATACTTTACAGATGGAAATAGTAGGGATGTATACGGAGATAGTTAATGAGTTTTCAACTGAGTTTATTCAAGGGGGTGGATTTATTGCAACTTGTGCCCGGATTATCTTAGGACCATTAAGTTCTGGTATTTTCATGGCAGCTGGAGTTGATTTACTGGCTGCTCTTTGTCCTCGTACGGTAGATGGGGCTAAACCATTAGTTGAGGCTGTTTTGGGACCTTTAGCCCAAACTGTGCTTAGTAATGGTGGTGGGGAAGAAGAACTGATGAAAGCTTTCTTCCGACTACTAAACCGAGCGGCCCGATTAATTCCAGGTATGAATAATCAGCAGATTATTGAGTGGTTAGTGATCGGGGCAGGACAAACCCATCGAGAAGTATCGGAAGGGAGTATTGAAGCTATAGCTAGTGTGTTAAAGAGTGCGGCAATAGATACAATCCAAGGCGAGTTCTTTGGGCTACTAGAATGCATAATTGGGGCCGGATTAGATAAGGATCATGAAGGGGGTAAAGATGCCCTAATTATGGCTATTTCAACCCTAGTTCGGTACAGCATTGATGAAACTTGTCCCAGTCAAAGTCAAGTTCTAGAAGTCTTTGGTTTAAGACTGCATCAAACTTTCCCGCATTTAGCCCCTAGTGATATAGAAGAGTTTATTGGCCGACTTTATCAAAACGTCAACTCGCATACTGGTCTGTCCGAAAACCTTGATGATTTCCAAGTCAAAATCAAAACAATCTAATCTCAATCTAATAAATAACATAAACATAATCAAATTAGTACAACTTATCACACCACAAACTTATCACATCACAAACTAATTCAAAGTCTAATACAACTTATCACACCACAATACCAAACACAAAATCAACACTAACTCAAACCAAACACATCACTAACTAATTCAACACAATACTAAACACAACTTAACTTAACACATCACGAACTAACTTAACCAATACTAAACACAAACATAACATCAACACTAACTTAACACAACATCAACACTAACACTAACTCAAACACAACACAACACTAACTAATTCAAAAGCAAGTATATCATAAAATGACCTGCCATCAGTACTAAAAGAACAGAAGGTCAGGTACAAGATGTTTATTTGCATATGGTCCTTATTAGACCCGACGGTAGTAGGAATACTCCTGATCATCCACTTTCCGATCAAGACTATTAAAACTAGATACAGCGGCTGCACCAATACGTAAACGAGCACGTACTCCCCTAGCTATTTGATTAACTCGATCGCGCATTAAAGGCGGTAAGTCATACTGTCGCATTACGTCCTTTGGATTAGCTCCTAAGTACGCCATGATCTCCTGTTGGTACTTCTTGACCAGATTTGTTACTTTCTTTGAATCCCGATGCGTCTGATTATAAGCACGTAATAACTTACCACTATCCCAACTAGGTCTCTCAATATAAGCAAAACTACCAGATAAAGCCATAAGATTATGATAGACATAACCACTTAAAGATTCATAACAACTAGCATTTACTTGCATAAGCATGTGCAAGTTAGACCGAGCCCATAGATCTACTTCAGTCGGACCAATATTCAGGGGACGCCCAATCAATTTACTCTTATAGACAAACTCTTCAACCTCAGCCAATTTAGGCCGACGAGTCAAATGGGGTAAGCGTTTCTGATAATGAACAAATAAATGGTAGTAGTTCAGGTTAAAAGTATACAAAGAAGTGTGTAAATTAAGTCGTTTAGTTGAATCCGACTCTAAAACAATAGCTGCAACCTTCTGCCGCAACTTCTCCAACCGCTCAACCAAAAACTGACTAACCGTCTTATAAGCACAAATAAGTCCCACTTGATGCGTACTTATAAACTCTAAATAATGTTCAAACAATTCTCTAGCTATCTTCCGATCTCGTTTACCCATTAATTTTAACCACAAAAGATAAACCCAAAACATAAGACTGCAATTTAAGACCTCATTCTAAGACCTCCTTCTAAAACCTACAACATCTCATTTCCAGATAACCAAATACAACTTAGCTAGCTCAAAATCAACTAGAGCTTAGATTAAGACTAAACTAATACTAACTTACTCAGACTAATACTAAACTAACATATAACTTAACTCATCTTAACATAACATATAACTCAAACTAATACTAAGACTAACATAGAACTCAAACATAGCTTAAACTAATACCAACCCAATAACTAACCCAACTTAACATAACATATAACATAACTCAACCTAATACTAAACTAACCCAATAACTAACTCAACTTAACACAACTCAATACTAAACTAACTCAACTTAACTCAAAATAACCCAATACATAACTTAACTCATCTTAAACTAATGAGATCTTATTTTAAGACTATCTATTAATTGTAGAGTTTCTTGTTCCTCGGGTGATGCGCCATAATCTGAATGTGGTCCTAATAACAAGGCTAAACTCTTCTGAAGAACTAAAGTATCAGCTGGTCCTAAAGACTTCTTCTGAATATGCGAAAGAGCATTATTCAATAACAAAGCATACTTAAGTCGTTGTGGCACTGGCTCTCTGCGCCAGCCTAATCCAGTTGCTGCCACTAACTGATCAATAAACGAGACTAATAAACCATTAGATAAATCCATTTCAGCATCTAAAGGCATCTTTTCTAAGAAGAACATAAAGATATCTGGATCACCAGCATTAACAGCATAAGAGAAACCTTCTAGAATATTTGTTTCTAGTAAGTGAGTAACTGTCCGAAATGGATCTTCTTGATAAGAATTAGAATGACCTTCTAAACGTAAACTATCCACAAATTGATCTAAAGTCTCATCCCGACTATCAACACTCGGATACTCTTCTTGTTCTACTTCTTTCTCTAAAGGTAAAGATATACCTTTAACATGTTCTAGAACTTGTAATCGCATTTCATTAAGACCATTTTCAACAGTAGGAAGTAAAGCATCAACTACGCCGCTTTTTAAAGTACGATTGATAGCCGTTTGAATAGATTTACTTTCTAAGGCATTACTAACTGCTTGTACACAAGCATAAGATAATTCGTGCATACGTTGATCTATACGTGAATGAACGGCCTTTTCTATTTTTTGTGATACATGAGTTCTTATCTCTCTTTGAATTATACTTTCAAAGAGAACAGCTACGTTCTTATTGAGCTGTTCTGATACTGTTTCTAAAAGTCGCTCTAATCGTTGTCTTTCGGCCAATTCACGGTCTTTAATTAGTTCTTCAGTACGTTCGTACATTTTTAGCACGGCAGTTTCAAATTGACTAGAAAGTCTTTTTAGACCTTCTTCACAAGTAGTACATTGGTTCTCTAATGGATCAACAGAGTGAGACATTGAGGTAGTGAAAAAAAAAGATATATATTGAGTTGAGATATGCTGTGTTTATGTCGTATTTGATTGGATTAGATTGAGTTTAGTATTGAGTTGAGTTTAGTATTGAGTTGTGTTTATGTTATGTTAAGTTGAGTTTAGTATTGTGATGAGTTAAGTTGAGTTTAGTATTGAGTTGAGTTTGGTATTGAGTTATGTTTATGTTATGTTATGTTAAGTTTAGTCTGAGTAAGTTAGTATTTAATCAGAGATAGATTCAGATACGGACTGGGTAGAATTTATTGTGTTATGATATGATATGGTAGAGTTAAGTTGTACTAGGTTGTACTAAGGTGTACTAAGGTGTACTAAGTTGTACTAAGCTCTGGTAATAGTTAATTAGAGGCTGATAATTAAGATCAGATCAGGAAGGGATTAACATGGTGCAATAAATTGGATTAAGATGATAGTGAGTTGAGTTGAGTTTGGTATTGTGATGGTATTAGTACTGGGTTGGTAATGGATTGTGATCGGAATGGTAGATGTGGTTGGTGGTGGTGGTTTAGAGGTAGATGACTCGGTTCATGAGCTTGGCTAGGGCGGGGGAGTGGGAAATGATGATTAGAGTTGAGGGAAGGGAAAGAAGGTACTGAATGATGGTGAGCTCTATTTCTTGGTTGATTTTGGAGGTAGATTCATCTAGGATAATGATGTCGGGATTCTTGAGAAGAACACGGGCAATGGCGACTCTTTGCTTCTCGCCGCCGGAGAGGTTCTTGCCGTCGTCTCCAAGCAGACATTGGTAGCCGCCTTTTTTGGTTTGAACTATACGGTCGATTGAAAGGTCATAAACTAAACGTTCAAGTAGTTCGGTTGGAACGGAATGGGGTACGCCGTAGAAGAGATTGGCTTCTAGAGTTTGGTTAAACATACCGGAGTCCTGGGGAACAATGCCTATTTTGCTGGTGATATAGTCTTTGGAAAGATTGCGGATGCTTTCACCATGAAGAAGAATATCACCGGAAAAGACATAACGTTTAAGAAGAAGGGAAAGAAGAGTGCTCTTACCACAGCCACTTTGACCAACAATACAGACCTTGTCTCCTTTTTGGATAGAGAAAGACAGATTGTGGAAAAGAGGTCGTTCCTGACCGGGGTAAGTAAATCGGACCGATTGAAATTCCAGTAGTTGTTCTGAATCCAATGGGGTTGGGCTAGTAGCTAAAGAAGAGGATGATCCCATAGCCCTATTTGGTGAATGAACAGGTAAGTTAGCAAATAGATCGTGTTTAGCTTTGAGATACTCTTGGCAGTCAACATAACAAACACAGATATCCTTACTAGCTAGAGCAATAGCCGATAGATTATTATCTAATGTCTTGGAAAACTGAGCTAGAGAAAAGATAACACTTACCAGCTCTAGATTCTGCTGGTTAAAGTAAGCATAGAAGAAAAGGAAGACAAACAGGACAGTATAGATTGATTTTTGAACAATATGCAAGATTAAGACCAGCCAGGCATCTTTGTACCGAAGGTGTAACAAGTTCTTCAAGTAATATTTAAACCGGTGTAACTCAGTAGATTCAGTATTACTACTCTGAATTAGCACTAAGTTCTTAATGCACTCCATAATCTTAGTACTGTACAAGTCATCACACCGATTTCTACTCTGCTTATACTCCACTCGTTTCTGAATAAAGAACCAAGTTACTCCCAAGTAAACTGTATTAAGAACCACTACAATTCCCAAGTAAAACCAGCCCAGCTCAGCAATCTCCCAAAGTACTAGCAGTGAACTTACTGTCTTACTAAGAATCACCCCTAAAAACTTCGTTAGAAACGTACTCATACTCTTGTTCCCTCGATCAACCACCCGACTTAATCGGACCGGTGATAAGCTCAAACTACTATAAAGACTACCAAAGAATAATAATCGCGACAACTCCATAATCACCTTATTAGTAAAGGCACAAAAAGATACAGTGTAGCACTCTCGAAAAACCGAGCTTAAAGTACTATAAAAGACCCAAAGCCACAACTGCTGTTTAGCCGCACTCGGATCATTAGCTAAGTTCAAAATCAGTTTAGAAGTCAGGTTAACACTTTGCACCCCCAATCGATTAGAGAAGCCACAAAGCACCACGCCAAGTCCCAGACAAAACCAAGCCGTCCACCGCGAAGGCATGTTCAGTAGCAGCACAACCAACTCTCTTCCCACCGAAATACTCCGCGCATCTTCACTCCCTATTTCAGCCCCGCCAATTTTATCTCCAATACTGTCATCAACACTAACACTACCACCAAGTCCAATGCCATTATCACCCATCTTGGTTTTTACTCCCACCCCACTATCTCCACCATCACCCACTCTACTATCTCCATTATCACCCACTCTACTATCTCCATTATCACCCACTCTACTACCTATACCATCACCACAACCACTTACTATACTATCTCCAGACAAGCCAATCTTTGTCAAATCGACCCATTCAGATTCACAACGACTGCCTTGTGGCTCGGACGAGCTTAAAACAATCTCTTCTTTAACAACACAAGTACGCCGCATGGGTTAACCGGCAATTTTTTACTATAACATCATCTAACCCCACTAATCACCTCTTTCCCGCCAATTAAGAACACTATTTATTCTATCACTTATATCTAAGACTTAAGGCCATTGTTTTAAAGCCTCGTTTAAGAACATCGTTTTACTTTTGTTTTTCTTCTCTCCATGAACATGATCTTAATTGGAGTTGATACGAATGTATTCTTAGATAGTTTGGAGTGTGTGAAAAGGTTAGTAGTGCATTTAAATAGTCTAAATGCTGGAATCTTTGTGCCTCGGGTGATAATTAGGGAGTTAGATGCGATAAAAACCAAATCAGCCACTGCTCGTGAAGCGACTAAGTACATACTAAGCGAAATGGGCCGATCGGTTAACCAGAAAGTCTTTGTAGAGAACTCAATTGAAGTACAAGGACAGACTAATGATGATACATTTGCTATTGCCTGTTTAAACAACCATGTGGATATTATACTAACTAACGATACGGCTTTACGAGTGAAGTCTATTAGTGCAGGAACACCAGCTATAGCTACTGTTGGGAAAACAGCTGAAGATTTATGTCGTGAAATAGAAGAGCATCTTAAGGATAGTGACTTTATGGAGACTGAGCTTAGAGGAGACTATGTTGGGGAAAGGAATTCAGTTGAGTCTTCAGTAGCCCATTTGATTTATACGAAGCGTCTGCATCCAAAGTTAGTTAAAGAACTTGGGGCTGATCTTATTTCAGACTATGTACCAGATACAATTGCTTACTCATTGTCCGCCCAACTCAAGTACATTGTGAAGAACTATGAGACTTTCACGGGAATGCTACCACGGTATGCCAAAGGAATCTTCCAAGGGAAGTTGAAGAAAGAGTTAGAGCTAGCCGATATTGAAGAGATTCTTTTGATTCTTGGTATTGATCCACCCGAGTGGTTCAAGCAAATGCAGCCATAATAAAGGTTTATAATAGGTTTAATAGAGTTACTGCGATAAGGTATTGAATTGGTATTGAGTTGGGATGGGATTGAGTTGGGATTGTGTAGGTGTGGGGGAGGTGGAGATGGAGATCGGTGAGGTTAGTGAGGTTAAGGTGGTATTGGGATTGGGATGGGAGAGTTTTGTAGAAGAAGTTGGCAGAAGAAGTTGTGGCTAATATTAGTATGGGATGGGGGTAGTGATGTTTAGAGTGGGGTAGAATTGGTTCTAGATTGGGGCGCTTAAAACTGGGTTTAGAGTGAATATAGATGGGAGATGCGTTGCGACGGTTAAAGAAAGAGGGAGTAAGTTCGGTTTATTTAGGGACTTCGGTGGCGGATTGCTGGGCTATTATTGAGTTGGCGGCTGCTGGGGAGGTAGTGGCAGTTTCGGCCGAAGTTGGGACAACCTGGGCAAGTTCTTCTCTTTATGAGTGCGCCTGTGCGGAGGAAGTCTTAATTAATCACCAGATTGAGCCGCCGTTAGATGTGCCGGTTGAGACTAATTTGCAATTGTTGCGACCGAAAGATCCTTTAGTGCACTACGTATCTCGCTTGTTTGCGTGGCAGAAAGTATTCATTCCTATTTATCAGGTAGTGTTGCAGGATGGCCGGCGAACGGTTAAAATGCCCAATAGTCGTGAAGAGATTGCCATGTCCTCTAGTATTCCAACTGAAGATAAGCTAGCGCTGTACCATTGTATGACTAATGGGTTTGCGGAGAACTTTAGTGAACTATCGGAGCCGACTAAGACTATGCTCCTCTCGGCCTTGGCTGGAACGACTTCCATGTCGGCTGAGGCAGTATTGAATGTACAGAGCCATTTTGGACACTTAGGCGGCCCACAGTATCTTTTCCCAGCTAAGACTTTCTCAGCAATTTCATGGCTTCTACTTCAGTCACATCCAAGCATTCATTATGCCCCAACAGTTGATCTGCCCGATCCATCTAAACGCACTCCGCCTTTTATTCTGAATATTGCTGGTCTTGGTGAAATAACCGCTAGACAAGTTCTTGAAAGTCCTAAGAATTATAAACAGTACTTACGCATCTTACTTCTCAAAAGACCCTTTACATCTACACCAACTAAACATACTTTTCTTATTGATCAAAATCACATTCATGGTTTGTCAATTACGTTAAAATCAATTAATTATCTATACCTTTGGTCAGATAAGACTGTTCCAGGCACGATTATAAGATCAGTTGGACTTAATCCTGAATCTCTTCTTTTCCATGCCGAACTGGTATCAAACAGCTCTAATAGTTGGTGTTCTTTCGATATTTAAATAAATATGGCCTACAGTGCTCCCAAACACACGTCACCAATGAATACCAGGAAAGGATCACCATCTAATCGCCCAAGCGCTGTTTCTGCCTTGGTTCCGTTAGATGACACCCATGACATTCTTTGCCGAAATATGCCCCCGAATGCGTTGTTCTTCTGCAGTTCGTGCAAAGAGGTTCTTCTCCAGCGGAACATTCCAAACCATCATTGTGTTGAAGTGACGCGGCCAAATGAACTCTTAGAGACCTTTTATAACACGCGTTGTGCCGTGCCTGACCCAGAGAGTGGGGTTGAGTGTGCCAGGAGTCTTAACTGCAAAGTTCATAGTGCGCATTTGAAGCGAGCAGTTACCAAGCGAACAATCGCCTATGACGTACTAATTAAGAAGAATGCCGAGGAGAAGAAGAGAAAGAAGAGTAGCGGTGTCGATCTGGAAGAAGAGCGACCTGAAAAGAAGAAGAAAAGGAAGGAGAAGAAAGACAAGGTATCCGATAGTTATGTAAAGCTAGAGGATAACATCACCAGCCGCATTCTAGCACACGTTCCTGTGATCGAAAAGACCTTCTGTCTCCCGGATATCAAATTCAATACACTGGCCATCCGGAGCATCTTTTTCCAGCCATTAAAGATCCAAAGAATGCTCCAAGAGAAGAAGATGGCCCGCCACCAATAAATACAACAACACACACCTATTTATTGAGTTGAGTTAGTAATTAGTTAGCAATTAGTTAGTATTGGGTTGAGTTGAGTTAAGTTGAGTTGATGTGGGTTAAGTTGATGAGAGTAGTAGTGTGGTATGGTATGATATGGTGGGGTGGAGTGGTGGTAGTGAAATCTTAGTGAGATAGGGTGTGGTGTGGAAGAACAAAGGCCAGGTGGTGTTGAGTTATGTTAGATTTGGGTTTGGACGAGTTGGTAAGATGGCCTATTCTAGGAGTTCAGCTTCAATCTGGTCGAGAGCGAGTTGGAGCTGGGTGGACGAAAGTAGTAGGGTGTCCAGTCGAAGATGGGGCCAAAGAGGAGTTAGAGTTAGATTGGCATCTAGTAGAAGGGCCGTGATTAGAGCATCGGTATGGATGGCTTCAGAGCGATCCATGAGTTTAGCATAGGCCTCTGTTAGTCTGATGTGGCTTTCTAAAGCTCGGACAGTTGTGCCAGGTGTTCGTCGTTGTCGCTCATAGTACTTACCAATCAACAAGCGAGCCTGATCGGAAAGAACAACCTGTTTAGGCCGACGGCGAAGTAAAAGATCTCTTATGTATACAGTAGCACTTTCATTGGGCTGTCGCCAAATAATGCTACGACAGATGTCTTCATTATTAGGAGTTGCGTCATCAAGAGATAAAACCAAATCAAAACGTGAGAGTAGTGGGGGTGGTAGTTTAAGAGAGGGAAGAATTCCCTCCCGGATAATTGCTGCATGCCGAATCGCAGCTACTACCGAGCACCGAGTATCTAGCCGCACAAGCATTCCTGCTTTAGCTACAGTCAAAGTCTGCTGCTCCATAGCTTCGAGAATAGAAGCCTTGTCCTCCTTCTTAAGCGATCCAAACTCATCGATGCAGCAAATACCGCCATCGGCCTGGGGCAAAGCTCCCGGCTCAATACTCCAATTGTTCTTCTCGCGAATTGCACAGGCAGTCAGGCCCGCGGAGGTACAGCCAATGCCAGTAGTTAGCACAGCCGGTTTTAAGGTCTTGGCGGCAAATGAAAGGAACTCGCTCTTTCCTGATCCAGTGCGCCCCACCATTAATAGGTGGCAAGAGGTTCGGTTCTTAGTTTGAGCATCTCTGTACAACTGCTCAGCATTCGAACTACCACTGCCCTCTTTGGGGTCTTTCCGAGACTCACAGCCGCCTAGAGAGCACAGAAGCATGCCTAGCTTGCAGTGGAGTAGTCCATTCAGCCGCGGGGCGTACTGAGAAAGCGCCTCCATAAGTGTATGGTACTCACTGGGCCGAGCCACCTCAACGGGCGCGGGACTAGCGAGTGGAGTCTGCTTAGAAATGCTTAGGGCAGAGAGCGCATATTCACAATCTAGTGGCTGTAAAGGCCTGATCCTATTCCAGAGCACTTTAACCACGCCTGTAATTCTTAAAAGCTCGCCAGGCCGACAGCTTTCCACAAGCGGTCCTTCTAAATAAACAGTTATGGTCTGCGATAGATAAACATTACTGCGCTCTTGCACACGAATCTCTTGGTAATCAACTTTGCGGTCGGCATCTTGGCGAAAACCAAGCAGGCCAATTTTCAGCACAGTGCCATAGATACTCACAATGCGGCCGTAATGAACAGAGAAGGGAAATCCAGCCAGATCAAAGGCAGAAGGAATGTTCACTAAAGGCCTAGGCGACTCGCCGCTTGCAATTTGGTCCAGCTGGCTAAGCAAGGCCTGGGGGTCTTTGTCATAGGCCTGCATTACATCAAGCGGTGTAATATCGGGGCTATCCATTACTTTCAATGGGGAGGACAGATTTTTTGTCTTTGATACTCTCTAGACGCTTTTTGGTACTATTTGTATCTAAGATATCAATGCGATCAATACGTACGTGGTAATAAACAGTTTTTCCTTTGATTTCTAGCTTAGTGGTGTGCTCTGTCTCTTTGGGGAAGAGATTGATGAATAAAGCAACTCTTTCTAGGGCCAGGGAAGTCTTATAGGAATAGAAGAAGCGGCTGGCCTTCTCTCGCGTCCAGGATCCTTTGAGAACAAAAGGATGCACCCCGGCTCGTTTCTTCTGGAGGTGGTAGCACCCAAAGAACCGCTTCTGCAGCATGCGGATGGTTTCAACTCCGTAGCGATTGAACTTCTTTTGTTGTTCAGCAATCTTATGGAAGAGATTCTCATTGTTGATGATTAGCTGCAGAACCTCTTGTGGGTCGGATTCGCCGGGAAGGTCTAAATCGTAGTCTTTAATGATGGCGCTTCGGCGGCCACCCATTTCGCATTGTAGTATTCCTCTGATATACGAGGTTTTCTTGAGATCTTCTGTAATGGCGCCGCAGGGAACAATGCGGGTACCAATGCGCTGTTCGAGGGCTAGTCGACTCTCTCGGTTAATGTAGCCAATGTTTGTGGCAGTCAAGTACTTGTAGCCTATTCGCTTGGTTAGACACTGGGTGTACTTAATGGCCACATCGGGGCGAGCGGGCACAGACTTTTCAAATAGGCGCAAACGAATGACTCGGCCACACCGGGTCCGGCACACTACGTGACTAGCTCGCACAGATATGGGCTTATTGAAATCCACCGAGCATTCCAGGATCCCAGGCATTCTATTTTGTTCCATCTCCTAAACAATTGCCACTAAACAATCTACTTAAATAGACATTAATTGAGAGGCCCAAGTGGGAAATAGCCAAAAGGGCATTTATTGCTTGCTATCTAGGGTTAGTTGTGCCGCGAGCCAATATGGCGGTGGAGTAGGTGGTACTCCTTAGTGAGCTGCTCTGCTCGATACCGGAAGCGGGTTGGGGGAATGTTTGTCTTTTTCGGGTCATTAACTAGCCGGCCTTCTATGGCATACTGACCCAGCCATTCCTCCTTGTCCTTGTCAGGAAAGCTGCTAATCAAAACACTATTTCGGGCAATTTCACACTGGTCACAGGAAGAAAGCTTCCAAATTTGGGCCGCAATACTATACTCCTCCATCAGTGGCTCACGGGTATAGTGGAATTGCAAGGGGTCATCAGTTGATAGTGAAACATTGAGGCCCCGATAGAAGAATTGCGGGAAAGGGTTCTTCCTGTATTCAATAAAGAGGGAGTTGTTACTTAAAGGAGACATTGCTATGCCTACCTGTGCCAAGTAGTACAAGTACTGCAGGACAGGTGCCTTGCGCAGCTTCACTCCATGGGCGATGCTCCGGCTAAGCAAAAAGGCCGCTGCTAAGTGCTCAGTTTCACCACTTTCTCCTGCGTGGGGTCGGAAGCTAAAGATGTTTAGTCCCCGAGCTGCCCTTATGCGGTTGAGCATGGCAACATGGTAGAACATGTGGTACATATAATAGGTATACGGCGGATTGTCTTTGTGTTTCCATTTGGCGGGCGGTTCTTTCTCCAACTCACTGCGCTTATTCTTCACGCTTTCATCATCGACTGAATCAAAACCAACCACATCTAGCAAGAAAGTCCCAATGGAATTCTTAGCTTGGTCCTGCGAAACCTCCAGTAAGGACCCAAAGATATTTGACAAGAACTCTTGGAAACTCTTTATCTGGCCGTATCCTTTAAAGAGACCGTAAAGCCGCGGAACTTGAATGTACCAGCGAATGCTTGGGCTGTGGATGTCAAACCTTTTGATCCAATCGGAAAGAATTCTAGCCTCATCTGGCTTCTTCCCATAAATAGATATACCCCACTCGCACTTTAAGTATTCTTTCTCTTCAATCTCCTCAATCAACTCTTTAGTTATCTCAGCCAAGTACTTACCACCAATATAATTATCATGCTTTAGGAAGACTTCTCTTAACAAGGGCACGCCATACGGATTGTATTTCGAATTAAACCGGTCGAACCGATGAAACGTATCAATGTTTGAGTGCGTATCTAAACTATCTAAGCACAAGGTGTCTGGAGTCTTATTAATCCTTTGGAAGATATTCTGCAGTGTTTGCTCCTCGCCATCCTTGTAAACCACCTCATTAGGTTCTTCACGCAGCTTCTTCTTAATGAATTGGAGGAGCTTCTTTGAATTCATACTTGCCGAGTGATGAATATGTGTGTCAGCCTTAACGACTGTGTAAATGTCCTTAGAAGATGCCGTTTTCTGTTCCTTCTTCTCTTTAGCCGAGGATGTATTATGATGTAATTTGAACTGCAACTCTAAGTGTTCTAATCGCTGAAAGCAGTAGCTCTTTAAAGGTCCATAGTGTGTGATTCTGTTCAAGTATTCCATGTCATGGTAGAACTCCTCAGCACTTGGAATTACCATACTATCTTTTTCTAGTTTATACATTCCATCCCCGCCAAGACCAGCTCTAATTTCTTCTTCCGGCACGTACTTCTGCCACTTCTTATTCTGTAGACTCACACGCATGTATTTCTTCCGTAAATCCATCGCCTGGACCAGCAACCCCACTAAATGTGATCGTTCTCGCCGTGTTTCTCCATCAGACGACATTTTAAATGAATTACCTACAGTCCAAACTATGTAATTAGTTTCATCAGCCCCTTAACCCGCCACCCTCTACCACATCAAAACAACTTAATACCCATTCGCAACTCCCATCCTACTATACACCCAGCAATATACCACTTCACCACGCATCAAATATTATACGATCTTACGTCATCACTAACACATTACAACTTACATTACATTATATTACATTACATTAACACAATACACAACACCAACACATTACGTTACATTACAATACAATACCCTACTAACACAACACAATACCAACGCCAACTTAACACAACTTAACACAACCCAACCCACCATAACACAATTCAATACAATTAGACTAAATCAAATACATCATTCAAACGTTAACTTATACCTTATTTACTTATTCATTCATGTGAGATCTTTTGCTGCACCTTGATTAGATTCAAAATACTGTGGGGTGAATTCTTCAGCAGATCCCTGATCAAGGCCTGATGCGCCCCAGCCCCAACCTGCTGTCTACTCCATGTATTCGGCCTTTTAAACAGACCCTGCACCAAAGCATAATAATAAATCGACTTATAAGTCCAACTATAAAAGGGATAGCATAAATTCACTCCAGCCCGCACAAACATCCCAGGGTACCTATCTATCTCCCCCTTAGCTATCATCCGCAACAGAATATCAGCCACCTCAGCCGAGTACTGACTAAACACCACACAGTCATAATGATACTTAACTCCATACTGCACTACAGCTCCCACCCGTTCATAGGGCTCCACTCCCGCTGCAGTTAAATGCACAGCCCCCTCCCTAGGCCTATCTAAGGTACAATAAGCATACTCCACCATTACACTCTTATTCTTCGTCGTAACATTATAAAGTACATCCGAGGCCAAAGTATTCTCCAACACACATAAAACCCGTCTTACCTTCTTCCGATCCGTCTCCACCAGGCCTTTCCTTACCTCACTAGTCACCGATCGTTCAAATCTCTCAATAAAACACAACTTACAAAACCCAGACTGCGATAAAAGAACCCTAGCGGCTCCAGAACAGCACTCACATCGAATACTTCTTTCTTCCATTCTTTCCGTCTTTTTGGTATCTCCAATCTCTCCGGCTAGACCACGACAGCCTCGATCCATAAAATCTTGCTAGATATGCATTATTTATGTCAGCAAAAATTAGGATGAAAGAGACCGAAGTACTTGAAGCTATCAAATCAGTTTCAGAAGAGATTGTTATGCAGTGTAAAGTAATGTCTAAGTGGGTTGTCTCAACTGCCCATGCGGCCCAACGTAAGATTCAAAAGGACAAACAAGAAATCCTTAGGAAACAAGAATTACTAGAAGCTACAATCAGTCAACTAAAAGAAGAGAACTCTAAACTACTTGATGACCGCCAGAAGTTAGCTCTAGAAACCGAGTCAGAGCAAGTGGAGATCGAAAGACTCAAAGAAGAGCAACAAGCGATTGAAGGTCGACTTAGCCAGACCAAAGACAAACTCAAGTGTTTACAACAAGTCTATGCCCAACAATTATCAGCCACCAACCGATTAAGAAGAGAGTTACAACAGGACGAAGTCTTAGCTGAGAAGAATCTCCTAAAAGCCGAAGAAAGGATTAAGCAGTACCAAGCCCGTTTAGGTTTTAGTATTGAGCCGCTTAGTATTGGTTCAGTCAATTTTGTCTTTAACTTTAGTAGTCGCTTGTATGCCTTTGCTATTGAAATGGGTGATACCTATATCATTCATAAGGCTAGTGTAGAAGAGGAGAAGTATGCACCCTTATTGGAAGAACTCAACCAAACTCAAGATCTTTATGCCTTTATTCGAGGTATGCGTTCTCTTTTTGCCGCCGAGGATAAGGAAAACCAAGATAATACTGGCACTAAGCAGTAATTTCGATTGAGTTAGTATAGGGTTAGTATGGGGTTGGGTTGAGTTGGGTTGAGTTGAGTTGAGGTAAGTGAAGGTAGTAGTAGTTAGTAAATAGTTTAGTTTAGGTTATGTTGATTTATTATTGGGTTTGCTTAAGATATGATAAGATAGGGTGTAATGAGGTGTGGTGTAATGTGGTGTAGTGTGGTGTAGTGTGGTATGACAAAACGTAGTAAGTATTGGGTAGTTAGGGCGGTGTAGGAGCAAGATAGTTGGCTCTTTTGATGGGCTGGTTTTTCTTATGCATAATACCAAAGAGATTCTCAACGACTTTAGTGATCTGCTCATTCCGTAACCGGGCCTTAAGAGCCCGATCGTCTGAGACTCGTCTCTTAATGGGCGTGTTCTTAAACGTATGTGCTGGTGGGAAACGTGGTAAGAAATCGTAGTAATTGGCTGGATACTCAGCGTACGTGCATATTTCACTAGTATAGACCGGTATAGGGTCTGTTTCAGGCTCTTGGGCTAGTACTAAAGATTCTTGTGTCTCGGGTATGTCTTTGACCCATTGCAGTAGTGGCACGGCATCTACAAGGGCAGGTGAGTTACGATGGGCATCTTCAGCTTGTCTCTTTAGCTTATAACTCAAATAAACAGTGTAATTGATAAGTGTGTCACTAAGTAGGGCAAGAGCTGGGGCTTCAACATGTGAAAATCCAGACTCTTTTAAGACAACCGCAATGACCGCCTTAGTAGCACTAAGTATGGCTTCATTATCCATGCTGCCTCTCTTTTTTTTATGCTAGAACGAGTTAATGCTTTGCCTTTGGTTGACCGAATTGGGGCCTATTCGCATATTTTAGGATTGGGTGAAGTTAAGTTAGGATTGGGTGATAGTAAGGTAATGGGAGACCAAATGAGTGCTGGGAAAGAGTTAAGTGATGATAGTTGTGGATTAGTTGGACAAGTTCAAGCCCGGCAAGGACTTAAACTCTTGCAAAAGCTGGCGGCTAGTAATCAAGGAAGACTAGCTATTTTAGCGGGACCGGCTGGAAGTGGTAAAGGTGCCCTATTAGCCGGATTAAAGGCTGAGTTAAAACGAGAGGAAGTGCCATGTACTGTTTTGTCTGGTAGTGAGATACACTCTTCTGCACTGAGTAAGACAGAAATTCTGATGCAAGGCATTAGACAGTCCTTGGGCATGCGAGTGAAAGAGATAAGCCGGATTATTGAAGGAGAAGTAGTTGAGATTAGTGTAGATAGAGAGAGGGGTAGCTCCGGGAAGATTGTTTTGAAAACAACTGATATTGAAGGTATCTTTACTTTGGGAGAGAAGATGTTGCTGGCTTTATACCAAGAAAGAGTTGAAATTGGCGATGTCGTGCGGATTAACAAAACAACCGGTACAGTACAGCGCTTAGGCCGAGCTCTTTCTAAGGCAAAGGATCACGAACTGATTGGACCAAACAATCAGTTTATACCTACTCCGGAAGGGGAACTACTAACTACGCGTGAGGAAAGACATACTGTTACTTTTCATGAGATAGATCTTATCAATTGTGAGCACTTAGGTCCTTCTTCTGTTCATCGTAGTGCGCTGGAGATTCCGGCGGAAGTACGGGAAAGTGTAGATGCTTCTATGAAAGAATGGGTAGAGGAAGGAAAGGGCGAATTAGTTACGGGTATGTTATTTATTCCAGAGTCGCACTTACTGGATTTAGAGTGCTATGCTTTTCTTAATACAGTAAGTGAACTAAGACAAAGTCCGGTGGTTATTCTAGCGACAGATCGTGAACTTGGTATTCCTCGAGGGGGTTGTGAGTCTTGGCCTTTTGGCGTACCTAGTGACTTCTTCTCACGGGCTCTGCTGATTCAAACGACGGTTTATAGTTTAGATGAGGTGCAAGCTATTGTGCGTTTGCGTTTGAATTTAGAAACGGTGAATGCTGATGAAGAAACAGTACGGGCATTAGCTGAACTTGGCCAGTCGCAAGGTCTTCGTTATTGCTTTAGTCTTATCTCAATTCTTGATGTACTAACTCAGCGCCAAAACCGGCCAACTACTCGAGAGAGTCTAGATCTGGCCAAATCCCTTTTCCCGCCTAATGCCAACTAGTTCCTAATAAGGCAGATTAAATTGAGATTACGTTTAGTATTGTGTTGTGTTTAGTTTAGTTCAGTATTGTGCTGAGTTTAGTTTAGTTTAGTTTAGTTCAGTTTAGTTTGGCTTAGCTTAGCTTAGGTGACTCAACTCGATGCTGATTTAATGCTAATTTAGTATTAAGCTATGTTGGTAGTAGGTGGTAGTGGGGTGAACTGAGGTGGTGGGAATAAAAAGGTCGCAAATACTAACCTAATAAGCTGGTGGTGCTCTGGTATTGGGTTGTTACTGACTGGATAGTGAAGAAATAGATAAGAGGAACAATAAAGAGAGACTAATCGGGTAAATTTTCTTAATGAGTCACCGATTAGACGTAACATTATCTGAGCGATATCGGCCTAAAACTATTGATGATCTGGCTGGAAATGCCTTTATTAAGAGTGCGCTGACTTCGTTTGTTCAGAACAGAGACATTCCGCACTTTCTGTTCTTTGGGCCTCCTGGAACTGGTAAGACAACGGCGGCTAAAGCTATTGCCCGTTCGGTACTCCCGGGTCTGGAACGTAGTTTGATGGAGCTGAATGCCTCGGATGAAAGAGGAATAGATGTAGTTCGTGAGAAAATTAAGGCCTTTGCCGCTTGTTATAGTATGCAAGGCGGTCCTTATAAGATAGTTATTCTGGATGAAGCCGATTCAATGACTAAAGATGCTCAAAATGCGCTTAGAAGGATTATTGAGCAGTACTCTAAGAACGTGCGGTTTATTATCATTTGCAACTACTCAACGAAGATCATTCCAGCTATTAAATCCCGTTGTGCTCCCTTTCGGTTTGCTCCCATCACTAAGCCAGAGATTATAGCGTACGTGCGGTCGGTTGCCTACAAAGAAAGAATTGAGATCACTGATGAGGCTTTAGATGCCCTGGCTGTTTATGCTAATGGAGATTTAAGAAGAGCTATGAACATCTTGGAAGGTCTGTCTATTCAAGGGTCAATTACGTTGGATAGTATGCGGATGTATTACGCTGGTACGGGACATGGCCAGATTGAAAAGTTCTACCACAGTCTATGGGTGGATGGGTTTACTTCATTAAAGACTACTTTGGTGGCGATCAAGCGAGAACTAGGTCTGGGTATCAAGGAAATCATTGCGCAGATCTCTGAGTATCTTAAAGATTCGGATAACAAAGAAGCAGCGGATATTATGAACGAGCTTTCGGAAATTGAGCACCGGGTTAGTACAGGATGCTCGGAAGAAGTGCAAGAGAATGCGATGCTGGCTTCGTTTGTATTAAGACAATAATGGACTTGGCCAATAATTTTGTATGGGTGTGTTATCGAGACAGAACCTGTTGCTTTCTTGGCAAGTAATTGGACTGATTAGTATTGGGGTGGTGCTTAGAATGGCACGGGTTGATCAATGGCTGGATCGAGTGAGCTATTATGACGTGGTTGAGGGATATGGATATCAGCGCGGCAATCCTTATGCGGAGGAGCCTTATATGCTAACTAGATTGGTTTGCTGGATAGTGCCTGAGTGGGGCTTTGACTGGTTTATGCTGGCGTGTGATGGACTGACGGCATGGTTATTGAATGATTACTGGTACTTTGTTCTGGGATCGGCTTTGCCGGTTGATGCGGTTGGTGTGCTGGGTCTAGGAGTTGCGTTGGCTTACTGCTGGGGAGGACGAAGAGGCCGAGCGCTTTTGGGAGGAATGCTGGTGGAGAATACGGCTAATAAGTGCCAGCCGGGGATTAATCCGTTCTGGTACGTGAATATACAGATGCTGGACCAGTACCAAGCTATGCACCACCAGATCTTCTATGCCACTCACTATTTATTCTGGGGACTATCATGGGCAGCACAGGAATGGACAACTCAGCTGTTTATGGGGTTGGTTTTTAAAGAGGGCGGGTACAAGATGTACTTGCTCTTATGGCGATTGCTGGCACGGGAGATGGTGATGTTGCCGGAGTATAAGTGGGTCTTTGGGTGCTTGGAAGGGATAGGTGCGTTGTGCTATCTTTTGGAGAGTCTTATTTGGTGGTTGCTTGTGCGCTGTGGTGTGGGCAATATGAATTTCTTATGTTGGGTGACACTAATCTTTATCCTATGCTCGGCGGCAGCTACACTTTTAGTTGAAGTAGGCAAGCGAGATGGCAAAATGGCTGCGGCCAAAGCAGTGAAGGCTAAGTCTGTTTAAGCGTAGGCAGTTAGTATTGAGTTAGTATTGAGTTAGTATTGAGTTGGTATTGAGTTGAGGTTGGCATTATGATTGAAGTATGATGGTAATAATAAAGACACTTAAGTTCGTATTTAAGTTAGTGTTACTAGATTGATTGGCATAGACATTGGCTTATTTATTGGCTTGGTGTGATTATGATATGTTTAATGACTGAATATCAATATGATTGTGTTTGAAAATAAAGATGCTTATCCGGAATGTCCTAAAATGGTCCAGAAAGCAGCTGATATAAGGTTTTGGGATATTTTTGACTTATCGCTGGTCTTCAAAATAGTTACGCTTTTGGGTAAGTCTGGGACCGGCTGTTCGGAATCTTCTTTATGCAAGTAGAAGACTGGTTTGCTACGAAGAGCTTCAGTGATGTCTTTAGGCCAGTTCCGGAATTGGCCTGAGCTGCCATCAATGAACAGAGCAGCCACCTGGTTAATATCAGCCAGGTCGCGAGGAGAAGAGACTAGCCGATAACGCTGCCCAGTGTGCTCAATCTCATGGCCTGGTTTCAATTGCACATTTGGCGCATCAGCTAAAATGGCCTTAATTGTCTCCAGAGTAGTCTCTGGAACACTGGGAACCACAATGTAAGCCAAGCCGGTTTGTCCAAAAGTCTTCAACCCATTGTACTTCGCAACTAAACCCTGAACATCAAATGATTCAACCCGCGTTGGCAGAGCCACCCGAGTGCGCTCATTAGTGGGCGGGATTAATAGATCGGCAATAATCCTTTCGCGATCCATAAAGGAAACCGCGTCTATGTCCAAATTCCGACAGGCCTTCAAGTACTCGCCATGGTCCTGGTCTTTCGTGCAGTAGAGCTGAACAATAGCAGCCAAACTATACGGCAACCCTCGCTGGCTAGTGTAAGAGCTTTTGGTGCTCAAGTCGTACTGAAGATCTCCAATTACTACTTGATTGCCCGCAATAGCTATTCGAGTGCCATGGGCTATTCCTCTCTTTAATGCTAAGACTGCAGTACTCTTCATTAGGGGGACAAATATTCTTCTAAATAAGCAGTTGGGTCATTTATTCAGTTGCTCGAAGGTATCCCGTAACTACGGTAGTGTGCTTAATCCAATTCTCATCTGCCTCTGAGGAGAGTCCATTAACTAGCACACTAGAAATGGCCTTACGGCTGAAACAGTATTTGTACTTAAGCGTGGCTGCGGCCCGATGGGGTTCAGAGCAATGGACTGTAATTGAAGCATTCCGACCGGAAGTGAGCTTCCAAACCAAACTGCGCATTGTGGGCACGTATTCATAGCTGCCTTGTTTGCACTCCACACTAAGATGACCTGGCGTGAAGTCAAAAGAAAGGGTGGCCCGGAAAGATTCAGGAATGGCATCAGTGTCCAGACAAAGCATTACTTCGATGGTTTTGGCATCAATAAGGACTATTTTAACGATGGGAAGAGCATCTTCCTTGCAGTTAAAGGTATAATTCATTAAGACGGTCTCTTTAGAAGGCGCGGTCACAAAAGTCGTAATGCCTTCGCGCTTAGTTGAGACAAGGGGGTTAAATTGAATATTGCGCAGACCACAAAGCGAGCGAGAGTCTATTTTAAGAGCCATAGCCCCAACATTATCGGTTGGTCGGGTGACTATTTGGCCGTAGGCCATTGTAGAGGGCTGGCCATGCAGAACGCGCTGGGCAATTGTATCTATCACATCAACATAAACCCGCTTTTTAGCCATCACACTTAGTTGCAGTGCATCATTAGTACGGTGTTTACGAGGAATGGAAAAGGCTGGATTACGAGTGGTCAGATAATTGTCGATGTAGGCATAAAGAGTAGCATGTTTGCGATGAATAAATCCTTCATTATCAATTGCTAAGTTGCGAATAAGAGCCTTTAGGACTTCTCTGGCAATATACTGATCTTCGGATAAAAGGAAGAATCCCTTATAGAGCAGGCCATTGCGTTTCTCGGCTAAAGAGAAGGTCGGTGTTCCAGCTGAAATAGGACCAACAACTGGGTTGTTGTAACGAAGAACCAGCGCGCCATCGGTGTTCTCTATCTCTACACGAGCAAGCATTGTATTTAGAATGTTACGTCGTATTTGTGCCTGATTTGCTTATTTATTGTTGATACTTGAGTTGTTGCCATAGATGGCCATTGCCCGGGCAACAAAGGCCTCTAAATGAAATAGATCCTTAGTCCCTGCCCGCAAACGCGAATCGAACAAACTAGCGTACTTAAGAAGATTAGCTGCCGTTTCAACCGATGCTTCCTTCTGTAGCAGAGACAAAACCAGCATAGATAAGATTGCTTGGCCAGGTATGTTTTTGTCCAGTAGGCCATAAATACTCTCCCGAGCTTTAACTACACTTTTGATAGAGGGAGCCAGAATAATCGTATCTGCCAGAGCATTAATGGATTCTTCCCAGGGAAAGGGCCCTACTTTCTTAGTATGAAGAGCTAACTCAAGTTTAGCCATAACTTTATGAAGATTGCCACGAGATTCTTTAACTATACTTTTGATTTGATCTTCAGGTAAAGTACTCTGCTCCGCCGTTAGAATCCGGCCAATTAACTGATTAATCTCCATATCACTAATAGTAGGCACCCGACAAATAAGAAATCTACTTTTAAAAGCATCAATAAAGGTATTAGTAGTTGTAGTTAGAATAATAAGCCGAAAGTTCTCAGCACCTTGCTCCATAATCCGCCGCAAGGCCATTTGTGCCCCAGAGGAGAGTTCTTCACCATCTGGAATAATCAAAAGTTTAGCCGCTCTACGCTTATCTCCCAACAAAAGTCCTTTAATTGATTTGGTCTCTGAGATATCTTTTGCTATCTTTTGAAGCACTTTCTTGTCATAATAACCATGAGGACCCACTCGGACTTCAATTGCTTCATCACTTTCTAACAAAGAAACTTCCAAAGTCTTGGAAGCACTTACTTCAATATCAGTTGTATAGGACATATAATGCACTTCCTTATCAAAGAAGTGTTTGATTAAAGCATGTAATAATGTACGTTTCCCAGAGCCATTCGGACCAGCCAAGATTAAACTGGGAAAGTTACTAGGAGCAAAGGTCTTTAAAACAGCTACACAATCAAGATGCTTTAGTTCATCTAAAGTCTTCGGTCGATACTTCTCTTGGAGCATGAAATAAAAAGTGGCTTAGCTTGTGTATTTGTTCAGATTGAGTTGAGTTAAGTTAGTATTGGATTGAGTTAAGTTGAGTTGGATTGTGTTAGTATTGGATTGGGTTGAATTGAGTTGTGTTAAGTTGTGTTAGTATTGTGCTAAGTTGTGTTAAGTTGGATTGGGTTGAGTTGTATTGTGCTAAGTTAAGTTGTATTAAGTTGAATTAGTATTGTGTTAGTATTGGATTGGATTGGGATTATGTGGTATTTATTTGGAGTTATGAGATGGTTAGTATTGGGTTATGTGCTATCTGTACCATTCCCTCACATATCTTAATGAGAATATCGAGATATCTCTATTTTACCTTTACTGAGGGACAGCATGTAATTATGTTATATGTTGATGTGGCTAAGGTTGAACATACTTTTATTGATAAGAGTCAAGTTAGTTTTTGATCTTCAAATCCTAACACACAACAACTAGACTATACACTATACAAATACATATACTAAACCAGCTCTTTATTAGTACAATGCTGTTATCTGGCCGGTTCAGAGGCAAAGATGTTTGAGGCATGAATAATTAGTTTACCTAGTGTGTTCTTGTCCTTTCTAACGATTTCATTAAGTGATTCAACACAGGCTTGATTGTTTAACAGCGCATCCAGAGTTTTCTTGATGTACGTCGGGCGTGGGGCTAAAGCACAACTCTTCTCCAGGAGCCGCGCAAGAATGTTCTCTTTGAAAGAGATCGGAGTTTGAGCCGATGAGAACATACTGATAATAACTTCTTGATGGGGAAGAGACTCTTCTTTTTGATTAGTTAAGGCATCAACTAGAACGTGGGATAGAAGTTCTTCATTCTGGGCAGTCAGTAAGGGAAGTTCAGCTTGAGTCTTTGGCTCATGAATCTGGCAAAGCAACTTATAGTACTCCGTATTACAAATCCGGTCCCGGTTCTGATGCAGTACTTCTAAAACCCCCGGATGATGATCTAACGACCATGCACTCCGCAGTAAAACTGTAGCCGGACCAATAGGCACTACCGTTAAAAATAGATAAGAATAATGCAGATAAAATCCCGGGCAGAACCGTTTAAGTTGTAAAACAAAGACCGTACATGCATACACAGCCGTATCTAACTCCGGAGAATAAGGCATCTGTCGCAATGCCTCATAAACCCAAACCAAAATACTAAGACCACGGGCCATATTCCGCAAGAACATATTCCGCATGATATACTCTGAGAAAAGCAGCTCAATGTACCCCCCAAAGAAAAGACCCAATACAGTCGGTCGGACTTTCTTCAAGAAAAGGAAGACTGTCTCCTCATGCTCACTAGATAGTCCTTCTAAAACAACCTGCAATAACCGTGTAAATAGTTTTTGAATTTGATAGTACTCTATCTCCAATCCATTAATAAAGATTTCCGTTAAGATCTCTAAAGACTTCACCAGTAAAGAGTTCTTCTTGCTCAGTAAATGAACTAAAACCCCTAAAGCTTCTATCTTCATGTACTTAATGGGCGAACACTCCTTACGTAGCCGCAAATAGTACTCCACACTAGCCGAGAAGGAAGCTTTCAAGAAGTTCTTAAAGACTTCTGGTGATTTAGCTCGTTCTTCTATCTGACTTAATGCGGCCGCCATTTGGGCTTCTTTCTCCTTCCCGGCCACACGACAGAAGAGTAAATCAACCCAAGACTCAAAAAGATCTCTATCTTTCTCTTCCTTACGCGTTAAGAAGATCCGTCGGGCAATATCTTTAAGTAAACTTTTGATTCGCTCATCAGTTCCACTCTTAGAACATTTAGATAAGGCTTCAATCGTACAAACAAAATCAAAAGGCGTACAAATAGGAATATCAGTTAGAATACACCGTCTAAGTAGTTCAGCTGCAAACTTAATCCGTTGGGGATTCTTCAGTAAAGTACTGCCTAAGTGCATATCGTACTCTACTTCGTTCATAATACCCCGGTCTAACATCTGGGCAATAACTTCAGCATTAAACTTACGCTCGTCTTCTGCATAGATCAGCCAGGATGAAACTTCCTGCTGTGAGTTGTAAGAAGTCTTACAAATGCGATAAACGGCTTTGATGCACTCATTACGCGACCAAGTATTAGTTAACATAAAGATACTACCGATAATGTTCTGACAAAAGAACAAACAAACCATATCATGGGCCCCTGAATGGACAAAACTAAGAATAACATGAATACTTTCTAATAACTCAATGGCTAAGGCCGGGCGGACATTTTCATCTCCGGCTTTTTCTATCTCATGAAGAATACGTTGGGTATCTTCCCATTTCTTCTGGGCAGAAGATCCGGTAAATGGTCCAACGGAATCACCTGATTCACGACTCTTATAGTTAATGGAACAGAGATAAGCACAGATTTCATGGTACTCGCCAACGGTCACTGGTTGAATTTCATCGGCAATAATGTAGCTGGGTTTAGTGTACTCCTTCTTCTCGTAGAGTGAGATACGGTAGTGATCAATTGGACTGGCTGGAGTAGGAGGAGTAGGAGGAGTAGATGGAGTAGGTAAGGAAGTAAGTTCTTCCAGGAGTTCTTCAACCATAGCTGGTAAGCCCTGCGTAATTCTAGTACGAGTTATATGCTCAACAACACCCAAACAGATAGATAAGTTCTTCTTAACTAGAGAAGATACCTTATCAGAAGAGATAGAGTCATTCATACCGGCTAGTTTCATAAAGTGCATAATGTTGTTAACTACACCTGAGAAGATAGGATCTGCAGCTGAAGCACAAGCTAACTGGACAGCTAAGGAAGTAGACATATTTTTAAACATAGATACGGCCTTATCTTGCTGATTGGGAAAATCACGTTTAACAATTTCCATGGCCGCCCGAGTACTGATATGAAAAACCTTATCAACAATCGAATAAGTAATATCTCTAATCGCAAAATCAATAGCCATAATCGAAATATGCGCTAAAATATTACGAATACCATCCAGTTCAATATACTTAGCCAGTCCAGTTACTTTTCGCTTACTTCCCAGCCTTCTTTCTTGAATAGCCGTATCCGGTAAGATATCTTCAATATGCACATCTATTTTTGAAAAACATATCTCTATCTCTAAAGAGATAAGATCACTACCTTCCGTTAAAAAGTGTATCTCAGAAAGAATCCGTAGAATACTACGTACATAAGGACTAGTACTCCCAAAAATCTTACTAGCAGTACATTCCTCAATAAACTTACAAACAAAAACAACCGCTGAATAGATACACTCCTTCCCAATACTTTCTATCAAATACTCAGTTACACTAAATTCCGACCGTCTTATCGGTGCCTTATCAGCAAAAGTAAACATTCCTAAATAGGTCCCAATTGTTCTTAAAGAAGATAAGCGATCGGTTCTCTCTATCTCCTTATGCCGCTCTAAAAACTCCCTTAAGATCCTAAATAAGACCGATCGTACTACTAAGAATAAAGTCTTGGAATACCCCAAGACAAACTCAACATAAAGTCTTAAGTGATTTGTCTCCTTCAATAGTCGTTTAGCCACTAAGTATTTAGCTAGAACCTCTTCTGACTTACTACCTGATTCCCGTTGCATTCCTTCAATAACCGTCTGTAAACTCGAAGGTGTCAGCATATTAAACTGTTTAGACCAACCCGGATGTACTTCAATATGACCTACTACCGCACTAACTAGTTCAGTAAAGAAGACTGTGCCATCTTCTGGCTCTTCCTTAGAGGAAATACTCTGGATGGCCAAATGACCCCTAATGTACGTATAGAGTGACTTATTAGCTGCATAAACCTGGGGCATACGTGAGAACTCCTGGCAGTAGAAAGGGTACTTCTCAAGGATGTCACAGAAGGTTTCTAGCATCTTTAAGCCGAACTTGAACTTGTTCGTGCACGGTTCTTCTTTCAGGAAGACTGTAATTAGGGCCATAACTGCTTTAATCCGGGGTTGCGGTAAGATTTCATACTTGACCATTCGTCCGTAGAACAAGGCCATTGACATAACTTCATGGTGTGGCAACCGATCGATCAAAGCGTACTTTAACTCCATTTCGTTCAGAATATGTTCAAAGATCTCTACATCGTAAGAGTTCTTATTAGTAGATATTTGGGTCATATAAACAATAGCATCAGAATTAGTAGTTCGTCCCGTAATTATATTGTGTAAGAACTCATTAGCTAGTTGTTTTAAAGTTGTTCTTTTAACTAAACATCCTCTTATCTCTGGAATTAACAAGCTTTTTAACTTACCGACTAAACTGATCGTTGTTTTGGAAAGAATCTTAGCAATTACTTCTAAAGACATACAGGTAGCAATAATTGTATCAACTGTTAAGGGATAAATATTAACACCTTTAGCACACCCTTTGCCATACCTTAAAATCATATGTTGTAATAAAGCATTAATAAACTCCTCATTAGATTGCATGCCTAAAATAGCACTTATATCAATGATCTCGGCCGTAATAGCTAGTAAAATCAAATCTAAAGAAAAGTCCAAAGGATCTAACTCCTTGATAATATAAGGCAATAACTTACAATCAACACAAGCAGCTAAACATTCCTCTAAAGTAAAAGAAGAGGCATACATACGTCCCATCATAGTTAAAGTGATTTTAGGCCGTTTTTCAAAGATCTTCCTTAGAGCCACTCGGCCCTTATCAGAAGGATAGACACAACTACAAAATAAGTCATTAAAGATCTTCTCGTACTTACTATGGTACCTAATTAGACCGGTACAGATTAGTTCAGGAATACTTAAAATACCAACACTAAGTAGGAGAGCTCCTTCCTCTACTTCCATTTCCGCAGCTAAAGCATAGACTTCTTCACAATTGTAGTTAGATTCGGCCATTTCTTTAAGTTCTGGGTTGTACTCGTAACTTTCCTTAGTCCGGTCAATGAGAGGAGTTGTATCTCCTTTGTAGAGAAGAGTGAGGTCGGGTGGGAGGGCAAGTAAGTACTGGAGGGTGTAGGCTTGAGTCTTGGGGTTCTGCCAGAGCTTGAGCATACGCTTGAAGGGGTAGAGTTCTGGGGAGTTGGTGCTGTGCCAGAGAGTTAAGTAGTTTTTGGCTTCGGACTTTGATTTGATAAGTAAATCGGGCTTATCTAGTTGGAGAAGAGGTTCTTTCCAGTCGAGATCTGGGTATTTTTGCTTGGCTTCGACTATTTTAATGCTTATCTCTTCTTCTGGGGTTGAAACGAGTTCTTTTAAGTACTCAAAGAAGAGACGATCTTTAGCAGTTGAATGGACTTCGGGAGGGCCTTTATCTTTACTATTTGCCCCTTTGTTTGGTTCTTTCCACATCGATTAAATTTGAAAAGAAAATGGAGATAAATGCCTGGAATTAGGCTAAATCAGGCGGGAAAGATGGTTGGCTAGAGTAGTAGAGGTAATAAAAGCGTCACTGAGGTTGCCTTGAGCTTGTTGGTTGGTCCATCCGAGTTGGTATACTGGGATGGTTAAGTTTTTAGTTAGATGTTTGTCTAGAGAGAGGGAAGTATAGGGTTTATAACCGAGGGCCGCAATGATGGCAGTGTATTTAGAAGTGGATATGGTGTTATATAATGATGAGGTTTGGTTTGGTGGGGTTTGGTTTGATAAGGATGTGTTGGTGTTGGTATTGGTATTGGTATTAGTGTTGGTATTGGTATTAGTAGATGTGTTGGTTTTGTTAGTGTTGGTATTGGTATTGGTAGATGTGTTGGTTTTGTTAGTGTTGGTTTTGTTAGTGTTGGTAGATGTGATATTGTTAGTGTTAGTGGTATTAGTAGATGTGTTGGTTTTGTTAGTGTTAGTGGTATTAGTAGATGTGATATTGTTAGTGTTGTTGGTATTGGATGATGTTCTGGTGACTAGTTGGAGAGGGGATGCTACTGAATTAGATGATACTGAGTTAGATGGTACTGAGTTAGATGATACTGAATTAGAGGGTGTTGGTGGGGCGATGATTTGGATGGGGGTTTGCCAGAAGAGAAACTCAAGTTCCTTGGGTGGTAATGTATTTGAATTAGTGGGGGTGGTAGTGGTTGAGTTGGTTGAATTAGTGGGGGTAGATGTGGCTGCTCGGTGGAGAAGGTCTATCTTGCGCTGTTGTGGACGGGGTTGGGGTGGAAGAGTGTGCATCCAATGAAGAGTTGCCGGGGAGATTGTGACTTTTTGGGCGGCTGGTAGAGTTTCGGCTAGAACGGGTGGAGTGAATTTGGCCTGGAGAGGAGAATTGCGGCCGATGATGGTGATTTTGTTGACTTGGGTATTGGCTAAGTAGTTGGAAGTGGATTTAAGTGTGTTGGCTTTGAGAAGAATGCGAGCTATGTCTAGGGAGACATTGCCATTACCGATGATAGCTATATGGCCTTGCAGGGGAGGAATAGTAGGTGGGGAAGGAAAATTGTTGATTTGTTTCATGAGCTTATCGGCTGAGATAGTTAGATGGGCCCCGGGAATAGTAAGACTTTGTGGGGCTTGTGCACCTGTAGCTAGAACAATGGCTGAGTAGTGGTGCTGGATTTGGCTTAGTTGAATGTCCTTGCCTACTTCAACTCCGGTGAAGAGCTTGACACGTGGGTGCTGGAAAACGGTTTCTAGATGGGGAATGGTTTGTCGGACCCCATACTGATCGGGAGCTACACTAGTGCGTAAATGTCCGAGTGTATACGGATTCTTTTCAAAGACATCGATTTGGAGATTAGTGTTTCTTTTGAGAATCTCTTGTAAGAAATAAGCGGCAGCTGGACCGGCGCCTACTAGGCAGAGACTCATTTAAAAAAAGATGACGTACCAGCAGGGATCATCGATCGATCATGTCTTTGAACGTGGAGCTTTGGACTGGCTTGGTTTGAGTTTTGTATTTATGGGTATATTTTGGGCTATCTTTGTCTTTATTGAGATGTTTGGAGGGTTTCCCTCACTTTCTTATCGAATTGCTGAACGTGTAGGTGCCTTAATAATATATACATCTTTGTATATTGTGGTGCTTTCGTTGGTTCATGCTCATGTACCTGTTGATGTAAATGTAAGTGGGTGGTTTAGACGGCGATTTAAGCGAAATAAGCTAGATAGTTAGTTAGTATATAAATAGTTAAAATGGAATTAAGTTGGTTTATTATTTAAAAGATAAGGTTGAGTTTGTATTATTGGGGTGAGTTTGTGTTATTGGATTGAGTTAGAATTAAGTTAAGTTAAGTTAGTGAAAGTATATTGCACTGTAAGGTGTGGTGTTGCTAGATTGGGTTAGTATTGAGTAGGGTTGTTATTGGTATTGTGTTGGTGTTGTTATTGGGTTGTGATTGGGTAGGGTTTGTTGTATGTTCCTAGCAGGATATACCTGGTCTGAAAAGACGGGAAGAAAGTTACCTAATAAGGAAATTTTCCTGTTTATAAATAGACAAGTGAATCAATAAATACGAGAGTTTAAATGGCGGACCGCAGAAAACAACTGAGATGTGATTGGGTTAGGTTAATACTAGAATAAAATTTCCTTTTTGGGTTGATATTTCCTTTTTAGGTAAAAAGATGTTCTTTTATAGTAATTTAGTTGTGTAAGTTTTGTAAATATGATGGAATATACATCTGTTGATGTTCAACCTACACCAACACTTACTAATATGGTGGTAGAGGGATGGGATCCAGTTAAGAATGCAGCTATGCAAACCTATACGAATTTAAATTCACGGCCTAATGGTATACGCCAAGTATGGGATGAATTGAAGGGAAATGGAATGATGGCTTTTGGTGGGGCAATTGCTTGGTGCAGTACTATATTGGTGCTGGCTTGTCTGATGTTCTTGACTCGAGTAACAGTTGCTAATAACTTATCTGGACTGTTGGGTCATGGCGTGCCGCATTACGGAAGCCAAAGTGCATCGATTCAACTGTGTGTTATGGCTGTGATAACCCTGGTGATTGGTGGGGTTGGCTTAGGATATTGGGTTAAAGAGTTATGCCATACTGGTAAACCGCGTAAAATGCCATATGTAGCTGCTAAGTCTGCTGCAGCTACTTTAATGATTTTAGTCCCAGCTTCTATAGTGACCTTTGGTGTATTTGGACTTAAGGGTCTTTTAAACATGGCTAGAGAGGGAGCAATTGATAATGGCAAGGCTCCACTCATAGGAAAGGTTGGGATGTTTTGGATTATGGGCGGAATCTTGGCTATACTCGGAGTGCTGGCTTTGGTAGCAATGGCACTTTGGACAATTAGGAGGATCAAACAGCCAAAGGAGACACGGCCATCTGTTAGGGATCTACTTCTTCCATTCCTGCTATTTGTTGCTTTGATCGTGGTTCTTGTTTGGGGCGGTATTCTTTTGAATAGCCTTGGGGTTAGAGCCGTAGATCTTTTTAGGTATAGGAATGGGATTGGATCCAGTAGCTTTGATTTACATCCTTTTGAACTTTTGATTAAGGGCTATACGCCATAAAAACTCGCTGACTTATAATTGGGTAGCATCAAATAAATGAATTGAGTTGGTATTGTATTAGGATTGTGATTAGTATTGTGATTGGTATTGGTATTGGGTTGTGTTAGGTTGTGATTGAGTTATGATATATTTTAGACTAGACGCTAATTGCTACATTCTCACTACTATTCAAGATACAACGCAATGATTGTCTCACCACATCACCCCACCCCACTCCACACCACACCAAACTACCTCAACTTAACTTAACTTAACACAACTCTACTGCAATCTAAATAGTACTATTAAAAAGCTTCCACATTTATTGATAAGCAACGCGTGTTATAGACGAAAGGTAGATTAAAGGAAGCTTAAAGAGTGCTTGAGAACTTCAATGGTTTGGTTAAGCGGGTAAGAGGTGCTACCGAAAGCTTTAACGCCCTTGCCGCCAATTTTGGCCACTCGGTCTTCTTTAAAGGCATTCTTAAGAACTTCCGAGGCATTAGGAAGTACGCCATAAAGAAGCACACCCTCATCGACTGGATAGAGAATAACTCCATGCTTCTTATTCTTATCAAGATGTTGCACTAATGGAGATAGCATTTTAGTTGCCATGGAGGCCGGCATATCGGCTAGAGGTGCGCATGTAAAGAGAATATGCGACTTTTCTTCTAGTTCTTGGACCAGTCTTTGGTGTTCGGCTTCAAAATACGCCTTTTGCTTTTGAATCTGCGCCTTTTGGAAGCTTTCGATCTGAACACGAATTTGCTGGGCTTCTTTAAGTGGGAAATCACTTGTTTCCAACTCATTGCGAATAGCTTGCAATTCTTGCTGGTTGCTGATTCCTTGAGATAGTATGGTTTTAGCACGATGCTCGGCATCTTTAGCCGATTGGCCACAAAGTGCTACAATCCGTCGGACGCCACGGGCAATACCGGCTTCCGCAAGAATACGAATCTTTTCTATCTCGGCTGTGTTAGAAACATGCGTGCCTCCACATAACTCGGCGGAACGATGGGGTTCATCCATTGGCTTCTCACCCACCATAATCACTCTAACTGTCTGCGGATAAGCTTCATCTTTCATAAACCTCAACCCCTTGATCTTAATAGCCTCATCATATGGCATATGATAAGCCCGCACTTTCTCTTTCTTGGCTAAAATACTAGCTAGCTTATCTTCAATAGCCGTGATCTCGGCCGCTGATAAAGCATGGGGCCACCAGAAGTCAAATCGTAATCTGCCTTCACTTACTAAACTTCCACACTGCCGCGGCTCACCAATATCCCCAGGTAAAGTATGCAGCAAAACGTAGTTCAGTAAATGAGTGCTAGTATGCGCGATAGCCAAACGGTTTCTTCGTTTTAAGTTAACTCTGCACAATCCATGGGCTCTTAGTTGACCTTTAAGTACTCCAATGTGCAGAACATACTTGCCGTAGCGCTTAGTATCTTTAACTTGGAAAACCGACTGTCTAATCTGTAAAGAAATTGTTCTTTTCTCCAAATCAAAACCTTCATCAGATTTTGAATCTTCAATTGGATTACTCAGTAGCACAATCTCACCATGATCGCCCTCTTGTCCACCAGCTTCACTATAAAAAGAGGTTCGATCCAGTACAATTCCACACTCTGGCACATCAGCATACTTATCTAGTTCGTCCAAAGCAACTAAATCAGTTCCTATCTTAATACCTAGAACTCGGCCACAAACTAAGTCTTCGGCTGCGTACTTAAACCCATCATCAGTTGCTGGATAATCCCGGGCTTCTAGCGCAGAAATATCATGCACACTAAGTTGAATGCCTGTACTTTGTGCTCCACCTTGACGTGATAACTCTTTGGCTTCCTTCTGGCGTTGTAAGAACCCGTCATGATCCACTAGCACGCCCTCTCGCTCTGCCACCGCCGTAGTTAGATCAACTGGGAACCCAAACCGATCATAAAGAATGAATATGTCCTCACCACTAAGAATAGGCTTTGCTGTTGCTTTGGTTTTCTCAATGAGCTCAACTAGAATATTCAGTCCAACTGATAAGGTTTTCGTAAACTGATCCTCTTCTTCCTTCACTACACTAACGACCTTAACTATATCCGTTTCAGTTGGGTAGATAGGATTGAAGTACTCAAAAGAAGCTCGGACTAGTTCAGGTAAAAGTCCTGGAGTCTTCTTCATATGCAAGTACTGGAATCCTAGGGCCCGCCGTAGTATTCGTCTAATTACGTAGCCCCGTCCATCACACGATGGCATAATCCCATCCATAAGAGCAATGGCTAAAGTTCTACTATGATCAGCTACCACACGATAGGCAATATCCAACTTATCCGTTAATAAACCAGTATAAGGTCTAATCTGTAAAGTAGTTTCGATTTGCTTAAAGATCGGTAGGAAAAGATCAGTGTTATAATTGCTGCTTTCTTTCTGCAGAATACTTAGCACTCTTTCTAGTCCCATGCCCGTATCAATATGTTTCTTAGGCAGGAGAGATAACTCCATCTTTTCATTCTTGTTGTACTCCATAAATACGACATTCCATATCTCAATCACATCTGGATCATCCATGTTCACTAAAGCTGAAGCATCACGGCCGCCCACCCGATCATAATGAATCTCAGTACAAGGCCCACAAGGCCCACTATTCCCCATCTCCCAAAAGTTCTCTTTAGCTCCAAACGGTAAGATCCGGCTGGTATCTAAGTACTTGCTCCAGATTTGCTTGGTTTCTAAATCAGCCGGTAAGTTCGTACTCGCCTGGCCCTCAAAGTAACTAACATACAACCGGTCCTTATCTAGTTGCAGTACTTCAGTCAAAAACTTCCAGGCCAGCTCAATGGCATGTTCCTTAAAGTAGTCGCCAAAACTCCAGTTGCCAAGCATTTCAAAGAAGGTATGATGGTAGGTATCTTTACCTACATCATCTAAATCATTATGTTTACCCCCTGCTCTAATACATTTCTGGTAATTACAGGCTCGTTTCATCTGACCATAAGCACTTGATTCATCGGCTAGATCTAGAAACTTCTTCTTAAACTGAACCATCCCACTGTTAGTAAACAAAAGCGTATTATCATCAGGCAAAACCGAAAAAGACTTCCAATGCACATGGTCATCTCGTTCAAAATACTCCAAAAAGGCTTCTCTAAGTCGCGCAGCTGTCCACATCTGAAATGAAAAACAAATTAGAGTCCGGATAGTATAGAGGCGAGTAAAGATAAGATAAGCTGGATTTAAATAATCTGTAGTATAGTATGATGTGAGTTAATCTGGATTGTATTGAGTTGTGTTAGTGTTGAGTTGAGTTGAGTTGGTATTGGGTTGGGTTTGAGTTGGGTTGGGTTGGGTTGGGTTTGGGTTAGGAATTGGATTGAATTTCGGTGTACTGTAATAAGATTCTGGTTTACGTATTGAGTAAGTATTGGTTTACGTATTGAGTAAGTATTGAGTAAGTCGGTTTTCTAGTTCATCCACTACTTCATCTCTAAGCAGTTTACTTAACTAGTTGACTATTAACACTACAGTTTTTGTCATTTACTCTCATTTGGAAACAGTCGGAATAAACTGGATTTTGATATCATAATTTCAAGTAGTAAATAGAGTAGCTTCAACAATACAACATCCTTTGCCCATAAACTCAACTTAATACTATCTAAATCCATCCCAATGCTATCTCACCCTAATACTATCTAAACTTAACTTAACTCAATCTAAACTTAACTTAATATTATCTAAACTTAAGTCAACTTAATACTATCTAAACTCACACAACTTCACACAACTCCACATAACTCAATTCAATCTAAACTTAACACAACTCCACATAACACAATCTAATCTAAACTTAACTTAATACCTTGTTCGGTGTTTATTGCTTCCGCGTGGCTTTTTTGGCTGCTTTGTAGACTCTGGCCTTGCGCGGGATAATCTCTTGGTCGCGAATGTGGATTTTGTTGTCCTTGATCTGCACCCGGTCTTTCTCCTGCACTCGTGATTGTGGTCGGTGTTGCAATATATCTTTCTGGGGATACGTGAGTGATTGGTAGATATTACGCTCATCCAAGATCTTCCGCAGAAGTAACTTAATGTTCTCATGAAGTTTAGACTTGAAATGGAAGATAATCCTATCTATGCAGATAAGAGCCTTAGATAAATAGCGGTCAATATGCGGCGTAGACGTAAACACCACCGAAAAGAAGCCTAAAATAGCCTTACTAGGAGCATACCTCTTTTCAGCCGTAAGTTCTTCTAAAATACCAACAATAACATCTAAAGTATCGGTTGTGCACTTACCCGGGCCATTATAAATCAAACTAGTCAGAATGCAAATAGCACCCGCCTGATAATCAGCCGTTCCATTAGGAATACCTGCACAGGCCATCTTGCATACTTCATTCAACTTATCTGCCGGGAAAGAAGCTCCAATTTCAGCAGCCATATCATAGGCCACCTTCCGGTTCTTACCCCCTTCAATCCGCACTGTTCGGGCCATTTCAAAGACTAACCGACATACTTCTTCACCCTCCTGCAGGCGCTGGGCTGAAATAAGTAAGTAGATCGTTTCCAGACGTAAGTGCCGAGAACAAAGGAAAACTACCTGCTCAGCTACTGGACTAAGGAAGAACTCTAATAAAGACTTTGGCGTATACCCAGACTTAATTAGGGCAATAGTCACCTTATAGGCCATCTTTTGCGGTCGTAAATGCGTAGATAAGCAGTACTTAAGAATTTCTTCAACGGCCCAACCTCTTTCCATGAGTTTACCAGTCATTAACTCCAGTACATGAGCATTCTCTACGAAGATCTTCTCATACTCCGGAATATCATTCTCCTTCCTAGTGTACTCTGGTACAAGTTCGGCTGGAGGAGGGACTTCTTCTTCAGCAAAGCATTGGACCAATAAGGTATCTAAGTACTTATCTTGCCACTCATTAGATACAATGCTTAACATACTCCGAATGTACTGCCTTTCATTCTCAGTTGGACTCTTCCGGAACCGGAAGACTATCTTCATTAAAAGATCATTAGAATCAGCCAGAACTTGCAAGATCTTAGTCTTACTTTCTATCTCATCAGGACGAGTGGCTCCAGCTAGACCTCTTTGGGCCTCTTCAATCAGAAGATGCAATCCCTGGCAAATATACCCACGTACAACCGGATCAGACGTATATCCTAAGAATAAAGTCAAAAGTGTGCGTAAAGAGTTCTTACTATCACTGGCATTCCGACAAAAAGAAGGGAAACAAGACCATAATCCTTCAAACTCAGTTGTTTTATCACTATTACGTAAAGCTTGAATCTCAGGCACAAATCTACTTAAAAACACTGATAAATCACAACTATGAATAGATGCCTTCATCATCGGCAACCAAAAGTAAAACTCCTTCTCCTTAATTGTCTTCAAGAACTTCTCCACTCCAATATTACCAATAATCAACTCAATTTCCTTAGACATTCTTAAGTCCTTAGCCGTATAACAGTAGTAAGCTATCATAACAATCACTTTCTTGAAGTATGGGAAAATACGCGTACTTAAGGCAAAAACAAGCTGGTGAATGGCCATGCATACGTCTATAGGTAGCTTTTCTGGCTTAACCCGTTCAATTTGGGCCTTAATCACTTGTTTGATAAGAGTTTCAACCTCTGAACCTTCACTAGTCAAAATAAAGTCATCTAAACCCTGAATAGTCCTTAAGTTACTCTGCTTAAAGATCTCAGCCGCATAAGTTAAGACTAAAATACTATCTTCTTCACTAATATCTTCCTTTTGCAAGGCACTAGTTAGTAAGTGCAAGTGCATGGGTAAATGTGCGCCTAAAGAAGAGGCCAACAGACTCCGGGCAAAGGCTAAAGCCCCTGCATGCACCGTATCACTAGCCACTTGCATTGCCTGACAAATTCCTAACATACGATCAGTTAAGTTATACTTAGATATCTCTTGGGTTAAGTTACCCAGAATAGAAATAATCTTGCCTGAATACTCTGGACTAGTAGTGGCAATAGCTTCTACCATATGCATTAACTTATGAAAAGTCGGACTACTACCACTAACTCGGTCTTCATACTCAATTACTCGACGTAAAGCCGGAAAAGCTCGCTTTCTAATCTTAGGACTCGGATTAGTACATAACTCAACAATCTTATCAATTAATTCTAAGTCTTGATAAGCACCTTCAGTAAAAACAGTCTTAAGTACTAAAGAGTAGAACTCCTTACTAGCCCAGACTTTGTTCTGAGTTAAACAAGCATATCTTTTAAGAATCTCTCGGACTTCATCACAATGGTCGCCTAAAGACTCGGGTGATTTACGGAATATCAAGATGATAGCTTCTTCAGCAAATCCACCATCAGCACATAGTGTTTCTTTCAGTAGGGATAAAGCTGCCTTCCAAATGGCCTCAGAAGAGTCTGTTTGATCTTCAGTTGGTAATATAGATAAAATCTTATTTTCCAGTATCTTAATTCGTTTCTCCATTTCGGGCTGTAAAGAAGAGTCGTTTTGCATACTGTCAAATTTTTGCTCTAACTGTTTATTAAGTAGTCTTTAGTGATAAGATTAAGTTGTATTAAGTTGTGTTTAGTATTGGATTGAGTTAGTTTGGTTGGGTTGTGTTGGGTTGTGTTGGGTTGAGTTAGTTTGGTTTGGTATTAAGTTTGTATTAAGTTTGTATTAAGTTAGTACTAAGTTAAGTGCTAAGTTGTACCAAGTTGATATTATGAATAAATAATGACGTCATATAAATTGATAAGACCTGTTTTATTTTTCAGAGCAGTTTGGGTTTCAACTAAATTTAGTTAAATATTAAATGTGTATTAAGTTAAGATAAGATTAAGTTTGGGTTAAGTTGAGATAAGATCAAGTTAAGTTAAAATCAAGTTAATACTAAGTGAGACATTAAATTAGGATTTAGTTAAGTTAAGTTAAATATTGGGTGGTTTGGTGGTGGTGGTATTGGTAGTGGTGATAGTGGGGTATAGTTGAGATAGTAGTTGGAGAAGAGTTTCGGAATCGGTGGTGTGGTGAATGATGGAGAGGATAGTACACTCTTCGTGGTATACTCGCGTGTCTTTAAGGGAGGCTTTGAGATGGCGTTGCAGGAATTGGAAGGTGAGTGGAGGTGGGCTCTGCCAGACAGTTTGGTAGTTGTATGTGGTGAGATCTTGCTGGATTGCATTGATAGAAATGGGATGGAGAATTGGGCTGGTAGAGGTTTGGGATTGCTGGATTAAGTCGTAAATAGTTAGAGCTAGTGGTAGAGAGTCCTTGATGTATCGGGCCATTTTGATTAGGGTATACTGTTTGGATTGGGTTGGTGCGGTTGTGGAGTTTGAGTGGGAGGAATGGGAATACATATCGAGATTAGCAGAGAGATAGAGTAGGGATTGGGCGAGATGGATGACTAGGGCCTTTTCTTTCTTTGTCCACTTTAGATCTTCACTAACGGTGCGGCCGGAGATAGGCTCTTTTTGTATGGGTGGTAAGTACAGAGTGTGCTGGAGAATAGCGAAGAGGGGAATAAAGTAGAGTTGCGCATTGGGGATTTGAAGAAGTGGATGACCGGCTGGTGGATTTTTGCTTAGTTGGCGGTGGTGCTGGCAGTACTGAGTAGTTACGTTTAAATGGGTGGAGTTGAGGGGAATATTGGGAAAGATAATTGTAGTTAGGCGGTACTGGGCCATAATGCCTAGAGCTAAACCATAATTGGGATGGGATAGGGTTTTCTTAAGCTCTTGGCCAATTCTTTCCCGGGAAACTACCCGGGCCATTTTCTTTAAGAGATCTTGGTCTTCCAAGGCCGTTAAGATTTCGGGAACAATAGTGAATCCTAAACGAGCTGCAAACCTAAGCACACGTAGTACTCGTAATGGATCATCCAGAAAAGTCTCTCTAGCAGGTAAGGGCGTGCGTACAACCCGGCCTTGGATATCCGCTATGCCTTTGCCCGTGTAGTCCTCAACTTGTCCTCGATTAATGTTATAAAAGAGGGCATTAATAGTTAAGTCTCGGCGCTCGGCATCTTCTAAAGGCGTGCCCATTCGGACATTGGGTATGCGTGAATCCGCGTATTCTTCGGTTCTTAGGGCAACAAAGTCAATTGAGTATCCGTAGTACAGCAAACTAGCCGTCTCTAAGTGCTTAGCCTTTTCATGGTTATAGGGAATAACATGGTACCCACGCACTTTACTCTTCTTGCGTTTAAGATACTCAACAAACCCAGTGGCAAACAAACTACCCGACGCTCGGTCAATAGCAATATCAATGTCATTACAAGGAATTCCCATAATCTTATCTCGCACCCACCCACCAGCGACTCTAAACACCATATCTAACCCAACCTCCTTGTTATAAGCTAGCAAATCGGCAAATAAGTGTTTCTCACTATAGGTCAGCAAAGGCTCTAAGTCAATAACAGCAGCTGTTAAGTTTTTATCCTTTCTTATCTTTGGGTTTGTTATCGGACTAGACATGAAATGGAGGAAAATGACGAAGGGGGTGATTTAGAATTTTGGCTTTTCATTTGCTATTTAGATCAATGGAAAGGGAATATTTAGGCCGAGAAGATCGGTCGCACGAAAGTCTGGTGGGAAACAGCCTAAATAAGTCATTTGGAAGCACTCAGGCCACTGCTTCATTCGATGCTCGTCTTTTAAACCGAGCCGACTTATTGACTAAAGAAGGTCTAGATGCCGACCAAAATACATTCAATTCCAGCCGGGCTTTACAAACACATGACTTATCGGGGGTTCTAAACAGTATCAATGGCGGGGATAAGAGTTGGGATAAGAATTGGGATAAGAGTTGGGATAAGAATTGGGATAAGAACTGGGGGAATAGTGGCTTAGGCAAGGGATTGAGTGGTGGACTGGATAAGGGATTGGGTAGAGATTTGGGAAGTCGTGGGGATGTAAATGGCGAAGGAGTTAGTGCCAGTCCAATAACTCAGTATGTTTTGACGGCCTTTAATGACGTTTGTAAGAAAATAGACGTAATTCACCATACGATTGAGAAGAACAATTTAGAAAGAGATAGTAGTTCTTTAGACACAATGCTAGTGGAAACTAGAGAAGAGAATGAACCGGAAGGTTGGTTTAAACGACTCAAGAAGATCTTTTACGGTCGAAACGAGGAAGTACCAGAACTTGAGTCTTCTGATGAACCAGAATCGGTAGTTCTTAATCTCTCAGCTGAACTAGACACGTTGAAACAAACACTTAGCGGTCTAAAAGAAACATACCAAGAAGTGCAGCAGGAAGTACGTCGAGTTTCAGCTGAAGCTATGTTTGTGGCCCAAAAAGCCGGTAGTCAGCAACAAACTAGCACTGATATGGCCGGTTTACTTAACGAAGTAAAGACTCGACTGCGCTTGCGTAAGAAAGAACTAGCTGAAGCCCGTGCCCAACTAAGTACACGAAGTACGGCCGAAACGGCCCTGGCTAAAGTAGCAAGTACAGTTTCTTCTCAAATTGGCCGTATTCTTGTTCTAATGGACAAGCCAGAATGTGCAGAATCCCTCCATCGTGAATTACTAGATGGTAATTTGCATCGCTTAGTTGGCGCCTTTTTGGATATTGAAGGACACTTACGCGAAGTTCTTCTGAAGAGTGAGAAGATCAGATCGGCTAAGATTACTTCATTAGAAGAGAAGAATCTTCAGCTTCTTCAAGAGATCCGCAAGAAGGAAGAAGAAACGAATGCTCTAGTTCGTGAGTTAGATCGGGTCAAGGAAGATAAGGATGCCATCATTAACAAGCAAAAACTAACGATCAAACTCCTCCAGAGTAAGATTGGGCCTTTCAAAGAGAGCTATCAGCATGCGCCTAAAGAGAATAGGCTTTTGCCCATTTCAACCGATTTATCTCTGGCCAAGCACTCTTATGCCTACCATTCGACACCAAGCACAGTTTCAGTTCAAGCCGGCCCACCGCCCAAGAAGCCGACTTCGCCAATCATTGAAGAACTTGAGAAGCGGATTGGCCAGCTGCGCAGTAGACTCAGCAGTGTAGATGCCCAAAGCCCGCACTACCAGGCGTATCTAGACGAAATGGAAGACTGTAAAAGACGACTTACTGACTTCTTACACATCTAGTCCTATCCAAGGACAATAAAGTTTCAGATTAGTATAATATTGAGTTGAGTTGGGTTGAGTTGGGTTAGATTGAGATGGGGTGATGTGTGGTTGGGTTTGTGGGGTGAAGTGAGTTAAGATACGATTTAGGTGGGACAGGGCGAGTTGTACGGCAAAAGGGCTTTATTTTCAGTAACTGCTACCTAATCAGTCTTTCTTTTCAGTAACTGGCACCCGGCGGGTCTATTCTGAATGGTACTGGGCCATTTCAATCTCTTTCTTGACCAGACCGCATTTTTCATAGAAAGGCGCATTCTCTGGACTAGTGGCTAAAATGGTTTTGTACGCGCCTTTCTCCTGGGAGGCTTTTAAGAGGGCGAAAATGAGCTTCTTTCCTAGCCCGGCTCCGCGCTGTTGCTTAGAGACCACAATATCTTCAATGTGGCCCACACTTCCTAAATTGCGCAAGAACTTGTACTCAGTGACTAAAGTGCCACTACCAACTATGCGGTTAGCTGTATCCACAATAACTAAAACCAAGTACGTCTCCTTATGGCGTTGCATAAACTCGTATCTCTCGAAGAGCAAAGCCTCTTCTGGAAATGGAGCCGTAGTTAGCTCAGATAAAAGCAGAAAGTAGTCACGTGTTAAGTCTTCACGGCGCAGTTCTCTTATACTATACTCTTCCATACAGGCACAGACAATGTTTCTATTAAAGCTTAAAACAAGCCCGGGCATAACAGATATAAAACAACAACAAAGCTAGATCAGGAAAACAAACACTAGATTAGTTTTGAAATTAAGTTAAGAATAACAGACAAATATCCATTCTACTACCAGCTCAGCTACTAAAATCAAGCCAATAATAAACCAGCCCAAAATATTAGAGATAATTTCTAATCAATTGACCAAACAACCAAGATATAAATAGCCACAAGATTTAAGAGATATATTTATATGACTATGAACAACTTATCTGAAGAATTCAAAGCAACCTAATACCAACTCACTACCACCACCAATTCAATCTTAATCCAACCTAACTCAATCCAACTCAATCCAACCCAATCTTAACCCACCCTACCCCACCACAACCCAACCTAACTCAACTCATGAGAATACTAGACTGGCGACTGATCATAAATGGCTAAAACTAGATAGATCTTACTTGTCTTTATTACTGCGCCAGTCTCTTTACACGGAAGGAGTAGGATCGGCAAGATTGCTGGCATGAAGAGCAATCGTATCCAGAACCTGTGTCTTTCGTGCTTGGAAGAGCTGTCCTTTCCCCGCCGTCTCTCGCGCTAGAATCTCCGCTGCTTTACAATGCCCCGTATGAGCTAGAATGCACGCCAGTTCCAAAAGCAAGGACTCCAACAAGAAAGACATGTGCTCGTTCTGCTCTCTAGGCAGCAAATACCGGCGCAGTAAGTTATTCTCTATCTTTTCGGCTAGAGAGCCTAAGGATTCATCTATGCGCAAATACCGGCGCAGCAAGGCATAAGCCTTATCTATCTTCTGGTGCTGCACCAAGAACTTAACCGAAAGGTACCCCAGTAACACGTTCTGTGGATTGGACCGCACTGCCCGCATAAAACAGTACTCCGCACTCTCTTTCTTCCCCATCTTCTCGTAAATCAGCCCACACCCAGCCATACCATTATGATTACCCGCTTTCATTTGAATTGAGCTAATGAAACACCGCAAACTCTCCCTTAAGTTACTATTCATAAAGTGCTCATGGCCTAAAAGGCAAAGTACATAAGGGTCTTTCTTAATAACCAACGAACGCTCAAAGGAAGTAATCGCCTTATCCGTCTCTTTTCGCAAACTATAATGGTTGCCCAGTACGGCCCAAGCTACAGCCGAGAAAGGATTTACACCAAACACCGTTCGCGCTAAAGAGGCCAACATACTTCGATCGCGCTTATGCCAAAGAATACTTGAATAGTAGTGCAAAGCATCTATGTAGCACGGATCACGCAGCAGTACATAGTCAAAAACATCAGCTGATTTCTGAAAAGAACCCACATCAAAGAAGTGCACAGCCATAGCCGATACCGTACTCAATGGCAAAGCATCCAACTCAACAGCCGTATAGGCCGTACTTGACTCACCATTCGTAATACTTTCTAAAATCCGAGTCTCCACCAACAAAGAACTAAGCACAGTAGCCAACTCACGATTCCCCTGAGCACTCACTACTTCCGCTTCAATCCGGCGCTCAACTAAACTTAACGTCTTCTTATCCAGCTTATCTCCCTCCCCCACAAAAACATTGTTGTTATTCTCCTCTTCAGCATCTATGTTCTTGGCATTAGTCAAGTGCTCCTCCAGTACTGCCCGATGCCCCGTATAAAGCAAAGGGTTCTTCTGAGCCGCACAACTATAATTGTTAATTGCCTTCTCATAGGCTCCACTTAGAATGTTTATCTCACCTAAAGCACTTAGCACAAATGCATCATCCGGATCCAGCACAAACAACTTCTCTACCTCACTCAACTTCTTCTTCTCTTCCCGCCGGTATCCTTCCAGTTTACTCAGCAAGTACTTAGCCTTATCATACTCACGTAAAGCCTTAAAGCACTGCGCGCGGTAGTAGAGTGAAGAGAATGAGTTAGTCTTAGCTAGATAGTAAATAGCCCGGCGATACTCTAACTTGCGCATAAACAAATACCCTAAAAGCAAGGAGTAGTCTTTACCTTCAGTGACACTTAGCACTTCAGCTACATAGATAGCATCATCAAAGTTGCCGTACTTAAGACAGCGACTAAGAAATCTTTCTAAGTCCATCATGCAAACAAACAAATTCCGAAATATTAACGTGAACTACTACTAAGTGAGTGAGTTAGTATGAGTTAAGTTAGTATTCTATTGGTAGAGGTAAAGTGTTAATATGATATTCTGTTAGGGTAAGTAAAGTGTTGGTACTCTTAATATGATATTCTGTTGGTGTAGGTAAAGTATTAGTACTCTTAATATGATATTCTGTTGGTGTAGGTAAGGTGTTGGTATAAGTTGTTATGAGTTAGTAGAAGTGAACTACTAGCCTAACTCAACTCAATATAACACAACTCAACCCAAACATAACTCAACTCAATTCAACCCAAACATAACTCAACTCAACACAACTTAAACATAACCTAAACTAACTTAAACACAACCTAAACTCAACTCAACTTAAACATAACCTAAACTAAACATAACCTAAACTAAACTAACTTAAACCAATACTAATCCAATACTTATATTAACCTAATTTGCTGGAATTACTGCATGTCTTGGAGAAGCATATGGGCATAGTTAAGGGTTGTTTGGGTCATGCTTTGGACCTCCCATTCTTCTTTGGCCTCTTGAATAGCTCTATCTAGGGGGTGCTGTAGAGGAGTGATGGTTTGGGGTGTACGTGCGGCTAGGGCTCGCGTGTAGATCAGCAGGACTTCATGGGCGACAGGATAGAACTTTTTGTTCCTCAGTAAATCGGTCATTGTGTCCACTAAGTAACTGTGATCTTGATCAGAAAGTGTACGAATAGTTGTGGTTAGTCGGTTAGCAGTAAAAAGGTACTCAAGAATAGCCGTAACTGTTTCTCTATCCTCGACTTGAATAGCTTCAGAAAGGGCCCGGCGGTACTGGAAAGACTTCATAAGCATTTCACATCTAGATAGTTTAACATACGCCGTAAAACCCAACTTAGTTGTATTCGTAATTGGAGTAGTTTGGGCTCGTGTGTGCTGAAAAAGTGTCCGAGGTGGAGTCTTATTAGCCACTCGCATCGGTTCACTCGTCTTTACTTCCTCCCAACGATCACGATAAGCCAGTAAATCCCCAGCACTAGTCAGTAAAAGATAAGCACTCCCTAGAACTGGAGATTTAATAGCTGCAAACGTAGTTAGACCTACTCCGAGATAAAGTGATGTAATCTCTCTTAAATGACTAGTTGAAATACGTAAACGACCATCTAAAGAAGAAGTAACTACAAACTCACCCAAAGTCTGGGCTTGAGTAATTGCCTTAGAATGAAGAGCAGCTTCAGCCACTACTCCTTGCACTACACTATAAATATAAGCATACCCAGAAGAAAGACCTACTAAGAACAACTCAGCCGAAATAAACTGTACTACTGCCGCTCGGCCTAAACTAAACACTAAGACTTCTTCCAACTCAACCTTACTTTGACTACTATCAACTACTTTATATGCGTATAAATAAACATCTCCATTGGCTAGACCTACTACTAAATGTGTCTGACTAGCTGTAACTGATTCTATATACTCTGGAAAAGCCTTCTCTAACAACACTTCTCCAGTTAGACTAAAGATATGCAAGAGACACGATTCACCCCCCAAACAAAGCATATCTGTCCGTATAAAACAAAGGGCTCTTAAACCCGGTGGAGTACTTAAATGACCTAAACGCTTACCAGACGTATCAAAGAGTCTTAAAGCCCCTTCGCGTGTACCAGCCACCACTACATTATCAGACATAAGTAAGCGAGAGATCGTCTGTCCCATCTTAGCAAAGAGTTTATCTCCTTTACTAGTGATTTTCTTATCACTAGAGTTATCATTAGATTTATCAGTAGATTTATCACTACTAGTTGAAGTAGAGATTGGGACTTGTTTGCGATAAATAGCACAATTACGGGCATAAAGCACTTCATTTGAGGACAACCATAAGACTCCTAAAGAATCTCCTAATGATTCGGCAATTGACTCAACTTGGCTTCGAGTTTTTTCTTCTTTGATACCGAAATTAACTAACCGAAACACACTTTCCATATGAGGTCATAAAAATTTGCGCTATTATAGCTATTCACATCTTTTGATAAGAATTTAGCCTATTTAAAGGGCGTCTTTAACCGGGCCATGCAATGTATTGGACGCCTTTTCAATCGTGATTGGTTGTTGCCTATTCGGGCCCTTTCTCTACGACTTATTCTGCGTAGTTGCGATCGGGAAGAGTGTTGGCGCGTGCAGTACTGGCCGAGTCCTGGTGGATGGACGGTCAACGGCCAGCCGATTAAAGAGCGAGACTCGATTGAACTGCTTTTTGAAGGTCGCCGCTACTTTTTAGTTCTATTCAAGCCATCACTGGCTTATCTCCAGGGAATTGAAGTGGTGGCTCGGATTATCCAGCATAGTCCCAACCAGGAAATTACCGGTCGAGTCTTACTGCGCCGTTTGAAAAGAGAAGATAAACTAAGCCAAACTCCAGATTACTATTTGCAGATTTTGAAAGAGTCTAAATGTTTTATCAAAATCAAAACAGAAGATACCCTGGGTAACCGTCAAACAATTTGGCGCCTGAATTCCGACCAGATCAAAAACTTTGTCCATGTGAAATTGGCCCGACAAACGATTCTGATCGAAAGTACTGGCCAGCGCGAATCAATTAGTCTTTTCTATACTGATTATCCTGACATTAATCAAAAAGCAAATAATCAAAAAGCAAATGTTGAAATAGGAATTACCCAAAAAGGAAATACTAAAAAAGGAAGTGATCAAAATGACGTCACTATCAGTGATATTGACAAAATTTTATTTTGAACTATGATCAAAGGAAAGAACCTACCTTCAATTAGTGAAGGAATGGTGCGCCATACATTCGCTATCAAAATTCCCTCTAAAGTAGTCCTTTTTGGCGGTTATTCCGCGGGTTCGGGTGCATTTCTATGTGCTGCCCTTTCCGTCCGAGCTGAAGGCCAGATAAACATTACTGAACGATCGCAACAATCAGCTACTTTTCGGATCTTTCGTGAACAGGCGTGCAGTCGTGTTCCACCCCATTTTCATCTCTTGCCACTCGGTACGGATATTGAGATGAAGAGCCAAGTTAAGGTAGCGCATGGAATGGGTACTAGTGCTATTATGGCCGTAGCTGTAGCTGCTGCCCATGAATCCTGGCGCTTTGTCCGTTTGGGTAGTAAAAGAGGGTTTGGTTTGACTGATGAGATAAGGCGGCGGCTGAGTAAAGGTGCTTTTGAAATTGAAAATCGGTTTTGTGGGGAAGTAGTAGGAGTAGATCATACAACAATTATTCGTGGTGGCCTAATCTTTTATCGTGCTTCTGATAAGAAGAAGCATCGGGTTAGAAATAGTCGGCTGCATCTTTTTGCCGATCATAACTTGATTCTTTGGGATGTAGCTGCGGCTCGCAAAGGAATTAAAGCGGGTTGGGAGCCACGCGAGCATAAGGAATGGCCTAATGTTTGTCAACGCTTAGCTGAACTGGCTGAGCTGGCTGCTGAGGAGATTAGAAAACGGCTGCCTTCTTTACAAGTGCTTTATAGGTACATGCGAGAAGGTTTAGATTTACTAGTGAAGGTTGGACTGACCGTTCCGGAAATTGATGCTGAGTTAGCAGAGATAAGAAAGCTAGGGATGGAAGCTATGCTAGTTAAAGGCGGAGTTGGCGGGTACTTGTACTCTATTGTACCTAAAGATACTAAGCTGAGACCGGGTTGGTTTATTGGTGAAATTGATGAGGATGGGATGGAGATGACTTATTTAGGAGCAGTACCTTTACTTAGTTAAGTGTTTATTGTTATTTGCTTATGCTATTGGCATAAGTTGTGAAATGGGCTAGATATGGGGTTAGGAGTGATTTGTTGTGCAGAACACTAGATAAGGTGGGAAGATTAGCTAGGGATAAAGTATCAAGGTCTTGCAGAGTTAAGGGAACACAAACCTTTTCAGTGCGTGGATGAATGCAGAAAGGAGCTTTAAGTAAGTGTTTAGTTTGTTTGGTAACTGCCTGATCAAGTTTAGGAAAGAATGTCCGGTACAGTTGCTCTCTTTCACTAGGGGATAAGGAAGGTGAAGTAGTATTTGAGTTGGTGTTTGGAAGGGTAGTATTGGGGTGGGTTGGGGTGGATTTGGAAGGGGTGGATTTGGTAGGGGTGGATTTGGTAGGGGTGGATTTGGTAGGGGTGGAGGTGGATTTGGTAGGGGTGGAGGTGGATTTGGAAGGGGTGGATTTGGTAGGGGTGGAAGTGGACTTGGTAGAAGTGGAGGAGGAAGTGGGGGGTGGACTGTACGCCAATAAAATGCTATCTATTTGTGTGTCTTTGATTTCACCTTTTTCGAGGCGTTGGAAATACTCAATGATATTGTTGCGGTCGCGGCAAGTACTCGTGACGGCTATGGGGTCAGAAACCCAGCAGTGTACGCCTCGACCGCCTGAGAAGACAAAGAGAATCTGCTTAAAGCCAAAATGACTTTCAAGGACGTACTGCATGGTCTTGATGGCACACTTGATTAAGGGGAAGCACTGGTCGCACATTCCCTTATCTGTACAGCAAGGGCGCACATAATCGGTTAAGTCAATATCAAAAACAAGTTCTTTGCCTAGAACTGGATTGTTTGGTGATACACCGCCTGGTCGGTGGAGATAGACGGCTCCAATATCTAGTTTTTCGGGCGAGTCTTTGACTAGCTTTTCTTGTAACTCCATTGGATTGTTAAAGGTTAAGTACCTAATGTATGCCCCGGAAGCTAAACTAAAGGAAAACTCGCGTTTGGTGATATAGCGCAGCCAAAGACTTAAGGTCGAACTAGGGAAAAGTTCGCGGTAATAGTGCTGTAGTGCTATCTCTTTTCTGCTTAACTCCATAAAAAAATGGCTCCATCGTCTTCAGATGCACCCTGTTCTTCTTCCCCAGGCTTAATTCAGCCGACTGTTCATTGCTGGTCTTTGGGTAAGACGAAAGCTTTAAAACGAGTCTTTGGCTCGGCTGATTTGACCGATTCTTTAGCCACTTCTAATCCATTCTCCAGTCAAACTAAGACGGCTGTGTGTCTTCCTTACGTCTCTTGTGATCTTTGGCTTAGATCGTCAACTCAGCGCACACAAATCCTCTATCGGGCTGATGTGGCCTCAATTCTTTACTATCTGGACATTCGGGCAGGTGAGACAGTTTTAGAGTCGGGAACGGGTACGCTTGGCCTTACTTATGCGCTGAGTGGCTTAGTTGGCGCTCATGGCCAGGTGCATACGGTTGAGTGTCATCCCGAAAGGTATGTGGCCGCTCAACAAGAGATTCAGCTAGCCGGTCTCAGTAACACCACAATTTATCACAGTACTATTAATGAGTTCCTTATACAGAATAGCACCAACTCTGGGCCCACTCAAGTCCGACCACATAAAATCATCTTGGATATTCCCGAGCCCGAAGAAGTACTCAATACTGCTTTCGCCCAACTACCTGATAACGGCCGTCTCGGCTGTTTCATTCCTTGCATTGAGCAGATCCAAAGAGTTATCAAACAGGCCAGTACTCTCCCAGACGTCCAAATCCTCCAAATGATAGAAAGTGTTGAAATCCTCCATAAACCCGCCAAGATCTCCGCCACGGCCTACGGCACCGTTCCCGCCTGCCCCAGCAAAGGTCATACTGGCTATCTAATCTTCTTCAGCAAACTACCCAATACCAATACCAATACCAACTCAGCAACGGCCAACTAAATACAAATACTAACTCACTACTAATAACTTGACAATCCACTACTAACCCAATAAAGAGAACCTGAACTAGAAACACCATTTATCTTATTTTAACCCAACTTAACCCAATACTAACCCAACTTAACCCAACTTAACCCAATTCAATACCCACTAGCTTTGCAACAATTATCTTACTTCTTCTTCCACTCCATCTTATCTTCTCACACCTAACCTTATCTTCTCACCTCCCATCACACTACACCTAAGCGTATCTCAATACTAACTCGTTCAAAAATAGCACCTAGTACTTAGCAACTCGTCACAACCACAACCAAACACATCTTATCAGCCAATTAGATGAATTTTTTATGTACCAAACCGAGCAAGTCTACTCCACTACTTCTAATCTCTATGAAGTTCTTGGTATCTCTAAAACTGCTAGTAATACTGAGATCAGACGGGCCTATAAAAGACTTGCCTGGAAATGTCATCCAGATAAGCGTTCTGGCAGTGCCACCGAGTTTGAAGCAGCTAATAAGGCCTATACAGTCCTCATAGATAGAAAGAACCGAATCTTGTACAATCTGTTTGGTGATGCTATTTTACCCGTCTTACTAGAAGGCCAGTACCGTAAACTGGTTGAACGCTTAACTTCTCCCCAACTAACTACTCTTCTCCTGCTATTTATTCCACTCTTCCTCCTAGGCACTCTATTCTATCCTTACGTCTCTTTCTTGGCTAAACTTAACTATATAACGTACAGTGCAACTTTAGTGCCACTAGGCCTAGCTCTACTCCTAGGAGGTCTTGGAGTGTGTATGTTCTTATCTCTAATGATGCAAAGTCGGATCTTCTGGGCAGTACGCGGTCTGGAAGGCACTGCTTTATTTGGACTGGCTTTAGGAGTAACTATCTACTTAGACGGACTTATTAGCCGGATCGCACTGAGTTGTATTGGGTTAGGATGCTGGCATATATATACAATGGGTCGAGTGGCCGAACAAACTGCTAAAGTAGAAGAAGCAGGTATTCTGGTGATTTTTGGGTATGCTTTAATACATACTGTCTGTTCACCTAACTACTTAATTGACACGGGCTTTATGATCTTACAAATAGGTCTATTTGGTCTAGATAGTAGTGATTTAGTACTTATTGGCCGAGCAGTTGTACCTCTTATGTATATTGGAGTGGCTCTGTATAGAAACCGGCTAACTTCATCTACTTGTATCTTGATTAGTTTCGTTTGGTTTTTGATCTTAATACCTATGCTTCTTCTTCACAAAGTAGTCCTTGGTACAGTCGCTAAATCCATATCTGTCTTGTTTCTACTCATCAAACTAAGTCTAGTGATTCTATGCATTATTACGATCAGGCACAAGTTCCACATCTCCTACGCCGGCGAATTCCCCGCCCTTAAATAACCACATACGCATATCTCAATGGCCATCCGATAGCTAAAGTTGTCCATCACTAACTCATTACATCACTAACTCATTACATCACCAACTTATTACATCACCACTAATACCACACTAACTTAAGACCAACTCAATATACTAACTTAACATCAACTCAACTCAATATACTAACTTAACTCGACTTACTACTAACTCAACTCAACTCAATCCTAACTCAACCCAATACTATCACTATATGCCATATGAATTAAGTAAAAATGCGAACTGTGGGGTTCGAACCCACGACCTTTAGATTATGAGACTAACGCGCTACCGACTGCGCCAAGTTCGCCTAATACCAGAAAGGGGCCAGATACTATCCCGGCACTATCTTTAGCCCATATCAATCAACCCAATAAAGCGCGTCTTTTTTAGTTTCCCAATGAACCATCTAATGCAGGAAAGCTATATAGGCGATTCCTTACAGCATGTTTTACTCGGAGAGTTTATAACCGGAGAAGAACTACTGATTGGTGGATCGAGAGATCGACTGTTTCTCTACCGTATACAGGAGGGCCACTTAGTTAAGATAAAGGAGAAGCGCTTATTTGGCTGTATTTTAGGCATTGAGTTAGTCCGTGAAGGTGGCTGCGATAAGAGCAGTGATGGTATTTTAGTTCATTTTGAGTATGCTCGGACTTCTAATGTCTATTTTAGTGAGTCTGAGAATGATTTTGTCTGTACTGTTCTACGTTGCTATGAAAAGCAGGAGTATGGATTTGTTTCTACTACTGAAAAGATTCCTTCTTTTCTACGGACTGATATGCACCATGATATCTCTTTTTTACTGATTTCAAAAACCCATTTTGTTATCTTCAATACTTCTGAGCCTAAAAGAGCTCGAGTTGATCGAGTGAATACAATTAGACCTAAACATTGTGTAATGAAAGATGCTCGGTTTTTAAATGGTTTTACTTCACCTACTATTTGTTTCTTATTTGAAGATACGATGGCTGATAAGTGTAAAGCAGCTGTTTATGTGGTTGATGAGGAAGAGAAAGAATTGTCTTTGTTTTTTGAGATAGAATCAATTCCGCACGGTTGTTTTGAAATTGTGCCAACGGAAGAGAAGGCTTTTATGGTCTTGGGAGCGAATGGAGCTATCTTTTATACGCAATGGGAGATGGTTGGGGTACGGTTTAATGATTTTTGGTCGATTGCTCAGATGGGAATTGATGAACGGCCTTTAGCTGGTCCTCATTTTGTTCTGGATCAGGCTTTGTGTTTGACTAAGGGTCGGAATCTCTTTGTCTTTGCTGAGACTGGGTTCTTAAGGTTTACTATTCTGGGCACGGAAGGTCGTGTGCGCAGTTTACATGCTGAACGGATGGACTTGCCAGGTATTGAGCCGGATAGACAGTTTAGTGGGTATACGGGTCAGAATCAGTGTGTAGTAAGTACTGCCCGTGGCTTGTACCTCTTTGACCTTGTACGTACGGAAACTTTCCCTGATGATTCTAATACGCAGGAAGTTCTTACGGTAGCTGATGAGTTTAAGAAGACATTCTTGGATATTCTTGATGAGTTTCCAACTAGCTCATCCGATCAGCCGAGTTCACAAGAGAACAACAGTCCACGCGGTTCTTCAACTAAAGACTCGACTCTCTTATCTATCTCAGCCAAAGACGAAGAAAGAATCTACCAGGAAATCTTTGGTACAACTATAGAAGAAACACCACCGCAGCTGTATCAAAGTACCCAAGGTATTTTCACTCATACTTTGCGCTTATCTCTATCTAAGCCTACTATTGGTGAGGTTCATTCGATTACTCCGATGCTTTATACTGATAAGAAGAAAGAGTACTTGATTTCTGGTGGAACGGCCCAACATCCTTTACTTATTGAAGGCCGGGAAGGCATTGAGCTTTTATTTACTGAAACTTCACGGATTAAGGGTTATGCTGATATGTTTTTGGTTAGTGCGATCAATAAGACTTATTTAGTTACTAAAGAGAAAGAATCGACTATTGTTTGTTGGCATGAGTCGATTGATATAGTTGAAAGTGGAGTGCATGCGGAGGAGTATACTTTAGAACTCTTTGCTACTGCTACGGGGTATGCTCAAGTCACGGAACGGGCGATTGTTTATTTAAAGCCTTCCCTAGCGAAAGAGAAGGAAGTATCTATTCCGGAAGCCCATACGGCCTTTATTAGTGACGGTCTTATCTTTATTATTACCAAAACAGGCGATATGCTATCTTATCGTGGTTTGCGCAAATCAATTATTCCGCTTAAAAACATTCAGGCGGCTACTGTGCATAATGGCCGACTTTTTGCTATTGATTATTCCGGGTGTTTCTTTATCTTCTCTTTGGCGGCTAAACAGGTTCTTTTTGTTTCGCCGGTCTTATCTTTATTCCCGGCTGTGATTGAAGATGCCACTAACTTGCCACAAATGGCTGGTTTAGCTAAACAAGCAGCTACTCATGCTGCTACAGTCGTTGAAATTGCTGCTTTACAAATTAGTGATTCACCCGCCTCTTCTTTCTATCTTATCCTGCGTACTAACCATAATGAAGTGGTGGTGTACAAGGAGTCTAATAAGGGCACGTTCTTCTTGGAACGAATATCTAATATTCAGTTGTACTATGAAAGGACTCTCTTTGCCGAGGAGACTAAGCGGAAGAAGATGCGTATCTGTCGTGATTTACTCTTTATTCCCGGCCAGGCTTATACACGCGTACTGGCCTTTACTAAAGAAGGACTGTTCATGCACCGTTGCCATACGCCGATTGAAAGTATTTCGGAGTATCCTCATGATGATAAACGGATGTTTACTATTCTAGCTAAAGGTAATTTGGCCCGGGGATTCTTGCCGCCATTTAAGTATGATAAGTCTTTGCTTTATCAGATTACACCTATTGAGAGTATTTGTGAAACAATTGTGCACTGTCCGACTCGTAAGATAGTTATTGCCTCTTCTTATCAAGAGATTGATTATACACCAGAAATGGTTCCTTTTACTGTTCTAGCTACGACTGAGGTTGATTCAACGCCTTTGCCGACTCCGACGATTTCTCCCATTGAGATCAAGCCTAAAACAAGAGCTTACTCTTTGAAGATCTTCTCTTTAGAGGAGATGAAGACTTGTAAGGCGGGTGATGTGCTTAGGTCGGTTGATACGTTTAATTTAGAGGAGAACGAGTATGTTGCTTCCCATAAGATTTTGACTCTTCCTGATAAGCAGAGTACTACGGGCTTCTCTGATTTTAGTGTGGTTTGTACTACTTTTGTGACTGATGAAGATCTTATCTCGACTGGTCGTTTACTTGTGCTGGAAATAGCTTCAGTTGTCCCGGAACGTAACCGGAAAGAAACCAAGCATAAGTTGAAGTTGCTCGCGGCTGAAAAGACTAAAGGAGCAGCTACAGCTTGTGCTGAGATTTGTGGTAGTATTGCGGTCTGTGTTGGTACAAAGTTAATGGTTTATGCTTTTGAGCGGAATGAAGGCCTTAAAGCAGTCGCTTTTCATGATATGCAAGTCTTTCTTACTTCTTGTGCCGTACTTAGGAACATATTAGTCTGTGGTGATGCTTATAAAGGTGTTTTCCTCTTCTTCTATCAGCGCGAGCCACCTTTGTTGCATATGCTATCGCAAAGCACGGGAACAGTCTATTTACTGCGGGGTGTGAGTATGTCCTTGCTGCATGAGTCTTGTGCTTTGCTTTCTTATGACTCTATCCGGCACGTTTATATGTACAGCTACTCACCCCAGAACATTCTTTCTCAAAAGGGCACCCGTTTAATCAGTCGGGCCGAATGTCATTTACCAGATGAAGCAGTCGGGTCTTTTATGGTTGATTGTCTTGGCCACAACTACCAAACTATTATCTACACTAAGCACGGGTATATTTACAAACACAGAATGCTTGACCAGAATAGGTACTCATCACTATTGGACTTACAACACTCTATTCTAACCCAAATCAGGTCTTCACTTGGTACTAACCCGGCTGCTCACTGGATATCTGATAAGCCCGGAGAAATGAGAGATATTACCTTAAAAGAAGTCTTACAATCAAGTATTGCCGAAGAGTACTTCTATATGAGCCGAGTTCGCCAGGCCCGAGCCAGTTCTACCGCCGGTCGAGACTCATCCGGAGCCGTCAAACTCGAATTACTCGTCTACCGTCAAGGCTAATAAACTCTATTTACGTATTACTTATCACATTCAAAATATCAATCTAATTCCTTTTATTTATTCTTAAACTAATTCAAACCCCAACATTTTCCCTCTAAGTTAACTAATGTTTCATTTTAATAATTCATCTCTCCCCACCCAAGCTATCTTCTAATCACACAACTATGCACAACTAACTCAATACCAACTCAACACAAATAATAAAGCACAGATCGCACCCACAACTTAGCATTTACCATATACACACCACCTACACACACCCATATAATCTACAGCAGCTATCGCTATAACATATCAACGCATAACTATAGCATAGCATAACATAACATCAACTTAATCAGAGCTCAACTCAGTACAACTCAACTTAATCAGAACTTAATACAACTCACTCCAACCCAGTTAAAACTCAACATTAACTCAACTCAACCCAATTAGAACTCAACTTAATCAGAACTCAACTTAATCAGAACTCAACTTAATCAGAACCCAACCCAACTCAATCAGAACAGAACCCAATCCAATACTAACACAACTAAGGCAATACACATTTATCATAGCTTTATTTCTGGTATCTCATGTTATTATTGTCAACAAGGCCCAAAAGCCCATTTTTGAGCCAATCTAAAGCATCAACATCGGTTTCTCTAGCCACCCGGGCAGCTACAGCAGCTAAAGCTTGTTGCACCGCAGCTTTTCGTTTGGATACAGCCCCGGGAGTAGTTAAGTGACTGGGTAAGCTGCGCTGTGGACTGGACATATCTGCTGCCGGCCGATTAGGCTTAGCAGTAGGCGTTCTTGGGATTTGCAATGGCCGCTGGCTCAGCCCCCGAGGCGGTGTGCTTGGTTTCTGACCTCGCTGTCCATCTAAACTCTCCCGGCTTTCTGCTGACCGCTGGCCAATCTCCCTAATCCGATAGGCATACCTTAATGTGTTCAAAGTATGCTCTGATGAAGTAGATTCCGGAGATACAGTTGCAATAATGCAACACTTCGAATTACCTATTAAAGACTCTTTCAACACTTGAGTCAACTTACTATGTCTAAAGGGCAAATGAGTCGCCGATCTATCCATAGCCCGAATACACTCCTTAAGCGCCAACAAACTCTTATTAATTTCAGCTCCTTCTCTTTTAACTAGTAGTTGCTGACCTTCCAAAGCCCGTTCACTTCCACGCTCACTTCCAGCTAAGTCCACAAAAGTAAAGATACCCCCATGACTACGCACCCTAAACAAAGCATGCGAACGTGAAGAGTTAGTATTAGCCCCCGTTCGACCAGTACTTCGTGCAGCATTACCTTCTTGAATCCAGTGCATGGCTTCAGTTATAGTCCGTGTCACCCGCTCCTGAATACCCACAATACTAACTACTCCTTCCTTTTCCCGAGCAAAGATTCGTTTGCGCTTATCTAATAAATCATAAATATGATTACTATATATCTCATAAAACGAAACTTTAATCTCTCCACCAGCTAGTAAATCTTTAATCGCTAAAGGAATCACTCCTTTTGTCTCTTCCAACATAGTATAAGTCTTACCACTCCCCGTCTGGCCATAAGCAATACAAGTAGAACTACCACCACTAAGCGTATGATCAACTAGACCCCTTATACTTTCCCGGTAAATATCCATAGTACTAGCCCGTTCATCAAAAGCCCGGTCAAATAAAAAGGTATGTGGTTCTACATAAGGCGTTAAGTCCATGCGTTGTTTATGCTCAGTTAAAATCACTTCCGAACCATCAATCATAATGGCATCCCGTAAATCGTCTCGTTTCATTGGTCTTTTCCTAACCAGCACTGTAATACGCTCAGTAGCACTACCACCACCACTACCCATTCCACTACTACCTATTCCACCAGATACTTCCATTGAAGTACTATTTCCTAACTCATTATGCGAACCATCGTATGACTCTGGTCTTACATTAGTATTTCCTTCCACTAAAGAATTGCTAAGCCAAGGCTCACTACTATTAGATAGAATAGAAGCCTCAGAGGCCATTGATAAGTGCGAGTCTTCAATGATACTGTCCCCTTCCCTACCTCCTGCCTCTTCAATGATACTATTCTCGGCCTCTTCCATAATCTCATCTACCATATCCCTTTTACGCTTCCATAGAGTACTTTGGGGTGAATACTCGCCCCAGGGCACAGAAACACGGCCTGGTCGAATTGGTGTCATAGGTTCTAAAGTACCTGGCTGTCCTTTTAGGCCTAAAGAAGGTCTGCCTGCACTATCTAATGGTCTTTGCATAGTGCACTGACTGCTCATTTGTGTGTTAATCCGTTTAATCAGCTCAAAGATCTTACGGCGTGGTTCAAATTCAGTAATACCGTACTGGACTAAATCAGCATATTTTACCTTACGCAACAATCCTACGGTATATACGCCGTGGCTTTCCAGTACTTCACTCCACTCTCCTACCTGATTTTCTCTTAATAATCCACGGATTGGATTACTATCATCTAAGTAAGCTAGTGAATGCTCTTCCCTATCCATACTAACCCAGCAATTAAAATTAAAATAAGATGTTCCCGTTCGGTCATTCCATGAATACTACTAGTAACTTAGATAAGAGTGGTGATAATTTAGATAAGAGAAATAGTGATTCAGATTGTACCACACCAGGTACACGTAGTATTAAGCCATCTAAACGCAATAGTACGTCCACAAGTGCTAAGTCGAGTAATTTAGGCACACTTGACACTAATTTTAGTACAACCACAACTAATGCTAATTTAAAGAACTGGGTTAGTATAGTACGTAATAATGTGTTGGTAGATAGTGTTAGTAATGTTATGATAGGAGTAGTAGAGAGTACTACTGGTGATAATAAGTTAGTAGATAGTGTTAGCAATGTTATGATAGGAGTAGTAGATAGTACTAATAGTAATAATAAGTTAGTAGATAATACTACTGGTGATAATAAGTCAGTAGATAATACTACTAGTAATAGTACTACTAGTAATAATAAGTTAGTAGATAGTACTACTAGTGATATTCCCACCAATATTATTGCTACTAGTACATTAGATAGTATTAAGATGGGTGGCAGTAATAAGTTGGATGAAGGTGGTATTAAGACCGAAGAAGATAGTAATAAGATAGATAAGTCGAATTTAAAGCAATTGACGTGTGGTGGCGAGGCAGGGGGTTGTGAGTTGTGCCGGATTCATTTGCAGCCACGCCCGGGTTGGCAGCAGTTATTAAAGAGTGAGTTTGAAGCAGAGTACTTCCAGCGAATTGTCTTCCAATTACACCAAACACTATTCTATCCCGCACCTAAACACTTGCTACGAGCTCTTAGTTTCTTTGAATGCCCCGAGACTAAAGTAGTCATTCTCGGCCAGGATCCTTACCATGGCCCTGATCAGGCCGTCGGCTTATCTTTTTCCGTTCCCACCGGTCGTAATTTACCGCCTAGTTTACAAAACATCCGTAAAGAAATCCTAGCTTCCACCGGCCAGGCTTCCATTTGTCCCGGCGGCTCACTAGTCAACTGGGCCAAACAAGGCGTTCTCCTACTTAATACCACCCTTTCAGTCGCTCCTCACCAACCACGCTCCCATGCACATTTCGGCTGGCACCATTTCACCGATCGCATTATCACTCTCCTTAACCAAACACCAGGTCTCGTCTTCTTACTCTGGGGTAAAGACGCCCAAGAGAAACAACTCCTTATCAACCCCCAAAACCATCTCATCCTCACTTCCCCCCATCCCAGTCCCTTCAGTGCCCGCCGCGGCTTCTTCGGCAACAACCACTTCCAACTCACCAATGATTACCTAATCAAACAGAACAAACAACCCATCCATTGGTAGCTTTTTATTAAATTAACTTACTTCTCAACCTACTACTAACTTAAACCCAAACTTATATTTTCAATTAAATTTTGCTATCTCGGCCCAAAAAGGAAAACAACTATCTACCCAAAAAGGAAAACAAAACAATCTATAAAACACAAACAAATTTTGCGGATTATGAAATATATTTTAGTTTGTGGAGGAGTCATATCTGGTGTTGGTAAAGGTGTTGTTGCCAGCAGCATAGGCCGAGTTCTGAAAGAAGAAGGCCATCGAGTAACCATTATTAAAATAGATCCTTATCTTAACTTTGACGCAGGGACTTTAGGACCCCGTGATCATGGTGAAGTCTTTGTTTTGAGCGATGGGACCGAGACAGATCTAGATTTAGGCAATTATGAACGGTTTTTAGGTGTCAACTTAACACGTCAGAACAGTATAACTAGTGGTCGAATGTATCAAGAAGTTATTACTAGAGAAAGACGAGGTGATTATCTAGGGAAGACAGTTCAAGTTGTTCCTCATGTCACTGATCATATTAAGATGAATATCAAGAAGGCTTCTTTAATTTCTGTTGATGGTGGTGTAGCTCTACCAAATGTTTGTATTATTGAACTAGGTGGAGTAGTAGGAGATATTGAGTCTATTACGTTTGTTGAGTCTTTAAGACAGATGCTAATAGAAGCTGGTCGAAAGGACTTTGTGGTAGTTGGAGTAGATTATGCCCTTGAACTGAACCAGGAACATAAGACTAAACCTATTCAAGCTTCTGCTAAACGAGCCAGAGAATTAGGTATTCCTTATGACGTCATGGTTTGTCGATCGGCAAATAAGATTAGTGAGGAAGCTTTAGGGAAGATTCGTTTATTTACTGGGGTAGAGAGTATAGTAGAACTACCTAATGGGAATATTCTAGATGTACCAGCGGATTTAAGACGTAGTGGGTTTGTAGAGTATATCAAGGAAAGACTAGTCTTACCAGAAGTAACTCCAGGAGAAGATAAGGGAGTTTACTTCCGGGATATTATAGCTTTACGTAAGAGAAGAGTAAGGGTAGCACTAGTGGGTAAGTATGCGTACCATGATGATGCTTATCTATCAATTCGTGAATCATTAAACTTTGCCGGGGCTGTGCCTGAAGTAGATATGGACGTAGAAATAGAGTCATTTGATACAATTACATTTGCTGATCGGGCTAATCTACCGATTTTACAAGGATTTGATGCTATCATTATTCCGGGTGGATTTGGCCGGCGGGGAGTAGAAGAAATGATTACAGTAGCTGGTTATGCCCGGGAGATGGGTATTCCCTTACTGGGTATTTGTTTGGGGATGCAGATTATTACGATTGAGTATGCCCGGAATGTATTGGGATTAGCTAATGCGACGAGTGAAGAGTTGGTGCTAGAAGAGGATGTTCATACAATTATAGATGACAAGATCAATTTAGAGGAGATGCCAGAAGATGAAGGTACTTATGTTTTGGCGGTATCTAAGAATCCGGGGCCGATGCGTATTGGAGAGCAGAAGACTTTAACTATTCCTGGTAGTAAGCTAGATAGTATTTATGGCTCGCCGGCTGGTGGAGTAATCTTTGAGCGTTTCCGGCATCGTTATGGGATAAATGGAGCACTTTCTCAGGCTTTAGAGAAGGGAGGTTTAATGATTGGAATTAAGAATGCTCGGTATATTGATGGGGTTGAGTTACCAAGTCATCCCTTTTATGTGGGAGTGCAATTCCATCCTGAGTTCTTATCTAAGCCTCGTGAGCCCCGGCCTGTTTTCATTGCTCTTTTAAAGGCTGCTCTTAACAGGCAATCTGTGCGGCGGCAGTCAGAATAAACAAGTTAATACTAATGGTGGTTAGACTAAAATATGGTTGATACTAATGGTGGTTAAATTTAAGATGTAATTGTTGTATTGCGTTGTGTTAAGATTGAGTTAGGTTAGGTTGAGTTAGGTTATGGTGGTGTTATATTGGGATAAGGTGAGTTAATATTAAGTTGGTGTTATATTGGGATAAGTTGAGTTAATATTAAGTTGGTGTTATATTGGGATAAGTTGAGTTAGTATTATGTTGGTGTTATATTAAATAAGTTAAGTTAAGTTGGTGTTAGATTAGATAATACGAAGTTGATGTTAGATTAGGATAAGATAAGTTAAGATTGTGTTGAGTTAAGATTATATTAGGATAAGATAAGTTAAGTTGATGTTAGATAAACTAAGGTGATGTTAGATAATACTAAGTACCAAGTTGATGTTATATTAGGATAACTTTATTGAGATAAGAAGATAATAGTGATCGGAAGGCAGTCCATTTATAGTAACACATTTAATGCTGTGTATGCTAGCGACCGAGTTGCTCAAATAATTCGGCGGCGGTGTTTATAATAGTAGTGGGGGTTTTCAAGAAGTGGGTTTTAACAATCAGACCGGCGGTGGCAGTCACGAGGACAAATAGGTAAAGTATGGCGGCAAAGCAGATAGTGCGGGCGCCGGAGAAGAGAAAGTGCACGACTGAGCCCATGCCATCAGCGGACTTGCGATAGACTGAGGAACAGAAGCCGACTAGTACGGTTGTGAAGAGATAGATGAAAAAGAGATACACAAGACCATAAGTACTAGTTGCCCAGCGTTTAATAAACCCGCGCAAAAGATAGTACTCACCAACGGGTAGAGATACGAGTGAAGCTACCTGGATGAAAGTTAGTAGTAAAGATCCCCAGATTGGACGTTTGGCGTAGTAGGTTTTGTTGCAGAGCATGGTGCAAATAAGGTTTAGGAAGATCATACTACTCAGTAGGGGTAGAGCTGATATTATAGTTACTATCCACTCGGCCCGTGGTCTTAGTGCTTCAAGAGTGGATATTATAGCTTTAACCTGGCAAGCTCCGAATAAGTTAACTAAACAGATCAGTCCAATGGGGAGATAGACAAAGCATAAACTAATAAATAAGATAAAGATCATGCCTGGTGCGGATGTGCCTTCTACAATGACTTCCTTCTCAGGGGGATTGATCATGTCAACCGGTGGAGGAAGGAGCTTTGGATTTTGAACATGCTCAATTCTAGCGATTGTGTTGTTAGATAGAGTTTCTAATCGGCGAGCTAGTATGTCTTCTTTCTCTTTCATATCAGTGGAAAGAGAGAAGACGCGCTGCTTGCTGGTCATTTGTAAGATACCGGCTAGTAAGAGATTAATAGCACTAACTAAAGTGGTTCTTTGGGCAGCCATGATTTCGTCTACTTGTTGGGCGGCTACCTTATATTGAGTATCTGATTCGGGTACGATGCGTTTGGTTAAATCAAAGACGCGACTGGGTATTTCGCTTTTCTTTTGCTTTAACTCATCTATCTCGGCATGGATCTTCTTAATTTGCAGTTTGGCTTGTATCTCGTACTCGCGTTTTCGGCTTTCTTCTGGTAGTGAGAGTAACTCAGATAAGTAAGCATTGATGTCCCTTTCCTCTTCTAAGAGAAGTTCTTCGTAATATCGAACGGTTTGCACCATTTTGGCGAGAAAGGACTCTATCTTCTTCAAAAGTGTATCGCGCATTGCGCTTTCCTTGGCTGCCATGCTCTGCAAAACAGAGAAGAGATTAAAAGATCGTAAATCATGATTGGTTGCATCTAGATGGCTATTTATTCATAATTGGGGTTTCTATCGGGGCTAATACGGTTATTGGATGATTCAGATTAGGAGAGTGTTCATGAAAAAGATCGGGGGTTAGTACTTGATTGGTACTAAGTTGGCATTGGGTTGGTATTGTGATGGTATTATGATCGACTAATGGTTACCAGATAAATTAAGGTCGTGTTGTTGTTAGTGTGATGGATGCTTTGTCTTTGTGTTTGATGAGAAATTGCTGCTAAATGCAAGAGTGATTTAGGTGGATATCAGTATGATAAAGTCGTCTGCGTAGTTAAGAAGAAGTCTAAGTTTACCTAAAAAGGAAATTCATAAAGCAAACGCTCAGTTGTCAAGCAAGTTAGAAGAAGTTTAGAGTTTTCGAATTTCAAAACCCAGATTAGCTTAAAATAAGATAGTCACTACGACTACGGCCACTACAGGAATATGCACATATTTCTGAGCACAATAGCACAGTAAACCTAAGTCTGGCTTCTACTCAAACGGTAGCAGCTTAACACCAGCATTAAACAATAAAGATCCAAGTATGGCCAGCTTTATTCTAACACTAACTCTTATCTAGACAGCCCATCGGAATACTTCATCAAATGTCATTTATGATTCACTTTTACTAGTTCAATAAGAACCTAATACCACCCCATTCCACCGACCACCAACCCATTCCAATCTACCTAATACCAACTCATCACCGCCTCCATATGAATCTCATTTAAAGACCAGCATCCTTTATTGAAAGTGTCCATCCGGTGGCAGCCTGCTTTCGCTGCGATCTAGATTGGAAATAGATTAGAAATAGAATGATTAGATTTAAGTATGAGATCTCGGACTAAATATTCAACCCATTCGTGAAAACATTGCATGCAAAGACTTGAGCGAATCACCAAGTTACTTAGAGGACTCTATCCCGAAGGCCGAGTTGAGATAGTCGATCAAACACACGAACATATTGGACATAGAGAGATTGCTCATGATTTATCTCCATCTGGAACACATTTAGCTATAACTGTGTACGATTTGAGCTTTAAAAACCGGAGAACTCTAGACATACATCGGGAAATCAACCGCCATTTAGCCGAAGAGTTTGAAAAGGGCCTACATGCCGCCTCAATTCGCTGCATAGATAACTTACCGCAGGACTCTTGATTTAGCAGCCACATTATTTGGCCATAGACCATAAACAATGTTAATAAAGGGAGTAAATGGTGCGAGTAAACTAGATTTAGCCAGTAAAGGCCGTGGTTCTGTGTTTTTAATGATGACTTGGCAATTAAGTTCAGGTTTGCCTAGTTGTTGGTTCACAAAGTTATGAAAGTGGCAAAGAGTAGTGGCCAAATCACTTCGGGTGTCACAAGGGATTGGGGCTGCCAAGAGCGCTTTAAAGGCTGTGGCACAACTCCGGCATGGATAAAGGACAGATAGCGAGTGGATTAGTGAATGGAAAGCATGTTTTTGCTCAGTAGTTGGCCGATTGGGCAAATGGTTAGCGATTGAATGAAGAAGGATCCAAGTCGATCGGCCGACAATTTTGGTTTCCTGAGGAGTTGGAGAACGACGAGTATTCCAGAAACGGGAAAAGAATTGCATTGCAAATTTCCAAGTGACGGTTTATTAGGTTGGACTATGTAGATATGCTTAGTTTAGTCTTGTCTGTTTGGGTTTAAAACTAAGATCGCCAGGTTACTTTGACCGTATCTGTGCGATAGCGTTGGGACACTGAACAGGAGTTGTCTTCAAAAGCGTATCCGGCCTCAACCATCTTATGAGCCGTATGGGCAATCATAAGGCCATTGTCAATGCAGTAGCGTTCATCAGCGGTAAAACCCACGCCGCCTCTTTCCTCGGCCATTTTCGAAGCCATAGCTTGTAGTCGCTGATTGCATCCGACTCCACCTACGACCAGAACTTCATTCGAGCCTGTACAGGCCATGGCTCGTTCAGTCACCTCAATAAGCATAGCAAAAGCAGTTTCTTGGACGGAGTAGCAAAGGTCAGCAACTAGTTCATCAGTAATTTCTTGCTTTTCCAAGTACTTAGTGATGAATGACATCATACCCGAAAAGGAAAGATCGGTGCCTTTGACTGAATAAGGAAGTTTGATAAGGTTTTTACCCTTTTTGGCCAGCTGTTCGATATTATAACCTGGTGAGGGATAGTTCGGAATTTTTAGCTCTCTAGCCAGTCGATCCAGACAGTTGCCAATAGCAATATCAAGTGTTTCCCCAAAGATAACGTATTTGCCTCTCTTGTACGTAATGATCTGAGTATTGCCGCCACTGACATACAGAATTGTAGGGTTATGTGCTCCCGTAATAAATCGGCCCATTTCAATATGAGCGACACAATGATTAACCGGAACGACCGGAATAGAATACTTGACCGATAGGATCTTTACAAACAAGGCCACTATCTGCAGACAAGGACCAATTCCTGGGCCGGCTGTATAGGCCAGGCATTCAATATCTCTTATTTTCTTTCCAGTTTCAGCCAGTACTTCTTTCAGCAACGGAAATAGTCCTTTTTGGTGATGCATGGCTGCTTCTGTGATTTTAAAGCCTTCCCCCGTAGCTGGCACATAAGTAAGTCTCCGATTGCTTAAGATCTTATCTCCATCAACCAATCCAATTCCCAACTTATTTGCACTCCCTTCAAACCCCAGAATAAGCATAATTGTAGAAACCCACAAAAGTTTAAGACTTCGTATTGTGATAGTATTTGGTAGAGTTGGTGTAGCATTAAGTTGGCATTGGGCTGGTTTGGTTTGGGTTAGTGGGGTCTTGTGTTGTTTTGCGTTGTCTTGTGTTGGTATCTCGTTTAACTGCAGTAGAGTTTGGTAGCATGACGACACGTCATTGATGGCTGTTATCCTATCATACCCCATTACTAACTCAGTCCATTCTTATCGCCGCATGTTATAACACAACCCAACTCAATCCAACTCAATACTAATCCAATACTACCACTACCCAATGCCAATACGACCAATATCCAATGCCAATACGATCAACTTGATCACTACTTACTACTTAGTACAGGATGCTTTAACTAAGTAGTTTTGCATATCTACACTACACTCGTACGAAGCCATCCTATCTCAACACATCCTTATTTATCTAATAAAAGGTGGCGCTGTTCGTACCAAGGAATGTCTTTAATGGAGTGTGTATTGGGTTAGTATTGGGCACTCCAGTTGGTTATATTAAAGTTACGTGTTGGCAGCAATATCAATAGATCGATGCTAGTGAGTCACTTGTTAGTGATCAGGTTGATCGTGTTGGTATTATGGTAGTAGTGGATAGTGGTCGCATGGCAGCACTACACCCATCCTATCTTATCCTAATACTATCACAATACTATCCCATCCTAATACCATCACAATACCAACTCAATGTAATATACTTAACTAAACCCAATGCTTATGGTAGCTGCTTTTATTGATCTGTCTTAGTCTTATGCTATTTACATGGCCAGAAGGGCAACAAGGCAAGCCAGAGCCAATGCTGGTGCGGCCGCGCTGTTCTTTTTGTTCTTAACCGGTTCAATGACCGCACCGACCTCTCCATCATTACCAGAGCCGTTGTCCATAGTAACACCGTCCAAACAGTTGTCCAGGTTCACAAAGGTAAACCCAGCTTCACTACCGTATTTGACCACATCAGGAACAATTTGTAGCTCAGACTCGCGCTGGTCGTGTTGCAGCACAATGTAAGAAGTAGACTGCGGACGCACTGAGCTAAGCTTAAGCCTCCACCGATTAAGAATATCTTCTGAATCGTCATCTAAGCCATACATATCGTAGTTGTAGTTAATGAGTACTAAATCCAATTCATCAATAACCTTAAGCACCGTTTGGTTGTTCACATCCGGCTGGTTGATCGTAATGTACTTGGTTTGCTGACCAGCTACTTCGTTCAGTACGTTCAATTCCATGGTAATGGCTTCTCTAATGTCATCTTCAGACATACTAGAGAAGTCATAAATGGGGTTGGTTCGGAGACCGACCGTATGGCCCTCCTCAACCGTCTGTTTAATCACATCGGTCACTCCCGTATGATCAATGTTTACAGTTGAAAACATGAAAGTCGCCGAAATGTTATCATTGGCTAAAGTTGTTAAAACTTCCGGGGTTGCTTGAACCGGACCGTCACTGAAAACCAAAGCAATCTGGCCCTTCTCTGCACAAGAACAAGGGGCGCGCATAGCCGATACACTAGCTAGTCCTGCCAATAATGCCACAAGCTTCATACCACCTCACAACACCACCTATTAATACTGAGCAATCATACTATTCCCAGCAATATTGATAGGGCCAATAGGCCGCTTCTAGGTCTAAATCCAGGACTACTTAGGAAGATCCATTGAAAAGGGTCTGTCATAATCATTTATACCAACTTTACGCTCACGACGATGGCCCGGTCCGTCTGGCCGCCGAAAGAAAGCCTTCCCCAGTGAGTCATCTAAGAACAAAGTCTCATACGCATAGATCTTCTTCTCGACTGAAAGTAACTCTTGTTCTAATTTCTTCTTCTTGGCTATTTGCACTTCTAGTTTGCGATGTAAATCATCGGTAGTTTGACCAGAGAGATTATCCGCCTGCATCTGTAAAAAAAGAATGGTCCACATCCGTCCTATGACTATCTCTGACATGCAAAGTGTCAAAGAGTGCAATCGCCGCAATCTTCCTGAGAATTATCATTATATCTTCTTTATGTATGTAATCATATCTGCCCAAGGAGGGTGTTTTGTTGCCGAGAACTCGGCTAAAGAAGTCATTGGCTATGTTATTGCTAAACCACAAGATTCCTTGGAAGGGAAAGAGCCGCCTTTTGGTGAATATTGTGGGTATATTACTTCTATTGCCGTAGACCAGGCCTATCGTGGGCGTGGTCTTGGGAAGACTTTATTAAGTGTAGCTATTCATGGTCTGTGCCGGGTGATAGGTGAGCGCAAAGAAGCTACTTCTGTGCTAATGTGTCTGAACGTACGAGAGTCCAATAATAGGGCTATAGAGATGTACAAGAACTCCTTTGGGTTTATGGTCAAGCAAACTGAGCCGGAGTACTATCCGGACAAAGAGGCCTCTCTATTTATGACGCGGGTTTTTTCGCTCCATGGAGATGCGGGCCCACGAGTCACAACGCAGTAATAAACTAGTTGCGCATATTAGAAGGGCCAAGGTTGTTTTTGGTCCGAGTTCGTACGACTTTGAGCCCGGTCTAGGCTTTGGAGTCTTTTTTCTCTCTTTACGAACCCACTTAGAAGTCCCAACTTATCTCTTCCGGAAAATAGAAGAGCTCAAAGCCAAAAGAGCCAACCAGCCCCACCTCACTCCAAGAGAGCCAATTGTGCTCCTTTTTATAGATGCTTCTTTGGCCACTCCTAAAGTATCAGCTGCATTTAGCACTCTGCAATTGGACCTACTCGCCTGCAAAGTCCGTTTTCTACCGGCTTATACTCTACTAGAAGCGGCCAAGTACCTAGAACAACTTCATCTCCAAGAGAAAGAATCCGCCACCAACCTCCGCAATTACAGCCATACCATTTACCGCCAGAAACAAGAACTTATCAAAAGAGTGCCCAACCTATCCGACTCTCCCACCTATGTCCGGCAAACTCTCTTCATAACTTCCATCCCCAAATTCAATATCAAGGATGCCCAGCACTTACTGGCCACCTCCACCTCTCTTAAACAATCCCTTCTTCGTATTACTCCCCCACCAAATACCACAACTACCACAGCCCCTCCTACTACTTCTACTACTTCTACCACTACCCGAGCATCCAAAAAGTCTCCCAAATCCACCAAACTATCAACACCCACCACCACAGCAGGTATTGGTCAGGTCAAATTAGCTGCCCTCCATGCCTTCCTCCATCGCCCCTTTAAATAAACCAACCCAATACTAAACCACTCTATTTTATACCCATGCCACTACTATACTATCACCATGCTATCACTATACTATCACAATACATTATCATATCATATCACCATATTATATTATATAACTAAAATTCAAAGCAAACTCCAACCATAACCAAATCCAGCTCAATTTCAACTAATTTTAATCAAATTCCAAATCCAACCCAAATTCAATCCAGATCTAATTTAACAACAACTCAGCAGATCACACCACAATATCACTACGACTACATAACCCAACACAACCCACACCAACTTAACACTAATACTAACACAACTCAACTCAACTCAACTCAATCTAAACACTAGACCACACCAATTCAAACAATCACAATCTAATACTATGTCTCTTTTTTATTTAGATGGATAAAGATGAAGGAAGAGGCACTGAACCAGAGCCTAAACTCCCCAAAGCCTCAGTTGATAAAGTAGTTTCAGAAACCCTAACTCATCCTATTACCTGCAGTCGTGAAGTCAAGCACATTTTACTTAGCAGTTGTGCCGAATTCGTCCATATCATAGCCACCGAAGCCAATGATGCCTGTGAGAAAGAGCAAAAGAAGACCGTTACACACGAGCACGTCTACACCGCCCTACGCAATCTAGGCTATGCCTCTTATATAGAAGAATGCAACGAAGCCTACAAAGAGTATCAAGAGCAGACCAAGCTAAGACCATCCAAGCAAAACAAGTTCAAAGAATCCGGTCTTACCCAAGACGAGCTAGAAAAGGAGCAGGAAGAACTCTTCCGCAAAGCCAAACTCATGGCTCTCAACAACGACCAACCCAACTAATCATCCACCCAACCCAACCTCTACTATTTCAATACACTTCTATTTATATCAATCTTTCATTACTATTTCATTACTACTAAGTTGAGTTATGTTGATGTTAAGTTATGTTGAGTTAGTACTAGGTCAACTAAATATAACGTAACTCAACTCAATACCAACACGTAATTTAACCAATTTAGTTTTGCATATCTACACTAACTTATTATGACGTCATCTTATTTTAACTCACTCACATTTATCTAATAAATGACAATACTTATCTCAAGGTATCTATTAGTTAAGTATTGAGTTAGTATAGTGTTAGCATACCAACCCAATCTAAACTTAACTCAATCTAAACTTAACCCAATCTAAACTCAACCCAATAACCAACTCAATCTAATGTAATATTATTCTATTTTTTAGTTTTGCTCCCCTGCTATGAATCAGAACGAACAAGTCTATGAAAAGGAAGTAGAACAAGCAACTGAACAAAACAAACAAACTTTAAGAATTACAATGGTTAGTAAGAATAAGACTGAGATAGAAAAGGTTGCTTATACTATCTATGAATTAGCTAAGAAAGAAGATCCAACTTGCAAAGGACCCGTATCTATTAAAAACAACCGCTTATCTATTACTACTAGAAGAAGTCCTTGTGGTAATGGATCTAATACTTACGATCGATTCTCTATGATTATTCGTAAGAAGCACATTGATATTACTGCTACTTATGATGCTTTTAAGACTATTACTTCTACTGTTTCTAGTCCGGAAGTGTTCATTCAAGTGGTTATCAAGGCCTAAGCACTTTACTACCCAATAAATAGGTTTAGCATTAAGTTAGGTTTTGATTTGATTTAGATTTATGTTGGGTTGGGTTTTGATTTTGATTTAGATAAGATTTGGTTTAGATTTAGATTTGGTTTAGATAAGATTGGAGTTGTGTTCTGCATTCACTAGGTAGTGCACAGTAATAACTTAAGCTAACACAATACTAACTCAATACTAACTTAAGGAATGCCTCTTATTGAGTATGTAGTGGTTAGATTGGGATAAGATGACGTCATATTGGGTTAGTAGTGGGTAGTGGTCGTATGACAGCACTACACTAACTTAATATAACTGTGCCTTCATAATCAATAAATTGAACCCACCCAAACTCAACTCAAACTTAACACAAACCCAACTCAACTCAATGTAATATAACAAGTAGAGATAGTAAAAATAAAAGTGATTGTCTTATCTGGGTTTATTTATCTAATCCCACTTATCGGAAACGGGCTTCCTTTTGGGAGTTTCGGGAGTGGGTTTGGATCGGGGTTTGGATTGTTGGTGGCGGTTGGTAGTGGATTCGATGGACTCGGGCTCTTTGGGCTTCTTCATGTACTCGGAGAATTGGGAACTCTTCTCCCGGAGAGCGGCTGAGGCGGGAACAATGACCTTCTCGGAAATTTGGCTGGAAAGAGTGCGGGCTCCGGTGTAGACGTACCCGGCGGCTCGACTGAGCATACCGGAAAGATTGTCTTGGATGCCTTCTAAGTTGCCTAGAAGGTTAAGTGGGGAGGAAGAAGTTTCGGAGTACCGGGATGTGTACTCGTTGGAGAGAGGTTTAGAAGAGTAGGATTTAGATGAATGGGAGTTAGAAGAACGAGATTTAGGTGTGGATGAATGGGAAGTTTGGATGGCGGCAGGTGAAGGGACTTTGGAGAGTGTGGGAGAAGAAGGAGTATGGGATAAGTCTGGGGAGTGGAAGGGTTGAGTGAGATTGGGGTGCTTTTTGAGAAGTTGTTGGTAGAGGGTTTGGGCGTACTCTTGAATGCGAGTGTGGTGGTAAAGTTCTTGTTTAGGGATTTGTTCGAGGTTGTACTGAGCTAAGTAGGATAAGAATCGTTTGTTGCCTCCTAAATCCATAGCAGATACTTCTTCTGGTTTCCAAAGATCCATGCCGACACTCTTAACTACACTTACTTTGACACCAAAAGAACGATGGACTCCAGCACAGTTAAGACATACAAAGATGCCGTAAGTAATGGAGGCCCACTGGGGACGGGCCATATTGCAATCTACGCACCTTTTGTTTTCAGGGGAGCTTTCTACAACGCTTTTGAGTTGCTGAGCTTCACTTAGTTCTGGCATTGGTTTGTTTCAAATTTGTTTCTTTATTTATGGGTAGTAGTGGGTTTAGATGGTGTTTGGATGGCTTGGGTTAAGCAATAATCCAATTAGGTTGTGTTTAGGTTGTGGGTTGAATGAGATTTGGTTAGTAGTTGGATCTTAAAATAAATTACCATAAAAGGAAAATGTTATGATATGTATTTAGGTAGAATTAGATGGTAGTTTTTTTGATAGAAGTACTAATTGAGTTAAGTTTAGATTGGATTGGATTGGGTTAGATTATGATGTGAGTGTATCTTAAATAGATACTAAATAGACTAAATTAAGAGCAACTTAATTATAATTAAACCTAATTATGGCATAGTTCTAATCTTGCTGCAATTTAGTCTCATCAGATTGAGCTTAGGGTCGACTGAAAATTAAGTAATCCAAATATACAGCTGTTGGTGTTGATGTTGGTGTTGATGTTGGTGTTGATGTTGGGTTAGTTTTTGAGGTGGGTTGAGTTGGTGGTAAAGAATGATTGAACATTGGTGCTAATCTGGTCAATAGTCGGACTGTTGTAAAGGCATAGTAAAATACTAGTGAGTAGACTAATGATGATAGCTGCTAGAATAAACTTGAATATAAGACCTTGTTGTTTGGGATTAATACTGGCGTAGGTTGCTAAGATCTTCAAAACACCAAATGAGATACTTAGGGTTAGATGAATGCCCGTCTTAATAACCATAACAAAGCTGTTATAGGACAAGAAGAGGCGTAACATAGGTAGACTAATGCTAGCCAGAACAACAAGGATGAGAACTAGATAGTAGAGTGCTTTGGCAATACTTGGTCGGCTGATTGGATTGTGCTGCTTTATAAACACAAGCCCGGATAAGGCTGCACCGACTGCGATGGCAGCTCCTAAACCTCCGAAATAAATCACACCTTCAATACGAATAGCCGAGTTGTACGCTGCCAAGATAAAGCCTAAAATACTAAGGCCGCCAACAATAAGCGAAGTCGTATTGATAAACAACAGAACCTGTTTGTGCGGAATCGATGGCTTGGTCATGCTTTTCTCGGCGGCTAGAACAAAGCCGAGGAGAGTAAGATAGAGCATACTTCCAATACCAACCCCAATAATGTTGTACTGGAAGTAAAAGGCAAAAGTTACCCACAGCAACACTTGCATGCCAATCGCAAAGAGAGCTTGAAAGACCGAGAACACTGACCAGTCTAAATGCCGTTCCTCCATATCTACCCATGACTGGTGATTAAAGCTTTATTCCCGTTGTATCTTAGCACCAATAAAGTGCAAATGAAGTGTGCGTCTGCCAATCATAGCTTCTTGCACAGATCGATTGGAAACTCCTCTGGTATCTCTACCCTTTATAATTTGCGAGTCTCGATGCTGTGCAGTGCCATAACTTTTGTTCACTCTTTGGGTTAGATCATGTGATATTTTAGATTTATGGGATACATACACATGGCAGTGTTTCTCCAGGACTATTAAACAGCCTCTACCTATGCTAAACCCACTAATTGTGATGACTGCGTGGCTTAGCAGCCAGGGCCAAAATTAGTTGAGACGAGTGGTAAGATCAGACATACATTATTTCAGTACAAGTTATTAGAAATAGCCAAAGTGATCACAAGAGCAAGATATAAATAAAGATAAGCATTAGGAAATAAGTAAAAGATGCCCCAGAGTTGTGCAGATAGGAGCAAAGGCAAGTATCTAGGCAGCGAGTCACTGGCCAAGCAATTGTGTTCAAGCATAGCCAACCAGCCTAGTCCTAATCCATATTTGAACCTATCATTGGTTGAATACTGCTGGTCAAACGGCACAATACCACCGCAAGACCACAGCATAACGAAATCAATAATGATGAATAGGCAATACAGACTAAGTCAAGTAGGCCCAATGAGAAAGAACTTGCTGAAGAGAAGTGAAATTCACACGGCCGCCCTACGAAGAAAAGGCTGTCAGGCGAAGCTGAGATTTTATAGCTACCCCAGGACAGTAGAGAAAGCCATTGTTTGGCACGAAGAGTTTGAAGAGGTCTGCCATACCAGTGGCATATATGAAGATGGAAGTAAGGTTGAGTTTTTGGACGGTTTTGTGCCGTTTGCATATAAGCTTGCCAATATAAACAAACTAACATTCAAGCAAGCCTGTGACGAGTTAATCCGAAAACAGTTACAAGTCGAGGCATTAGTCTCACAGCGCCCACCTTTTCAGTCCCAGTTCTGTCTCATTAGTGATTACATGCAAGCGCTTGATTTCTATGAGCTACGCGAAAACATTCGTGAAAGCACCCCCGAAGAAGTTAAGCCGATATTAAGAGCGAGGCAATTCTTTGGCGGGCTGAGCAGAACAACCCAATGGACTCTAGCAACATGTGACATCACAAGCGTGGAAGAAGCAATCAATTACATTCAGGAGGAAGAGCTCATTGCGCTAAGCTATCTGGAAACCGGCACCCCGCCACAAGAAAGGCGACTGCATTCAAACCAAATGCAAGATACCAGATCCTGGAAACAGCTACGGGCAGTTTATAACAGATCACCAGCCAGCCAGAATCGCCGGCCCCCATTGCGACCAGAAGAACGGCAAGAAACCAGGCAGTACTGTGACCATCACAGGAACAATACACACAGTACCGAGGAGTGTAGGTTTTTGAACCGGCATAGCCACAGGAAATACAAAAGACCAGCTGCTCACCCCCGAATGAACAGCAGCGACAAGAAACCAAGGAGTCAGGAGACCGAGAACAGCTAGCACGGTAACGCAATGGGGCAGGAGTACATTTCAAGCTAAATAAACCAGCTTCATTAAGGAACATCTACATTAGGCCAATACGTCTGATCAAAGTCGGCGGAGTATATAAGCGTAAAAGACAGGTCAATATATAGTGGTCGGGGTAGTTAGTATGTACAACTTAGGTGTGACCTAGGTGCAATCTAATTATCTTATTTAACTTATAGAGTTACAAATATAGCTTATCATGTTACAAATATAGCTTATAGAGTTACAAATAATCCAGAGATATAATTACGGTTGGCAGCCCTCCACAGGTAGGTGAACGAAATAAGATGCCATCATTTTATTAAACTGAGTCCAGCTTCGCGCTGAGTTACTATTGAGCTGTGATTGTGTTAGATCATTTATGACCAGGCTTTGCCAGCTGCTTGCCGGAGGTGTTGGAGGGCTTGGGACAGCTCAGGCTGGGTGGTTTGGGGATTAATAATCTTGTCTTGAAGTTTGAGGGCTAAACTGTCTAGCTCTTGTTTCTGAAGGTCTGAGAGAAGAGTATTAGTGCGCTCTCGTGACTCTTTGTGGCTAGCGAGATACTCACTGGCTTTGCGCTTCTCTTCAATAAGAGCTTTGGCCGCTTCGTCCTGGGCCCGATTAGCAGCGGCATCCTGGATGATTTGCTGGATTTCGGCTTCAGTGAGCCCGCCTGCTGGATCTATAGTAATTTGGTGTTGCTGGCGGGTCTCTTTGTTGGTAGCAGCAACAGTGTACATGCCATTAGCATCGGCCTGGAAGGTCACTTCGATTTGAGGCGTGCCCTTGGGCAAAGGCGGAATGTGATCAAGGACAATTTCGCCAAGGTATTTGTTGTGTGCTACCAAGGGTCGCTCGCCTTCATAGATCTTAATTCGAACGGAAGTTTGGCCATCCTCCGACGTAGTGAAGGTTTGGGTGCGCTTGGTAGGAATCGTAGTATTCTTGGTAACAATCCGGTTAAAAATACCCCCAAGGGTCTCAATACCCAGACTAAGCGGAGCTACATCAACCAAAAGAACAGATTTAACTTGGCCCGTCAAAATCCCGCCTTGAATTGCCGCACCAACAGCCACTGCTTCATCCGGATCAACGCCTAGAATAGGAGGTTTACCAAACAGATCAGTGACGGCCTGGCGAACTGCTGGCATCCGGGTCATACCTCCCACCACTACCACATGATCTATCTGGCCTTTTTGCAGACCAGCATCCGCCAGGGCAGATCGACAGGGTTGCAGAGTGCGCTGAATCAAAGGAGCAATCAATTCTTCTAGTTGGGAACGAGTCAAAGTGTACTGGAAATGCACAGGCCGTCCGGCTCTATCCTCTAAATGAGGCAGGTTTATAGCGGCCGTGTCCTGGGTAGAGAGCTGGCATTTGGCCTTTTCCGCGGCCATACGCACGCGCTGAATAGCTGCTGGCGAAGAAAGCGTATGCCCAGTTTGTTGCTTGATTTGATCCAAAAGATGCTGTACGATTAAACTGTCAAAATCTTCGCCGCCAAGATGACTATTACCATTAGTAGCTCGAACTTCAAAAAGTCCATCTTTGATTTCTAAAATTGAGATATCAAAAGTGCCTCCACCTAGATCATACACCGCAACTGTACCGTTCTTACTAGGATCTATACCATAAGACAAAGCTGCAGCCGTAGGCTCATTAATCACCCGAATAACCTCTAAACCAGCAATTTCCCCGGCAGCTTTAGTGGCTTTCCGTTGCACATCGTTGAAATAGGCCGGCACAGTAATCACTGCTTTACTTATTTTTGTGCCTATCTGGGCCTCAGCGGCCTCTTTTAGCGATCGCAAGATAGCCGCTCCTATTTCCGGCGGGGAGTACTTTTGATTATTAACAGCAATCCAGGCATCTCCATTCGTATGGGCAACTACTTGGTAGGGCACCTGTCTTGCGTGCTCCTGCACCTCGGCATCGGCCACTTTACGTCCCATAAGCCGTTTAGCCGCCGAAATCCTTGCAGTTGCCGGTATATCAGGATGTTGCAAGACTTCTGGACCGGCTAGGACCTTATTTTGACTAAAACCTACCACTGAAGGTGTGGTGCGGCCACCTTGATTTGTAACAATCAAAGGAGCCTTCCCCGGCCGGAACAACGCGGCACAGGAGTTTGTTGTGCCCAAATCAATGCCTACGATAGGCTCTGCATAATATCGATGAATATTGTGACTCATTAGAAACCGCGAAATTGAAGGGACGAGGCGGAAAGCCGTAGATAAGAGAGTATTAGAGGAAGAATCCGTTAGAGAAGCAAGATTGCTATGGGTTATCACCATGTCCGTAAAATTTTCCACTGTTTTACGTCAATGCCACTACTGGACTATCCTAAAGACGACACCGTTGCTGATAACGGTTTTTCAGAAGAAGAAGAGACCGATGATTATCTAGACACCGACCGATTATCTAAAGAATACGCTAGCGAAGAAAGACTGCTAGCTGCTAATCGAGCCCTCCAGAAAGATCTTTACCAAGAGTATCATCTTTTATTGCGACAGTTAGACCATATTAGTGTTCTGCAGAAGATTCTCGCCCAAAAGAAGAACAGCCACAAGAAAAAGACTCTCTTAGTGCGCGACGAAGCCCAACTAGATCCGAGCTCGAAAGAAGAAAATCTGTCCCCCTTAGAGTCCCAGCGAATTACCGATTATATTGCTCAGTTCTTATGTGTCAGAGGCCAACTTGGAATTAGTCCGTTGGATAAAGCCTGGGGAATGTTATCGCACGCCTTATCTAAGCCAATTCCTCTGTGCATGCAGGTATGGTACAGCCCCGAGAATCCTCACTATCTTGATAGTGAATTCACTGCCCGAGAAGACAAGGAAATCATTAGCCAAGAAGGGAATTGGAGCACTCTTTGCCAGAAGATGGCCCGGGCGCCGCTTACTATTTATGCCCGGTACAAGGACCTGCAGAAGAACCAACCGGTCTCGCGCTGGACAGAGAAGGAGGACAACCTCTTACGCGAAATCATTCAAATGGAAGGAACCGGGAGTTGGGTTAGTATAGCCACTAAAATTCGGACAAAAAGTGCCCGGCAGTGCATGTACCGGTATATGCGCGTGCTTTCCCCAGACATCAAAAAGGGCAAATGGACCGAAGAGGAGGACCAAGCTCTTTTGAAAGCCGTTGAGCTTTACAAGAAAGGTAATTGGAAGAAGATCAAGGAGCACGTCCCAGGCCGGAACGACTTCCAGTGCCGCGAAAGGTACATGCACTCCCTAGACCCACAAAGAAACTGCAGTTCCTGGACACCCGAAGAAGAGAAACTCCTTCTAGATACAGTTGCCCAGGCCGCAAGCAAAGACTGGGTCAAAATCGCCAAGTTGTTCACCAAGCGCAGCGGCAAGCAGTGCCGCATCAAGTACAACCAGCTCATCAAAGATGCCAAATCATAGCCTAACCACAGATTATCACGCCAATCTAAACAAAGCAAAACAAACCAGATTCAAAGACAATATCTATCAAGCATTGCTTATCCCCAGACACTACCCCCGCTACACTACTCTACTTCACCACAACCCAACCCCACCACAACCTCACACAACCCAACCCACCCCCATACACCTCTAAACCACTAATACGTAAATAAACAGACGCTATCATCAGTCCAATTTTTGTTTACATGCGGGAATTAAGAAGAATTGAAGAGGCCTTACGTAAGATAAGAATTGATGCGCCAGCTGTTTTGCAAGAGCGATACCTTCCAGGTCCTCTTTTACAAGAAGTCCTTTCTTCCGAGAAGAAACAGGAAGATGTTAACGAGGCCTATCGTATGTTGCTAGTTGGCATGAAGCCTTTGATTGTTGAGAATACCGATTCTTTAGAGAAATCCGCTTTAATCTACCACGAAGCCCACCAAACCCTCAAAGCTCTTCACCAAGAGTTAAAGAAGGCCGAAGAGAAGACAGAAGAAGTTCTCGCTGAGATCAATTCTGGTAACATTGCTAAGCGCATTGAGATACTTAAGCGCGAACGAGAAGCAGAGGAGTTAGACCAAAAAGAGAAAGATATTAAAGAAGCCCTAGCCCTAGACAGATTATCAATCAAAGATATCTACATGGGCCGTTTAAAGAAAATCAATGATCATTTGAAGTACGTTACATCTTCAGTTATCCGTGCCGAGATAAAGAAAAGAGTCGAAAGCAGTGCCTGGTCTATCAAGCAAGATCTAGAAAAGAAGATATTTCGAGTGTTGGATAGAGGCGAAGAAATCTCATCTGTTGAAGTGGCCGCACTTAAGATCATTGGTGGTTCCTTTCTAGATACGGTTTATGAAGGTCTTAATGTTCTTCTGATTGAAAGTGTTAATAAGGCGTCTAGTACCATCAGAGAAGAAGTCTCCTCACTAGAGGACAGTCCTAGTCCCGAAGAAGAGAAGGAAATTGTTGCCCAGGGCCTATCTATCTTTAGCGATCGCTACCACCAGATACTCAATCGAACTGTTCAGCTACTCCAAAAAGAGAAAGAGACTTTGCCCAAACTAGCCCATCCAGGTTTTCACTTCCTTCCGTCCTTTTATGCTGAAATCAGTCTTGGCAGTACTCCTAATGCATCACACTCTACCTTTAAACTACCCACCCCTGAAGGCCGGTACAACGAGCAAAATCTAGTCCATCTCTTCACTAAGTATCCCAAAAAGCTCCTAACTGGTTTGGTTGAGAAGAGTAAACGCGTGGCTAATTCCAACGAGTACACTTTAGCCAATGTTTACCGCACTGCTGATTCTAGCCAACTCTACAATGAACTCTTCCTAGCCAAATACGGCAGTCTTTCCGAAAGTGCCCTAGACCAAGAAAGAAAGGACGTCTCTTTACAGCCAATCTACAAAACAGTAACCGAAAAGGCCGCGTTGGTAGTTTATGGCTACTCCCAGATCTTAACCGGCATTCTTCGCCAAATCTTAGCCGAAGCCCTTCCGGCCCACATTAATAGCGCCAACCATATCAAAGACCATGCCATTGAAGAGTCATTTAACCGCCGCAAAGTCAGCATTCTTCACATGATTGATAAGGCCACTAGCCATGCTAAAGTTGACCACCGTGCTTCATACCTTGAAAAGTATACACATCGGCTTGAAGACATTCTCAAAGCCACTACCGAGTTCACCGGAACTCCGGCCGAAGGTCTAGAAAAGACCTTTACCCAGTCAGCCAATGAAATTCTCAACCAAACTCTTAACTCCCTCACTGAAGTCTTCCAGATACTTACCAAAGAGAAGGATCTTAAACCCATCAAGTACAACGACCCCGATTGCCAGCTAATTGAAGAAATCATTATTTGGAACCATCCCGTCCAAAACAACTTACTAGGAGATTCTCTTTTCCTACGCTGCCCAGAGTCTTTCTTCAACGCAGTCTCCGGCTTCCTAACCCTTCACGACCAAATCAACCATTTCCTCAAGACTACTCCCAACCTACCAACCGACCTCACTCAAAAGACCACTTCACTTTTCACAGTTATGAAAGGATACTTTATCTCCCACGTTCTTTCACTAGCCCGAATCTTTCTCGACCAAATGGTCCTTTCCGGCGATCTTTCTGATCGGCGTCTTCTTCACCTTCTTGCCCAGAACAATCTGCTTGCCCAAATCAGTGCACCAGCCCTACAACTCTACTCCTGCCTCCATCTCTTCCTAAACATCACCAAGTGCCACTCTATCTCCCGCCGTCCAAGTTTCCGCAACACTCTAGCCACTCTCCAAACTCACCTTGACAATCTTCTACCCTCCACCATAGACACTTCCATCTACGCCCCCGAGTATATCATCTATGCCCTAGAAGCCATTGACCGAAAGGACAAAGTATACATCCAAACCCTCCAACGACTATTCAACCACGAGCTTTTCACCCGCGCCATCCATGAGTACATCCTTACCGCCCCCAAATAACCTTCTACACCACCACTTACTTCTACACCACAACTTACTTCTATACCCCCAAATAACCATCTACATCATCACTATATTACTAACTCAATACTAACTCAATAACATCGTCCTATCATTTATATATTTACCAGCATCTATAGACTACTTAAATTCAAAGCAATTCTATCTAATACCACCACCAAAACACTCTCTACTAACTAAAGATCAACTAAATATTAACACCCGACTAACAATCTACCACCACAATCCTAACTAAATACTTATCTAAATACCAAAAACTAACCGTTTAATATCAATTATTACCCAATTAAGTATAAATAAAGCCAACAGCAAATAAAAATGGAAAATAAAGACAAACACCATATCCCCTATGAACTTCAAAACGAAAATCACAGATATCCAATTAATTCAACTATTAAGTCATCAGATAGAAAAGAACTAGTTGATATCACATCTAAACCAACCGATTGCCATTTAGTAGGACAGTCCTTTAATAATCCTTTCTCAACCAACGATAGTCTTCTTTCCACTCACCAGTTTACCTTCACTAATCCAATCCATTCACATCTACCCAATTCCGACCCAATATGCACTGCCACTCTAATATGTACAACTAACCCAACCACAACAACCAACAACTCAGCTTACTCAGCAACACAGCCTACTCAACAGCTACCAATTAGTGAGATAGAAAGTCGACAACTCACCATGCCGGCCAAGCAATTTGCCCAGTATATAAGCCCAATTCCCAATAAGCAACCTAATACCAGCAAAACACAACACAATCCACCACTATCTAAAGATAAACTTAACTCAACATCACCCAACCCAATACCTAACTCAACCCAACCCAATCCACCACAATCTAAAGATAGATTTAACTCAATACCTAACTCAACCCCATACAACTCAACTCCATACAACTCAACTCCATTCACCTCAACCCCATACAACTCAACTCCATACATCTCAACTCCATTCACCTCAACTTCATTCACCTCAACTCCATACATCTCAACTCCATACATCTCAACCCCATACAACTCAACTCCATACATCTCAACTCCATTCACCTCAACTTCATTCACCTCAACTCCATACACCTCAACTTCATTCACATCAACTCC